TCTTTAATTAAATACAAATATGCGAAATCGTTGATTTTGTATGGGAAATGGGTGGCCCCCACTAGGGTGGCCCCAGTAAGGGTGGTTTGACTTACTACGGAATTTGTTAAAATAGTCCTGTCTTATATGCAGTTGTATTGCTATCATATGTTGATTAACTTGTTCTCTAGGTTAAGAATAGTCTAGATTAGATAGAATTATACATTTGCTTTACACCAAGAATCTCTCCTGCAGAAGAACCAGTGGAAAAAATAGAATTATCATGTATAGAACAAGGAATCTTTTAATGTACGTGCTAATTCTCTTGCGTCTTTACAACTTACACATGTTTTCTAATAATCAATTATAAACGCAACTTAAGTTCTAATTATAGTTATTAAACATCTTGTTATTGAAAAGAGAGGAAAATATTCACCTGTTGTATAGCATTAGCTAAGTATTCTACGATTCGTGGTTGATGTTTAGCATCAATACCCACGGCTTCTAAATTAAGAACGTAAGAATGTTAACATACAAGCCTCTTCTTTATACTTATAGCTTTCTTTTCAAAGCCCCAAAGGGTATAGTAGTAGCTTATACAGTTATATAACTGGAAGTGTTGCTACTAGTTCTAAATCAAACAACTATGTAGTTGCTATTCCGCTTTAAACATAGTGTATACTATATGTAACATATACCACGTAATATTTACACAACTACCTTATAAGCACTTAAAGATATTCTTGTACAGTTGCAAAGAGCGCATATTGATAAGAGTGTTAATGCCACTTTACTGTTTAAAATAAGAATGAAGACTTTTAATAGGTATAGTTATATTGATACAGTTATATCTAACCACTTTGAAATGAACCAAAGACAATTACATAAAACATGTACACACGCGTATATAAGGAACTGGCTATTACACCTCTACTTTTAGGCATAAGGTATGCTATGGAGGTACCCTGTCTACCTACATATGCCCTCTCAGCCCTACGGGTTGCAGCCGCCGCTAATGCGGGTCGGGTAACACCAAAAGCAGGAGCTAATGTGAAAAGGGCACCGCTATCTCAAAACATGCTTCCAATATCCGTTGGTTGCAGCTAACGAAGTTCGATAATTGTACACCTAAGAGGCATGTACCCAGTACCTACTCAGGTACAGACTCACCAGACCATCGATTCTCTTACCTTTTCAGAAAAGGAAATACGGCAATGTGATATATATATATATAGCTTTTGAGCATATAGCTAGATGGCGTTAGTAGACTACTCTTCCTCCGACTCGGAGTCTGAAGCTGGGGAGGCGGCATCTGCAACTAAACGGCAAAAGACAACAGCGGACTCGGCTGCGCTCCCGCCGCTCCCCGATGCATTTCACGACCTATACGCGTCCACGGTGCGGGTGAGCACATCCGACGACCCAACGCTGCACCAGGGCCGCAAACGCGTGAATCCGCATAGGGTCGGCAGCTGGCCGAGCCACTTGTACATCGAGTGTAAGTCAAGTCCTAGGATCTATGTCCATACACGCAGATTTCAGATATCCATAGGTGCATAACACGTCACTGACGAACTCCAGGGCACCCCACCACTTCCCAGCGCAATGTCCTCTCCACCCTGCTGTCTGACCTCCAGACAGCACTCGCGCCCCTATCAGTGAGCATCACGTCCTTCCTGGAGTCGGACTTGGGCACTCCGCAGCCGCTGCACATCAGCCTGTCGCGGCCCATCGTGCTAAGCACCGCGGAGAAAGATGATTTCCTGGAGCAGTTAATCGCACGTATCAAGCGCAGCAATGTCGGACCCTTTGATCTCGCGCCACGGGGGTTGGAATGGCATCGCACAAGCGAGTCTGAGCGTTCGTTCTTGGTACTTAGGGTGGGGAGTACTGGTTGCCCTCCTGCTCCCGCTGCCATTGTCCCTCCTGCCCCTGCCCCTGTCCCTGCCTCGGCTTCGGTGGCCGATAGAAGAAGTAGTAGGAAGCGTGTCGGTAAACCAGAAAAAGGGAAAGGAAGTAGTTCTAAGACAGATGCACCTACCATCAGCCCCTCAGATAACCCACCCCCACTCCCAACGCAGCAGCAGCCGCACAACCCAGAACTAGCAGCCCTTCTCCAGCGATGCAACGCTCTCGTGCAGGAATACCAACAACCACCTCTCTACGCCTTCTCCGGCGGCAGCGACGACGACGCCTTCCACATCTCCATAGCGTGGTCCTTTGTCGCGCCCTCTGCTGACGTCAAGCGACATACCGAGCGTGTATTCGCAGCCGGCCCGCAAGCCGAAGTGCTAGCGATGCGGGTTCCGGTGCGCGGCGTGAAGGCCAAGATCGGGAACGTGATTACGCATGCCGAGCTGCCGGTGCGAGGGAAGAGGGGGGTTGGGGAGGGTTAACTAGAATAGGACGAGGGCTGTAATAATGCGGGGGTTAGTTGTGTAAGGGTTGGTTATGTATATCGAAGTGCAGACGTGGACAGCCCTTGCTTAACATGGCAACAAGGGAAGATACAAGACATGGATATATGCTTATAAATGGTATGTGATATACTATTCTGCCTTCACAAATAGTGACAGACCTTAATTGTTATAGACATGATGATATAATCCCATTTCTCTTCTGTGGTCTGCAAATACCACCCCATCCGTAAATCAAACGCCAAAAACTCCGCCTATGGATGCTAGCTTGATGCTATCGCTGGCAATTCAGGCACGTACACAAAAGCGCCTGGTGACCGCCTAACCCTGAACAAGTGCCGTTGATGCGAATCCCAAGTATACAAACGCAGTTCTACAGCTCATCAAGGCTAGGCCGCGCGAACCCCCAGGAACGGGGCGAGACGGGTAAACCGATATAGAACTCCCAGAGGCGTTTGAACTCCAAGAGGACAATATAGAACCTAGAACATATCAGCATTTCGGCGTGAGAGTTACAGCAAAGGTGATCCCGACTCACACTGTCTTCGGAAAAAGTACCCAAGATTTTACGACAATCTTAAATGCCTTGTATACCTTGGAAAGCTCTTCATTGAAAGCTTCACTTGCCGTCTCCGGGCTGCGGCGTTCCCTTTTAGGTGGCACATTGTCTTTCTCGTCCCACTCCTCCTCGAGCTCCGACTCGGCTTCTGGTTTTGCTTCCGGTGTATTTTTTGAAATGTCTACCGCATGTGGCTTTTTGGCCCGGTCAGGTATCGCCTGTATGGGCTTCTCCTCAGCCTCGACCATGCTCCTGAATCCAACAAGAGCTTTCATGGAACTGCTTAGCCTGGCATAGGTGTTGAACAGCGCTACGAGTTCTGTTCGCTTCAGCACCGGGATATCCTCGCTATCGTTATCAAACTCGAACAGTACCTTCAGCGCTGCACCGTATCCTGCAGTCTGTAATTTGCCCCATAGCCTACATTTATCGCAACCCACGCAGTCCATCACGCGGCTAACATTCCGAAACCGGTTCTTAAAATCCTCCTTTAGAGACGGACCCTCACCATTCTTAAACATGAGGCCCTCGTCAAAAATCTGAGGTACTGAGGCCGCACTCTGAGTTACGGCGAGGACCTTGGCCTTCGTAGCTGTATCCTGGTCTTCGTCGCCGGTGCAGAACGTGTAGCTCTGCAGGTGCGGACCAATCTTGGCAATAGCACGTGTGACGAGAGCGTAGTTGAAATATAAGTTGGAAATACGTTCGGGGTGGGTATGTAACCTTGCTTTGTAACATCCTAGATTGGGTTGCCACTGGCCGGTAGTCTGGTTCAAGAAGTCCCAGCAAAGATGCGTACTAATGCTCGCATGCATGCCGGAGACGACACGGTAGAACACGCGCTTCTCTAGACACTCTCCTTCGTTCTCTAACCCAGTCTGCGTGAAGGTAGTGCTTGGATTTTGTTGATGCAGTTGCAATATTTGCTGTCGTTCAGCATCCTGAAGCACGTTGCGGAAATCCTGTGCGGCTGGTCCTTCAGCCACAGGGCTGGTCCCAAGGGAGGCGGAATGCGGGAACGAAGACCTCTGGAAGCAGTTCTCCCTGTAGATGGCGTCCCATACCATTTTGGCACCTTCGCCAGCGTATCCAGTGAAACGCTCAGGGTTGTGGACTAAACTAACGTAGTCGCCTTTGCCCGTTGCGCTTTCGTCCTCCGGTATGCAGTAATCTCGCTCGTCGCATTCATCGTCGTACTCCACTACACAACTCTCGCCGACGTTCTCCCCCAAGAGACCTTGTAGTGGCTTCTTCGGTCGCTCTTTTTGGACTTTCTTCCCGGGATGCTTCGCAGACGGCCCCTCTAACTTGCCGAGCTCGCTTGCTCTCCATATCCTGGGTATATCCTCCTCGTTATCTATTGTGTTCACTGCACAGGCTATATTGCCACACATGGCATTTTCGTCGTTCCAGAAGGGGCATTTTTTATTAAACAGGTTGAGGCGGTAGTAGGAGAAGAAGTCGGTTTCTCTGGTTAGCTCGTCTAAGGCTGGCTTGACTTTACGGTTCAGTTTCTCGAGTGTGGAATAAGAGGCACAAGCGTCGGATACGATGGCGCGGGGTGAGATCTGGACAGTTTCAGTTTCGTTAGAAATAATAAACTGATATTGGGATGTCGTCGCTGCCAGAGAACTGGCGGTAAGACATAAATAGATAACTACGTTGCTCAATGAAGGCGACATACTGCGCATGAATCATCTCGAGCGTCTCTGCTCTTACATTGCCCAGGTGTCCCCCAAAGCGCAAAGAGTGACAGGTAGAAGAGTTTCGCGGACTTCATAACGGCGGAATCGTGCCGGGTATATAGGTGGAGGAATGGATGGATGGACACCTAATTATTATTTATTAGATTGTGAGGAGAAGACAAGACAAGGCCTGGCCTTTCTTCTCTTTTCGGTATTTGTTTAAAAGGATACGTATAATATAGGTTGGCAAGGTGGTAAGGTGGTAATGGTAAGAAACTCGGAGGAGCAACTCTGATACGCTGCTACGGTTAAATTCCAAGTAGCGACTAGGGATAGGTACATAATATCATGTACCTAATGTATAATGCAAGTACGAAGTACAATCTTAGAGCCACCTAACCTTTTAACCTTTTGTTAGAACTTGGATGAAAAGCCAGGCTCAATAATTACGAAAATCGTACAAAATAGAATGGAGAATATTAAAGTCGTAATATATTTTATTGATAAAACTGCCAGCGTGTTCACTTTTCAACGTCATACGATTGTGGTCTGTAGACAGGCCCGTATTGATTTTTTTTTGAACTACGGATAATAGAATGTTGCCAGTTTGCATTGCCCCAGGGTCCATTTGCTGAGTGATACATCAGATAGTAGGGACGTACCTATCTGTGTTTTCTGTCAGCACTGCCTTGCATGTGCTAACTTAATTGGCAGCTCCCGCAGTGGAGGTGCCTATTATGGGAAGTTCTAGAAACGGTAGCCCGGAAGCTTCCACTCATCTGCAACCTGCCGATACCTCGTACCTGGTCACACAGAGAACAGAGTGGAGCGATGACACCTGCGTCTATGTACACTAGAGTTAATCTTTACTAATCTGGATGTATCCTATGTATTACTTACTAAGGAATTCCAATATTCAATTAGGTACTTAACGTTACATAGGTATTGCCTTGGTGTCCTTTGTGATAACTTGCCACTTCAATCTTCTTACGTGATTCATATCTATTGTACCAAGCTTGTCGGCTCAGCGACTATTGATCGTATGCTAAATAGATTAAAAGAGCATTGTTATTAATTGACGAACCCCTTTCTACTTGGATCTTATTTGACGGAGGCCATCGTCTGTGCTATATTGCAGGATCTTGGTTGGCTTACCAGTAATCCCGTAGCCAAGGTTCAAAGCCCTGCCCAACCTAGACCAGTAAGAAATGCAGATAAAAATAAATGCCCAGGAACAGCAAGTACATACACAGATACATACACAGATAAAGTTAAGTTGTCCAAGATCTTAGTATGTTTACATAGGTATTCAAATCGCTACTGTATCTGGTAAAGCTAAAAGCTCTTCCTGGTATCAAATTCTATTATGTATGTATTGACGTCCATGTCCCTGTCATGCAGGCTTCGCCGTGTTTGTTAATAGGTAGGTAGCTTATCATAATCAAACCACGATTCGTAACGGTTTTCCTAATCGATATCATTATGCTCTATTCTTTCGAGTTCCTATGGATTTCTATAACCCAAAGGTAACTGACCAATGTGTCCCAACAGGAATAGAGCGCGGGCTCGTAGAGAATCTAATTCCTTATAATCAGGGTATCCGCTGCCATCACAACCGAGCCGCCCAGGTCTCCTTCGTGCCCTGAAATAGATGCCAATAACCATCATTCTCATCTGTACGTGTTCCACGCCGCGAACTGTCGTATGGTTTTATGGCCTTCTAAGTTTATGAACGACATCGATAGGGGAGAACAGCCCCGTTTACACCTCGGCGGGTCGAGCCAGAAACCAGATGGGTGAATAGAGTTGAATCGATTAAAAACGGCCATAAATCGTCGCTTAGCATTATCCTCCAACATATGCATATGTCGCTGTGCAGTGGATGGGCGTATCAAGAATAATTTACAACGATAGTCAAACCCCTCACGAGGTAATAGGTCAGCGTTCATATTTGGATTGTTCATAGATCACTGAGGTGCTTGATAATTGAGAGGTCGCCTTGGCAGGGTTAGCATTATTCGATTAGGTGGATTGGATGCTGAAAAGCTTACTTGAATAGTAAGATGTGCGGCTCGGGTTCGTGGACTTCATAGTGCTCCCAGCCTAGGCTCTGTAGTTTCGCGTCTTGTTAGTCCACATGACTACCGCTATAATCAACAACAACACTAGAGTAACCTACCTGGGTAATACCGATCGCACGCCACTCATCTTCCCATAGTAGCTTCAATGTGCCCTTGGATGGGTCGTGGTAGTCTTTGGGAATGGCCTTTAGCATAGCTTTCGGCAGCTGAACATGACGGTATTCGTATTCGCTGTCCGAGTAGCTAATCCTCTTAGTTAGTAACGCACTGTAGATCCTTGCGCAACCGAATCATCTTGCAACCATACCGAGCAGAATAATGGATCGAGTCGATGAATTCCTCGAGGCGCGCGCGCTCATCGTCGCTCAGAGGGCGAGGCGCCTTGTTGCGACGCGTAACATCAATATTCATGGGCATTATGGCTAGCGAAGCAATTAAGTCTTATGGTAGGGTTCGGAATGATGGCCTTCTAATCGTGCAGCTTATTGGGCACAGGAGCTAGCGCAGATTCTAGACGGTTATGCGTATGAGAAGAAATGAAGAGGCAGCGTGAGATTAGGTATCGGCTGGCCGAAAATGTATGCTGTCGCGTGAGGAGGGGGGGGGGGGAGTAAAGACGCTCCCGTCGCTTGTCGCTTGTTGCTTGTCGGAGTGGATATGCGTCCTCCAACACTGCTGTGCGCGCAGATGAAACAGAATAATCAAACGGCAAAATGTTTGAAGAGTTACAGGCAAACCTTGAAGTAGCCTAAACGAAGAAGAAGTTACAACCTTCAAGTTGTAGGGTTATTAGTATTTTGGGGGGATAAGAGCGCGATTCTTAAAGGTCGAAGTTGCGGTCCCCAAATTTTGGTTGCATGGAAGATGGAAGTAAACAGTGCTTGAAGTGGGGGCCTTAATTGAGGATAAGCCACATCGTAGCAAATTCGTACCTTATCTGAGGGGCAGGGGCTGGCAGGACGCTAAGCTGCTAAGGAATGGACAACAAACTATGACATACTAACTTAGGTCTGTGCACCATATATTCTTTTCTTGTGGCGCATTGGTGCTGTAACAGAAGGTTGTGTTACCTAATTTTTGGTTGCTAGGGGCGGGCTGGACCGGCAACATTGAGTGTCGACGGATGTTTGCAGCTGGCAGCTAGTGGCCTATTACTTTCAACGAACGTTTTGCGCACAAGCTTTCCCCATAATATTGTTAGTTACCTATACATTGACGCCTTCGCAGGACGACTAGATATGCGTATCGTATCAACTCTCTGCATTGTGACAATATATACCTACTCTATTCTTCTTGGCGTTGATTTTTCAGGGCAAGATGTCTGTCTGCTGAGGTAATTTGTAATTCGGTTAATCTATATCGATAGGTACATGTATTGACCAAAGAGGATAGGTAGAAAAGTTGAAAAGTTCCCTCTCCTATCCGTCTTAAGTTATTAGTAGCAGTACCAGCAATCCGCGTCGGACATTCCCACAAATCATCACCACCATCGCATCGCGTCAAAGGCCCTGCAACCCCATCATCCTAGCAGCTAAAGCTTATTGACTTTTCCATTGATCGCGCAATACCGCAAGCTACAAGCTGCAACACCTCGGGCCGCTTCTGGATGCGCCCGCAATCCTTTTTCCGCCTCAGCAATGGAAAATAAGAGGAAGGCTAGCGGTGCAAATGGCATCGACTCGTCGGCAAATGACTCTAATGACCGAGCTGCTAAGCGTCGCAGACTAGTAGAGGTATGTTATCTACTCCGAATCTCTATTTGACCTTCCACAGCATTTTGCGCGTAAGCCTTGCTGCAGCACGGCTACATTGCCTACATTGCCTACATTGCCTACATTGCCTACATTGCCTACATTGGGTTCTTGTGCACTGTAGCCGCGATGCGATGCGATGCGATGCGAACCTGTGTGGATTATTTTGAAAGCTGGGAGACGAGAGTTAGAGCTAGGGAGGCGGGGGTTTAGGACAAAAGCTTCGAATTCTATTCAGATGCAACGCCTTTTCCGCCGAACACCCTGCCTGTCCTCTATGCATGCTCACAACCTCGAACCTCCGAATTCTGCAGTTTTGGGGCTCTTGTTCCCCTATTCCCCCTATCTACTCATCTCTAATTTGATTGCTACTACAGGAATTCGGAGATCTCATGAATGGTGAGACCAAAGAATCAACTACTGCGTACGGATTAAATATTTTGGAATCAATCAGAGCTACCACCGACAAGAAGTATGCACAGCTCTTTTATTATTACTTGCATGCAATAATATATCCCTTCGACACCTATCATGGGCTTCACTTTCAACCTGCATTTTACTTGGTAGAGTGAAGATGCACTTTGTAAACAATATAGCTAACTCATCGCCTGTTACAGTGGCCGCCCAGTTTCACCTTACTTTGAGAAGCTTCCTTCTCGAAGCAAGGATCCGGAATATTACCAGAAAATACGCCTTCCTCTCTCCCTCGAATCGATCGAACAGAAGTTGAAGAATGGCGAATATACCAACTTATCTGTCCTGGAGGGCGATCTCAAGCGTATGGTTCAAAACGCAAAAGAGGTCAGCGAGCGCACGTCTATGACATTTGGCGATGCCGAACGAGTGCGTAAAGCTGTTAGCAACTTGATGACGAAACACAACCCTGCGTATAAGACCGGCACCTATACTGCCGTTGCTACTCCACTGCCACCAACCCCCGAGCCAGACGATAATGAAGGCGATGAGGATGCCGAGGGTGAAGAAGAGGAAGAGAAGGACGTCAGCGTACAAAATGTACAAACCAGTCGGGAAACCGATGCGGAAGAGGTAGCCCAAGACGAAGAAGCCGAAAATGAAGAAGTTGAAGGTGAAGAGGGCGAGGAAGACGAGGAGATTGACGAAGAGGATGAGGAGGCCGACGAGGATGACGAGGACGAAGAAGATGAAGAGGATGAAGATGGAGAAGATGAAGATGGCGAGCCAGGTCCGGCAGCCCGAAAACGACGACGACCTGGTCGACCACCGAAGAATCCTGTTGCGCACGCTCGAAAAGTCGCAGCCCGCGGACCGACGCCAGGCAAAGCTGATACTCACTATGAAGAGGTCTCATACAAGGACTTGACCTTTCAACAGGCACAAGAGAAGATTGTGGAGGAGCTACTCCGAAAAAAAGACGATACGTAGGTCTATCTTAATCCTTTGGTATGCAGTCGACTGATAAGCCTGGAGTGGCGAATATCCGTATTTCGAGCCGTTCATCTACCTACCACCTCGAACCCTTAGGGACTACTATGAGGTCATCAAGGAGCCATTGTCGCTCAAGGCGCTACAGAAACAAGTCCGAGGTCAACATGGCAGAGGAGGGGCAACATACGTGACTGATTTCAAAAGCTGGGCTAGTTTTGAGGACCAGGCCAGTCTAATCTGGAAGAACGCCTACCATTACAACGAGGATGGGAGTGAGATCTCCCTTATGGCCCAGGAGCTTGAGGTAGGGTTTCCTATCTTATTTGGTCAAATCTGATTGACTAACTGTTGCAGGAACTGTTTCAAGAACAACTAAGGGAGGCCAAGCTTCATGTTCCAGAGCCGCCTCAGCCACAGCCAAAGATCAAGCTGAAGATGCCGCCCAACTCGGAGACTCCTGTACATCCTAAGAAGATTACCATTCACGTTGGCGGGAAGAACAGCGCTACAGGATCGCCGGCCCCAGTGACAGGCCAATCCGGCGAAGGGGAGATCACTCGCAATGGTACACCTATAAGTAGAAACCCCTTTGGCGGTTCGACAGCAACTTCGGTCAGCCTGAGCCAACTCGAGAAGGCCAGAAGCATGTCCGCTTCTGCAGGCCCTCCTAGTCCGTCGGCCGCAGGGTTAACGAAGTCCGAGGATGCCGTTCGACCGTCCCCAGCGTTCACGAACCATCAGCAATTCGCACCCCCGGTGATACCCCCTGCCTCGAATGCTCTAACTAGCGCCTTGCCGAACTCCCTACCTAACGCTATACCAAATGGCGCCCTTCCTACGCCGCCGCCGCCGCCGCCGCCGCCACCACCTCCACCACCACCCCCAAAGTTGTCAGCTGCAGAAATCCTTGAAGCCCAGAAATACCGACCGCACCCAATCAGTAAGAGTTTTCCTTTAGATATCGTGTTTGTAATATCATTAACCAAATAACAGAGGAATCAGAAGCTATCATGCCTAAGCTTATCATCATGTCTCATCCTGAACTCCAAATTGAGAATCGAATGCCAATCACGATTCCGGCTAGTCTTACTGAAACCCAACAAGAGTTTGTTCTGAATGCCCCTACCAGTTATTACCGGCTCCGACTTAAGCCAGAGGTGGCACCATTCTTGGAGGCTCAACAGCGTGAATGGAAATTGAATGTGATACATAATGGTGCGCGTCTATACCCTCCCCAAAGTCAGCCTAACAAACCAGGCGAGCCGGTTTTCGACGTTACTCTACAGTTTGGCCTTAATCGCCTCGAAGTATCTCTAGTAGCAGCTCTCCCGAAAGGCCAGAAGGCACCCAACGGATTAACTATGGAAATGGAGAAGTTTGTAGTACATTTTAACGTACTCAGACATTGATAGCGGGTGCTTTGATTGGAAGCGGTGGCAACTAGAATATAGTTTAGTTGTTAACAAGTCTTAGATGGAATTATCAGTCTGCGTCTCTAAGGTTGGATTTTGGAGTTGTACTCGGTGGAATCAGAACAAATAGGTTCTAACTTAGGTACTCAGGTAAATTTTGGCCGATGAGGCAATCTACATATTTGTACGTCTAGGAGGTTCATTGTGGTGGAAACTTGCTGGCGGACCCCCCTGACAATTTTGGGAGTGACTCCTCAGTTAATTGCGTTGCCTTAGTCTAGTCTTAGCTACCTATATAAGAATGAATCCCAATTCTTGCAAAACAACTTCGAGTCTTCTAGGTTAGTCTTCTAGGTTACTAGTTAGCCAATGCAAACAAGGGTTATCCAAGAGAAATTATATGCAAGTAAGCCTATATAGACATAACGCATGTTTACATCCATATTACCTAATGTTGGGAACTGTTGAACATACCTATGCTCAAGTATTTTCAGCAGCTTGAGAATTGAAAAAAAAAACATATTTGAGGACCCTTTTTTGGTGGGGTGGAGATAGGTTAGACAGTCGGTTCAGCAAGTGGCAACCCAATCCAAAAGGCTGGACCCTGAACTTAGACCGTCCCTCCGAGTACGTACCCTAAGACGCTAAACCGGAATTATGTTAGTTCCGGCGGCAAAGGTGGGATGGGGAAAAACAGAAAAAAAATTTTGAGAATTGTAATTATTTTCACCGCCCGCATAAAAATTCGTGAAATCCCCCCTCCATAACATCCCCTCCATACCCTTACCTTCTGGTCCATCGTCTCCAGAACAATTTCTTCCCGCAACACCCAACTGTATCTGTGAACTTGTTCAGTTGAAAAGAACCCTCACAATGGCGGAAGAAGTCTACGACGGTGCCATCGGCATTGATTTGGGTAAGTTTCCACAATCTTTTCTTCACCATTCACCCCGCACCTTGACATGTCATTCTGTCGCATTATGACCTGTTGGGAAATCTTATGCTACGATGGGCACCCACTAACATCTATCACCTTTGTGAATAATAGGCACGACCTACTCCTGTGTCGCTGTCTACGAGGGCAACAATGTCGAGATCATTGCCAATGAGCAGGGTAGCTTTACTACCCCTTCTTATGTCTCCTTCAACGAGAAGGAGCGCTTGATTGGTGAGGCTGCCAAGAACCAGGCTGCTATGAACCCGCGAAACACCGTTTTCGATGTCAAGTACGTTTTGACCCCGCGCCCCAGAATTTCTCTCTTTTCTCTCCCGGGACCACACAGCTAATTTGTTTTGCGACAGGCGTCTGATTGGCCGACCTTTCAACGACCCCATCGTCAAGAAGGATATTGAATCATGGCCTTTCAAGGTCGTCGAGCAGGGTACCAACCCTCTCGTCCAGGTCGAATACCTGGGAGAGACAAAGACTTTCTCTCCTCAGGAAATCTCTGCCATGGTCCTCACCAAGGTAATTCAACACCACCACGTATAGTGCTGAATAACAGACTCTAATGCAATCTTTATAGATGAAGGAGATTGCCGAGGTCAAGCTCGGAAAGAAGGTTGAGAAGGCCGTCGTCACCGTCCCGGCTTATTTCAACGACAACCAACGTCAGGCCACCAAAGATGCTGGTTCCATTTCTGGACTTAACGTGCTCCGTATTATCAACGAGCCTACTGCCGCTGCTATCGCGTACGGCTTAGGCGCCAACAAGTCCAACAAAGAGCGTAACGTCCTTATTTACGATCTTGGTGGTGGTACTTTCGATGTATCGCTTCTTAACATCCAGGGCGGTGTTTTCACCGTCAAGGCCACCGCTGGTGACACCCATCTTGGTGGACAGGACTTCGACACCAATCTTCTTGACCACTGCAAGAAGGAGTTCCAGCGTAAGACCAAGAAGGACATCTCTGGTGACCCGCGAGCCCTCCGAAGACTTCGGACTGCTTGTGAGCGTGCCAAGCGAACCCTTTCCAACGGTGCCCAGACCACCATTGAGATCGACTCGCTTTTCGATGGCGATGATTTCTTCCTTCAGATCACCCGTGCTCGTTTCGAAGACCTAAACGCCAAGGCCTTCAACGGCACATTAGAGCCTGTTGCCCAGGTCCTAAAGGATGCTGCCGTCGAGAAGAGCGCTGTTGACGAGATCGTGCTTGTTGGTGGCTCTACCCGTATCCCTAAGATTCAGAAGCTTCTCAGTGATTTCTTTGATGGTAAGAAGCTCGAAAAGAGCATTAACCCTGACGAGGCTGTTGCGTACGGTGCTGCCGTCCAGGCCGGTATCCTCTCCGGCAAGGCCACCTCGGCCGACACCTCCGACCTTCTCCTTTTGGACGTTGTCCCTCTATCCCTCGGTGTTGCCATGGAGGGTAACATCTTTGCTCCTGTCGTTACCCGTGGCCAGACCGTTCCCACGATCAAGAAGCGAACTTTCACCACTGTTGCCGACAACCAGCAGACCGTGCAGTTCCCCGTTTACCAGGGTGAGCGTGTCAACTGCGAAGACAACACTTCCCTTGGAGAGTTCACATTGGCACCCATCCCCCCAATGCGTGCCGGAGAGGCCGTTCTTGAGGTCGTCTTCGAGGTCGATGTTAACGGTATCCTGAAGGTTACTGCCACTGAGAAGACCTCTGGTCGCAGTGCCAACATCACCATCTCCAACTCGGTGGGTAAGCTCTCGTCCACTGAGATTGAGAGTATGATCACCGGTAAGTCTTATTCCTGTGTCACTCGAGCCGCTAGAGCATAGCTAACTCTCCACTTTACAGATGCCGAGAAGTTCAAGAACAGCGACGAGGCTTTCAGTAAACGATTCGAGGCTAAGCAGCAGCTCGAGTCCTACATCAGCCGCGTTGAGGAGATTATCTCTGACCCCACCATGTCCCTCAAGTTCAAGCGTGGCCAGAAGGACAAGATCGAGCAGTCTCTTAGCGATGCTATGGGTCAGCTCGAGATTGAAGAGTCCACCGCTGATGACCTGAAAAAGAAGGAGCTAGCTCTGAAGAGACTTGTAACCAAGGCTATGTCCTCCCGATAAAGGAGTCTCTCATTATTTGGCGAATTAGGTCATGGATTATAGATGGGCGGCTGGCTAGGGTCCCTAGAGTCTCCCATTGGTGTTTTTTGATGCACATCTGCGCTGGATTGACATTGGCATCCAGAGGGGGAAAATAGGACTTGATGGTTCATTCGGCTTGGTGAGACACGAGGGAAAACATAAAAGTCTTCCAGGATGGTCTTACGCTTCCATGGTCCTGTTACCCACTATATCCCCTTCCCCTCACGAAAAACAACCACCATCGGCTGGTTGGCGGCGTATTTGCATGTAGACTAGGGAAAAAGGGACCCAACAGGGATGAAAGCACAATGAATTTAATGTCTCACGTTAACCATTTTATCTTTGTTATTTTTAGAGTCTTCTTCTGTCTCCGTAGATGGCGTTCTAAAACGAATACCTTTCGGTTCTCTTTAGGTAAGGTGCTTCTTCGTGGATATGTCGTGATGTGACCTTAGTGACCCCCCGCAGCTATCGGTAGTATTTAACGCGATTCTCCAAGGTCGGGGTCCCGCATACTAATATAGTTGCTGGAGGGGGATAAAAGCAGGTCAATGAATAATACTAAATGCAAGCTATCCTATTGGGTTGTAATTTCAACTTATACCTACACAACATATTCTATAAACTTTCTTCTGTGTTATCGACTTAATTATGTCACCAAGCACTCAGGACGACAAGGACAAGTTCCAAGCGGATGCGGAGCTCAACGGGGATTATAACCTGTCACAGGCGATCGACTCGCGGCAGGGGATGCGGCAGGGACTGACGTCGTACGGCGACGCGCACTTCTCGCTGTTCCTGCGCAAGGTGTTCATCAAGGCGCTAGGATATTCGGAGGACGCACTGTCGCGGCCGATTGTTGGCATCGTGAACACATTCTCCGGATTCAACCCGTGCCATGCCAACGTGCCGCAGCTTATAGATGCGGTGCGAAGAGGAGTGCAACTTGCGGGGGGGCTAGCGGTGGATTTCCCGACGATTAGCTTGCACGAGTCATTTGCGGCGCCGACGAGCATGTACCTTAGGAATTTGATGAGCATGGATACCGAGGAGATGATTCTGGCGCAGCCGGTTGATGCGGTGGTGTTGGTGGGAGGTGAGTATATTTGTTTATGATTTTGTCTGAGGCGTGCTTGCTTATAGGTATGTGCTGAGCCGAACGACAGGATGCGATAAGACGACGCCGGCGCAGCTCATGGGTGGGATATCGGCGAACAAGCCGATCCTGCATCTTGTTACGGGGCCGATGATGCCGGGTAGCCACAAGGGAGTCCGGATCGGGGCGTGTACTGACTGTCGGAATAACTGGGCGAGCTTTCGGGCTGGCGTTATTGATATCGAGGAGATCGCGGCGTTGAATGAGGAACTTGCGCCGACTGTAAGTGCTATGGATATCTGTTAGAGGTCATGTCTTGAGATGTGCTGAATATGGAAAATAGGCTGGCACATGTGGAGTTATGGGCACGGCGAGTACAAGTAAGGGGGTTTCAAGATTTGTTTATTGCCCCTTTTCGCTGTTTGCTCCCTAACTGAACAGCTTTATAGTGGCGTGTATTCTAGTCGGACTCGGCCTCATGCCATTTAAAGGGGCAACAGCACCAGCCGTATCATCAGCCCGACTACGAATTGCGGAAGAGACGGGTGCTACTGCTGTGAAGATCATTTCAGCCGGCGACAAGCTAAAACCGCAAGCCTTACTAACACGAGAGTCGTTCCTCAATGCTATCATTGTACTACAAGCTATTGGTGGTTCTACTAACGCCGTGGTGCACTTAATGGCTATTATTAACCGGCACCCTGACGTTGCGGGAACAATCACTCTTGATACCTTCGACGAGATCGGGCGCCGCACTCCTCTCCTTGTAGATCTCAAACCCAGTGGTTCTAACTACATGACCGATTTCCATAATTCAGGCGGCATGGCTGCGCTGCTACGGGAACTGAGACCACTCCTACACTTGGACGCGATGACGGTCTCCGGGAAGACGTTGGGTGAAGCACTGGATAGCGAGCGCTCAATACCAGTACCTCAGGAACTACGCTGTATCCAACCCTTCGACACTCCCCTTTATCCGGCCTCCTCGATAGTTGTGTTACGCGGTAACCTCGCACCCGGGGGCGCTGTCATGAAAGCGAGTGCGTCCAAAGACCGCCGATTCCTCAAGCATTCCGGGAGAGCCGTAGTATTTGCCGGGTCCGCGGACCTAGCAGCACGTATCGATGATGAGAACCTAGAGGTCTCGCCCGACAGCGTGCTAGTGCTGCAGAACATCGGACCGGTGGGAAACCCAGGGATGCCAGAGGCAGGATTAGTGCCGATCCCGCGGAAACTAGCAGCGCGCGGAGTCACGGACATGTTGCGAGTTTCGGACGGACGGATGAGCGGTACTGCCGGTGGTACCATCGTACTACACGTCTCCCCAGAAGCGGCGAACCCAGAGTCCGTGTTGGGGATCGTGAGGGATGGCGATGTGATTACGTGTGACGCAGAGAAGCGGCTTTTGCAGGTGGAAATTAGCGATGAGGAAATTGAGCGTAGGAGGGGGGATAGGCGTGTGGAAGTGGAGAAGGCTGGTTCAAAACACCCTTGGAAGGCGAGGGAGAAGATGAGAGGGTATAGGGGCTTGTATATGAGGTCGGTTAACGAGGCGGATCAAGGGGCGGATTTTGACTTTTTACGTGCTGAAAGGTCGGGGTGATAATTACCTAAATCACGTAGAAATATTTACTGTGTTATTGTAAGCCATGTATTGAAGGCCGTCGTCGGGGGCGCCATGGAAAGCAGTATATTTATGAATTGGGAGGTAGAGATACCATATAACCTGCCACAATACAATACCCATGGTTTCCAAGGGTTTATTAGTCTCTAATAACCAGAAGTGGTTTTCCGATCTTCTTTGCCTCCTCATTTAACGCATCGACTTCAGCTTGCACCAACGGGATTCCCGTCTTCTCCCTTTGCTCCTGCGTCAACTGCTCGATTTCTCCCGGGAAGTATATCCGCTCGACCCCGGCGGCTTTATCCGAGCCAACAACTCGTTGGTACAGAAAGTCCATCCTCTCTCGGAACTCATCGAGGCTCATAAACAGGTCGGGCTTGATAGCGACGAGGAAGTGGCCGACGTCTGATGCTTTGCTTGGGTCGTATGGACCTGTAACTCCGCCTGCGAATGCCGAGCCTATGCATCAAGATTAGAAGAAGCTGGAGTAAATACGTATGCTACACGATAGTTTTCTCACCTGACAATACCCCTGAGAATACATCCATCATTATAGCCAGTGCCGAGCCTTTAGGGCCTCCCATGGGAAGCATGACCCCCTCCAAAGCCGCAGCCGGATCATCCGTCGGTCTCCCTCCAGCATCTAAAGCCCAGTCCAAAGGAATCTTCTCGCCCCTTCTCTTAGCCTTATAAATCTTGCCCCTAGCTGCCACAGATGGCGCCATATCCAGTATAAACGGTTTTTCCTTTCCCCCAGGAGCGCCGCAAGCAATAGGCGACACGCCCATAAGCTTGCTCTTACCGCCGAACACAGGCAGCGCGGGGCTCGAGTTCGTGAAGACCAGACTCATCATGCCGGCGTCGATAGCCTGCTGGACGATCCAGGCGCTCATGCCGAAGTGGTTCGAGTGCTTGACGCTGACCATGCCGATGCCGAACTCGCGCGCCATGTCGCAGGCCGTGCGCATCCCGACCTCCGCCGCCAGGAATCCGAAGCCGTTGCGCCCGTCGACCTGCGCGACGACGGGTGTGACTTTGGAGACGTCTGGGGACGCGGTAGCGTCTAGCACGCCGTTGCGCACTCGCGCCATGTACGACGGGATCCGGTTGATGCCGTGCGTATCGACGCCCCGCAAGTCCGCTGCCACGAGGCATCGCGCTACGATGGCGGCGTTGGGCTCCGGCACGCCGTTCCCCGCGAGGACACCCTCGACGAACTTTCGGGCCTCGGTGGCTTCGACGTAGAGTTTGGTATCGGGAGGAGGTTGAGCTGCTGATGTCTCGGCCATGTTATGTTGGTTAATAAGACTATTGCGGCACGGAATAAAGAGATGCTAGTTTTGAGTGTTCAAACATGGGATTCTGATGGTTAAATTTGCAATGCACAAGTCCGTACCTATGCATAACCCGGGTTACTTGTTCCGCAGACAGACTCGTCCGACCTCGGACTCGGTGCCGTTGCCGAGATGACTCCAGCGGAGCGGAGCTATGCCGAGGTTCTCCGCTTCTATCGGTAGCTACACGGGTAGTATAAGACAAACCCCTTTATAGTTAAGAGACAGTCAAGAAAACTGGTAAGACTTTATTCGTTCTTCCATGATCTTTTCATTGTTCTCTTGAAATTGTAATTGGGTACCAACATTGGATTATTGTGCTTATAAAGAGGAGTTAAGCTGTTACGTCTCACAGGAATATGACATCGCACCGTAAATAATAATTATTTAAGGTACCTAGGTAGCTATAGATAGAAATACTTTCATCGCGCGTGATCACTTAGGTTAGGACATCGAAAGTAAGCCTAGTTTCGGAAACATTCTGACTTGAAGACAGGTCTATAAAAGTGGTTGGCTATATATATAGTAGTGGACTGGGGGAGCTGCATTTAAGAATGGAATCAAGCACCGCTTTTAAGAGTTTCTGGAGGATCTATATATCTCTAGCGGAACAGAATTATGAATTGGATTTTAAGAAAACGATGGCGCACCTAGAGCTTTTTCTTTTCACATGGGGCCTCCACCCTCGTCGTATACTCATCCACCTTTACGAAAAGGGGCTCCTCAACTCCCCATACATTGAAGTCACAGTGGTGACCATATCCCCCACTGCTGAGATGATAGCACCAAGAAAACCAAAGGGCACCGTACCTATTCTAGCCTTGCCAGATGGAACTTTCATCAAGTAGTCCGTGGCGGTTCTAGATTACTTCAAGGATATATTCGACAATCCGGAGGAAAACTGGCAACGGGATATCGCAGCCGTTACGAAGGCCTCCATGCGAGGGAACAATATGCGTAGTAGAGCGACGACAAGAGATATTGAACTGGTGTGGTGCCACATCGCCAAGAGCAAGGGTATTATTATGTAATCTTAGGTCACAGGCCATATAAAGGTCTAATATTCGTCGTATTCTTCTGATCAGATAGCCACGATCATCATCATTCAGTTATGCATTCAATATAGACACATTCGTTACTTTCCCATATTTATCGCTTATGGCTCTATCTTGCGCATTTATCTTATATATCCTATCCGATCAGTAGATCTTTACAGTTCTTCCAGAGTATAGTGCTATCATCAGCTGTTTAGGGCCTTTCACGAGGATCTAGACGTTGAAGTGATATGCCATACTCTGCAGGAGATACCAACTCCTGTTCAATATCCTTGCGTTGGCAGACGAAGCTACACCTATGTTTGGACTTGCTTGTCATAAATGTAGCAAACTCCTCCTTGAGGTGGAGCCTACAAACCCGGTTGCATCGAGTATGGCTACGGGAATCGCAAGGAGGAACATGATACTTCTCAAGCCATACTCGGAGGGCCGATTTAAAAGAGATAGTTCCGAAGCCGAGAAAATCACCATAACAGACTGTGTCTTTTTCTCATTTCTGTAGTTCTCAAAGGAACTGTATGGGGTCGATCTGGTAGCGGATTCGGAGTTGAGAAATCTGAGGAGGTTCTATGATACGTTTAAGGAGAGGGACAGCGCTAAGGTCCCGGAGGACTTTTATCCTCGGTATATTAAGGAGCTTGCTACTATCTGGTTGGGGTGATGGTTGTGGTAGACGGGGTATGTAAGGATGATATATAGAAGAATTACACAAGAATGGAAATAATCGGTATACGTGTCTACAGGCTCGAGCAAGTTAACATTAGACCCGAGATTTAAGATGGATCGGCACGAGTGGGTACTATGCAGAATCATAAAGACCTTTTCTTTAGAGATCCAATCTTAGTCTTAACTTGGGGCTCTCTGTACAATAGGTTATATCTACGACTGCTATCGCACACGTGTCAACTTGCCCAAATAGTATGCTCTACCGTATATTGTTCACATATATAGAATCCCAACTGAAAGGTATTAAGTCTACCTTTGAGCGTAATATTATCGAAATGGAAACACTATCATGTCCTTTGGACAAGGTAAATAAGTTAGATCTGACTTTATAGTGTAATAAAGGCACGCCTGAGAGCCCGAATATAGTTTATAAAATGTATTATGAGTTCTCGGTAAGGCCTACTTAGCTATGCCTGAGATAGCTATCCGAATCTGGTTCACGCTTGACTGTATCTGGGACGATGCATATGCGTATTCCACCATACATCGAACCCTGTAAACCTGTAGCGGTGTGTATATCTATTTTGTTCGACCCACCTCCCGGCCTCGATCTGCCTTCGAGGTCCAACGGCGATCCTCGCATGCTGTTGGGACCACGTGTCAGTATAAAAGGGTTACAACTCAGCTGAAGTTGTTCCTTCTGCTTTTTCCTATACTCTTTAAAGGAAAGAATCACATTCTTTGAACCAAGTGTTAATGACTACCTGTCCAGCGGATTCAAACCAACACTGTAGGAGAAGTAAGTTATCCAGGTACCACTGTGGGCGGGTTTATCAAGACTCTACCAGAACTAGTTATCTGCATGGCTACGCGGCTTAAGTGGGAATATGCAAAGCATGTGTCAAGAACGAATTCAAATCCACAGAAGCTAGATTTATCATGGGAAGTTGAACATGAGAGAAGCAAAGATGACCTATTTCCCATTTACATATGCTACTTTTACGTAAATGCATTTAGGTACATACAGCAGTAATATAAAAGCCCTCTGTCGTCCATAACATGTCCATTTTACTGGATGAAATCCAACTCGTAGTAGCAGCATCCAGTTAAGCAATGCTTGGGGGTTCGTTGACTATGTCCTCCTCCCTCTTAGCAATGACCGGAGGTTCGTTTACCAATTCCTCCCGCTTGGCGATAACTGGAGGTTCATTGACTGCCCCATCCCACCTAGTAACGAGAGAGCTCTCAACGATTGCTGCTTCTATTAAAAAATGGTTAGTCTCTATTGAATATGACTACTTTTTTCTATGTGTCAAGTGCTTAACTTACTGAATGGAAGCGCCGTTGCTGCTGATATAATGGCACATGTCATTAGGAGAGACTTGCTCAGAAACATGTTGATTAGGGATACAATTCGTTCGTGAGCAAGGAAATATTGTGTTATCTCAGTATGATATGTTCGAGTTGCAAGTTGTTTTAGTATCCGTGGCCCTGGAGTTCTTGGCCAACCGTAAGTTCGGGAGGATGCCAATATATGCTGAAGAATTTCCAAAAGTTGGGTTCGCAGAAATAAAAGTAGGTGATATGTGATTGTCCGCACAGGAGTGGGTCAAATACTCCTCGAGCCACAGGCGTTAATGGTCTAGATGAAACTATTGGCTGTGCTGGAGTTGGATAGACGTGTCTATGCAAGACGAAGGCGCTACGAGGAAATGCCGCCGTCACATCGAAAGGAACATTCCGTTGTCTGCCTTGGCATATGGTTGGCGATTGTTATGTGGTTTTGGTCTTCAATGCGACGGCGGCGCATATCTGTGCTACCATGTGATTCCCTATTATCTCAATGATCTGGATCCCGCCTCATGCAAGCCCAGTGCCGATGACACCCTGGACACCTTATACGGAATGATCATCCGCAACCGTTCCATTGGGAGGTACTTGATGTCTATACTCGCACGACAGGACTTCTTGACTTGCCCCATCTTCTTTACATTTACTTGATCCTAAAAGGATTCCCCTTCATTTCTTGTGTCTGTAGTTTCTTCGATATAGCGAACAAAAGTCGTGTCTAGGCTAGTGCTCTTCAGTTGCAATGTCTGAAAAACATGAGTATAAGCCCTTGATGGGCGAAGATATAAGCGAAGAAATTCAAGGCCTCGAAAACCAACATCCTACGAACACGGCAAAAGTCACCAAACGGTCGAATCGGTTTAACCTGGTTCTAATAATACTTATTGCTCTCTCGCTTTCTTTGAATATCTTGCAGATCAGCCTCTACAAGGTATTGCTCTCACATAATGCTCGGTGCGAGTCGGGAACATGGCGAACAAAATATGGTATCGTTATTACCTCTCCTAGGAACCTGAAGTAACTTTACTTACGTATTCCTCTAGCCGGGTTAAAAGAAGGCGAAATAGACGTGTTTTGGAACCAGAAAGGCGCTTACACAGATCCTGACGATGATGTACGGGATCGCCTTTGGGACAGCCTGGACTTCGACCCGGGTGTCGTCGCTGTACCTAAGTTATGGGCGGTGGAGAAAGGCTTGGACGAAGGCGCAACTTTTCCTTGGGATTCTAGCAAATCTCTCTATTTCGTGAACGCTTATCACAGCTTACACTGCATCGTATGGGACCCAGACCGTTTCAGCCAATTACATGCTAAAATCCTCGCAGAAACAAGTTTATCGAGCCTTTAGAGACTACCGAATGGGAAACCCTCCATCGATATCGAACGGACACGTAGTCCACTGCTTGGACCAGCTGCTTGCCGATATTAAGTGCCAAGCGGACGACACGCTCCGCGCTACAAACGTTTCGACTCCTCATAATTCGGCCGTATATCAAACGCACAAGTGTCGTAACTGGGATGCATTGGAGAAATGGACGCAGACGTACCCGAGCTGCTACCGCTATGGAAACGGCACCTTCGAGGATAATCAGCCAAGCCAGCTTCCGAGATTCAGGTTCTGTCAGGAGGGTACCCCCGAGTTAGAAAAGGCACGGAAGTATTTTGGAAAGGGTGAGGACTGGAAGCCTATTGAAGAGAAGAAATTCAGTTGGTTTGATTAAGATCTAGGTACATAGGCCAAATCAAGCATGTCCGCTAAGTTCGGATATGTGATGAAATATCGCATCTAATACGATACCCCAGTTCTGATATATCTATATCCCTCCTCTCATGCCTACATGTCTTGAAACTTGAACATATACCGTAGGCAGCTATCGACGGGGTTGACTGTGTTCTAACTAAAAAACCTCATATATGTGCCCTCGGAGTTTATTATGGTGACTTGACGTATTGTCTCAACCGTATGGGATGGGTGCTGGCTCTAGCTTCTCGTCGATGCTTGCTAGGCTCTATATATTGCGTGGTACAGCATATGTTCGGTCATGATCAAAAGAGAACACCCCACCGGGCAGCTTATGCCTCGGAAGATGCCCTCACTTGCTATCGTATAGATGTGATACACGCCGACCCTCACCTCTACATAATCAAAATTGTCGGAGTACGTTATTATCCTTCAGTTGTGGCGCCTGTAGCACCAATCAACCAAAAGGAAATGCCGTGGGAGTCGAAAGACCTTTCATGATTGTGGGACGTTATAAGCTGCGAGATGCATTGTGCTGTGCCATCGGTACGATACCCGTTGTTCCAGAGCGCAAAATCGGATCGCCGTTAGGGACCTTCAGGATTGACCCATGGAACTTAGATCAAGCAGATCTAGGTAAGAGAGCTTGATCAAGTAAGAAAAAGCGAGACAGAAGATCTTATCCCCGACGTTACGGAAGGCAAATTGAAATGGGTTATGCAAAAGCAAAAGTGGCAACTAATGCTCTGGAAGAACTACAACATACATACTTCGTACATAGTGCTCCATTTGAATACTATGTCCCTGCACAATCCTTCCGGGCCGTGCCACACATCGACGCGATGCAACGCAACGTCGGTAATCATCTGACCGTGGGGGGAGGAGGTAATGGAGGTCAGCACTGTAGTAATCCGCAAATGCCACACCCGCTGCGTGTTGGAGGCCCTGTTGAAGTGTTCTAACGTTTATCCATCAAGCCTACGGCAGCACTAGGTATCTGGATAGTATCCAGAACCCTGAATAGCACTCGTATACAGACACAATGCAGCTTGAATCTTTAACGAGCTGTGTTTGAATATTCTGTCTTGTCTGTATGTATGAACACCCCAGTGACAGCTGTAGGGATATTTCCAACCTTATTTTATCCCTGTATATAGCGTCTTATACGTAAGATTATAGAATATAGCGCAATAACCCTAGTCAAAGATGAACATAGTAGGTAAGTATATATAGGTACATATACCTACCTACCTAGATATACATAGGTAGATAGGTATTTAATGGAGGTGTGTATCAAAAACTCTACGTCTAGACCAAGAGATTGAACTGAAAACCATAACGGGATATTTCGACTTTTTTTTTTACCCTTCGAATTTGCGCTTGTCCCTTGATCTCAATGCTTGACCATATCTCATCAAGAGCAGCGGGACGGGTATGAAGGCTAACGCAATAAAACCCAACACTGAATTGCCCCAGCCGAGCCCTAGCTTTTGATACAACGGTGGCCCTGCGAGTGGAACAAATGTTCCACCAAGATTTCTCAATACAGCACACCCGGCAATTGCACTTGCAGCATATATTCCAAATGCGTCAACTAGGTAGCTTCGCACCGGAATTGTAGTGGAAACAAGGCCCATGCCCAAGATTCCGGTAGCGATTATTGGCGCCAAGAAGTGCGTGTGAGCCTCGGCTGTCCAACCGTACATGAACAGGCCAACAGGAAGAATAAACCCGCCGAATATAACAGGAGGAAGACGCTGTTCAGGTTGAACCTGTCCGGATTTGGCCTGACGACGAACCCAGAGATCGAGCGTCGCTCGACAAAAGAAAACACCAATCACGCAACCAATACCTACGTAGACGTTAGCAAAAACTGTGACGGTTCGACTCTAAGTTACAACTCACCAAGTCCTAGAAAGCTGAGGCCGACTACGGTTGATGAAAAGTTATAAACGGATTCGAAGACAGTGGTGATAGTTGTCATAACGAGGTAGAGATATCCATAAACCACAGCAACGTATAGGGACATTAAAAATAAAATGGGCGACGTGAAAAGTAGTGTCAAAGGTCGTATACACGCATTTTGAAGCAGCTGTAGCGCCGTGTGCTCTGTTTCGTACTTAGACCTTATGTTAGGGTTATTCGTCTCCCTACGAAGCCGCTTTGCTTTGCCTTTGAGGATCTGTACGGAATAGGTTTCACGTAACAAGAGCAAAAAGCCTATCTCGAGAAAGCCGCACAGGATGGTGATGAGCCAGAAACACCATCGCCATCCCATTGCGCCGCCAAGATAACCTCCTATAATAGGACCGACGACGGGCCCCATCATCGTAGCAAGACCTACTATTGACATGGCGCTTCCTCGCTGCTCAACCCGGAAGAGGTCACCAACAATGCTGGGGTTGAGCGCCGTAGACACAACTGCTAAGCCATTCAGGAAGCGGAATGCTACTAACATCTGGATATTAGTACTCAAGGCACAAGCGGCCGAGAATACAATGCAGAGGATATTGCCGGCATGGTAAATATACAATCGTCCGTAGAGCTCAGAAAGAGGCGCGACGATGAGCGGGCCGAAAATTTCCCCAAGCTCCCAAACCGAGACGATGAAGGTTATGTAGAAGTCGTCTGTCTCGTTAAACTCGGCCAAGATCTGGGGTGCGACTGGCGCACAGATGATCGTCGCTAGAGATCTGAAAAAGTCACGTTAGAAAATCAACCTTAAACTTATGCATATAAGATCGGGCAAGACTTGCACTGCGAAATCCAACAGGGAAACTAAAACAATTAGAGACCATTTGAGCTTCGGGGACCAATTTTGAGGATTTGACAAGTCTGTCTCGTCGCCGAAGTCAACAAGGCCCCCCTGCCCGGCTCCTGATCCTTCCCGATCCACGTCTATCGGCCTGGACGAAATTGAGGGGGAGGGGACTTTTTCGGTTGCGTTTGAGGCCTCTGCCAACTCGGCCGACTTGACGTCGTCGGGGGATAGGTCGCTGGACTCGACCATTGCGGAATGATTGGTGTTAACGTGTGTAGCTACCATCACGTACAAGTAACAAAGTGTGAAATGTCATGCCAAGGGAGAAAGTCTCGGCTGCAGCATTCAAATGCTCGGCCTAGGTCATTCAGGAGATAGGTCATTCAGGAGAACTGGTTGGGTGATACGCATTTTACCCAGGTATCTAGGTAGTTACCTACTACCTTAAGTCACAAATCGCTACCGTTGGTAACTCGCCTTTGAAAGATCTTCAGACAAACAAACGGCCACGCAGCCAGGGTATCCTTTAACAAGTACAGGTAGATAAGCTATGAGATGGGCTCCAGATAGGCTTCTTATTACGATACGAAGCTCTGATTGGCTGATGCATCATGCCGCATTCCGAAAAGGGTATACGCTAAGCCAGGCTCAAGCCCTGATTGGCCGGTTTCCGTACTTGGATTTTCCCGAGACCCTTAGGTTTACGAGATATCATTTTCCGTTCGCAGGAGTTGCCGATGTGCATCATTGCATGGATTCGATGCATCCATGTAATTCTCAGGTTATGGGACTTGGGGTAGGAAGAGCCAGAATGTAACAGTATGGCGTGTTTAATTTCAATCAAGCACCGGATATCTGTAATTCTATATCTATATTCTATTGGGTAGATTTCGCATCCCTCGAATCCCTTGCATCCCTCTTCATGATGAACCCATGGATAGGACACTCGAGCCTTTCTCTCTCCGCAATGAATTCCTTGCTCGGATTCTCTTCTTGGGCGTCCAGGTAGAAATCGCCAATAACGTAAAACCCTTGCTTTTCGTACGTGCGGCGGGCCATCTCGGTAGATTCGACGAAAGATTCCAGGCCGAGCTCATCTGCTTTTCGCGTCCCCCACTCCAGCATCAAACTTGCGGCGCCCCGCTTCCTATGCGCTGAATGCACAAAGCATAGTGATATCACTGTATAATTTCCCGAGTGGTAAGCGGCCACACGAAGCCAAGAGATACATATAAGTGAAACCTACATATGTGCGGCTTGTTCATAATGACTGGGCGATGTTTTCCTAGGCAGGCGAGGAGATGATCCCCGACCTGTCTTAGGGGACCTGGTGGGTATCCTTGTTCAGTACCTACATGTCGTTCCACTCTCTTGACTCATCTGCAACGCACCTTCAGGTAGCCAAGAAGCCTTCCGTGCGGGCTGTTCGACAGCGTATGGATTTGTCTCGTAAATAATATATCGCGTACCCCCAATTACTTGGCCAGTACACTCGTCGGTAACATAGACCCAATGACTCCCAGGCTGTATCTTATGCCAGACTAGTTGACGGGCACAAGCCTCTTCGGGCGAGGTGCCTTTGGTGAGTTCAAAGACGCCATTGAACGGGTTACTGTAGGCCTCGTGTTCTGCGGCGTTTATGGCCTTGAAGTCTTCATCGTCTGTAAGTTCGTGGAGCTTCAAAGACATGGTGAATGGGGGTAGCGAGGGGGTATAGAGTGGGAAGCCGGTGTAAGTACAAGTTGAAGCTGAATATCAAACTTGAGATAGGTAAAGCGTTCACTTTACATTCATTCCCCTCCAACTCCAACAAAGTACCTACCTAATAATAGCGGCCGATCCGATCCGATCCGATGTAGGACGGCGTCACGTGTCGTATTCTCTTCCGTATACCGTACCGTACCTACCTAATCCTGCTCATGATGTATGTAGGTTAGGTAGGTATATGTACTCAGGTAGACTAAGGCCTGTTATCCAATCGCATTCGTATATGGATTGATCCAACAGAACGTTATTATTCGACAAACGTACCTACCTAAGTAACGCTACAACATTCGAAATACCACCAATAACAAGTCTTTGCGCCTACTTATGGAGGTTACATCTTACCTACCTACCTGCCTACCTGACCTAACTCATGGTTACATTCTCAATGCTTAGCTCAATGCTTAGCTTAATGCTTAGCACCTAAAGCACCCTATGACGGCGCTCTCGGCGTGCATTTTGGTAGCAGCCAAGGTGATAGTCAACCTTCCTCTCGTGGCATTCTTTTCTCACATGCATCGTCCTAGAGAAAACGTGTGTTCAATGCAACGCTTCCTTCTTTTCTTTTCTCTTCTCCCGGCATTAGACCTTCTTCTTGTAACCTACCCAGATGTACATACACAACACCCATCTGAAATGCCAGCCATCTAATATGACCTAGATCCAGCACAGGAGCTGGCCCCTCGGCTCGTGTTAGAAGACGTCTGGGTCGCCTGAATCCTTCTGTAGCAGACCTGCACGGCACTCACTCAGCCAACTACCGAGTTAATTACAATAGCCAGCCCGCCGAAAATCCATCTGACCTAAATTATCTTGGCTATCTTTTGATCGCATCGCTATTTCGTAAGAGTATGTGACATACCCGAATGGGCGAGAGACGACAATAGAGAACCATGATCACGGCTCAATGAACTCCTCCGATACGAACGTCTCCCTGCACGACAGCCCCGATAACCACGGGTCGGTGGTTAACTTGGTATCATGGTTCTTCGCCATCTGTAGTTTTCTTCTAGTCTGTACCAGGCTCGTGACAAAATGGGGGGTATCGAAGTCGTTCCATTTGGACGACACCATGATTGTAGCGTCGCTGGTGAGTCGCCTCTGTCAAGATGATAATGATATTATATGGTATTCTAATTCCGCTAGGTCTTTAGTATTGCGCAAACGATAGCGGCATCTATCGCGGTTGGGAACGGGCTGGGACGACACCAAGATACCCTCTCTGATGACAATATTATATCCTTTCAGAAGGTGCGCGGGCTCTTCCATAGGTCAGATTAATAACTCCCAAGCGCTAACATCCAACCAGTCTTATTATGCGGCGAATATTCTTTTCATAGCGAGCCAGGCTTTCTCTAAACTCTCCGTTATATTTTTCATAAGAGTCATATCACCCATCAATTTCCACAGGATCCTAACGTGGATACTCACCGGGGCTACGCTCGCCTGGGCGTTGACCTCGATCTTGGTGTTGATATTCCAATGCGATACACCGGGAACGTGGGAAATTCTTGGGGATGAGTGCATAGATCAAGATGCCATGTGGGATTATATCAACGTGGTCGATATCTTGCTTGATTTCTTTCTAATATGGTTGCCATTTATGGTCGTGTGGAAACTGCAGACTCATTTAAAGCGCAAGATTGCGGTCATATCGTGCTTTGCGACTCGAATCTTGTAAGTCTCTAGAAGGATCGCATCTCAGAATCATGCACTGATATAAACTCCAGGACTATCGCCGCGCTTATTTGGCAGATGATAGAGTCTCAAACAGTATCTAACCACCAAGACGCTACATTTGCATACTGGCTCATTGGTGTTGCAATGACACTGGCCCAAAACCTGGGCATCATGACTGCCAGCGCACCGTATCTAAAACCGTTCCTAGACAGTCTAGAATCCGGAATGATCCGAAGCGACGACCTTCGCCGTCGTGGGAATATCACGGGAAAGTCGTACGGGTACGGACGAAAGCAAGATGGCTCCGGCGCATCTAAATCTACGCATTCTACATCGCACGAGTTGGGTAACCTTGGAATCCCAAACTCTCAAGTAACTACTTCGGTTACAGTTGGAACGGCGCACACAACGCCTGATTGGGATGCTAGCAGCCGCTCTAGCCAGACGAAGCTCATCAAGCAAGTTAAGAGCTGGGGGGTTACGAGTTCACCGACCCCGGCGGGCGAATAACTAATATGTATCAGGGGGGTACGAATCTGTAAATACGCCGAATAAGATCTCTTTTATGATAATATCAAATTTCATCTTTTTTTTCTCATTGTTGATAGCTTCATTCAACTGCGACGGTACTTACAATATCGCTAACGCGTAGTGGCGGCGGGTCATCCCGCAATCATCCCGCGATGGCTTATTACCTGTCATACTAATACTAATGCCTGTATTGCGGCGAGGTTCACAGCCGAATCATATGAGGTAGGTACATACTACGTATTCCCACTGTGATTTCGCCACCGGATTCTCGTACGAACTGCGGCTTTTTTGCGCCATTATCTATGGCCAGTTATTGAGATGTCCGAGACTGGAAATAACTAACGATCTGAACTTCCAGGCAGATCTTAGATTGGTTGTAATATAAGATATAAAACACAAAATATAGCAGGAGAGGAATACATCTCCAAAGAGTAGATTATCCTGCTTACTTGAACTAGGTATACGATATGTAGGGACTTGAATGGGTAGGATCTCTATTACGTGACATGCATTGGCTGTGGTTTGTCGAATCGAGTAGCATACCCGAACGAAATCCTTCCGATGCCATGCACGGTCATCCACATCAGAAGCTCTTCTGGGGTCATAATAGAGAGTATCTCCGGCTAACGACCGAAGGTATTAGGCCGCGCAAGACGACGTCGTATCCGTTATCGCGTAACCCTCCCTTGTTCATATGTTCTTTTCGAAGAAAAACGCTTCTTCTGTACGTATCAACCGTTACCGACGGCTGTGGCCCGATATGTACGCTAACCCCCGGCGTCGCAAGCATTTTATTCTAGAACAGGATATGCGAAAGCAACGGCCCTGCTCGGAAGCTTCAATAATTTCAATCCCTCAGTTTCAGCTCGGCGCTGAGACCTTGCACTAGGAGTATATGCACGCGTCTCCTCAAGCTCGAACATCTTCTTAATAACCTATACCTACCCCCATAATACTACTGTCTACCCGCTTCCCATCCCATGCCTCTGTCTCCCATCGAACGCCGCCCGTCGCAAAGAACTAGACAGACACCCGCGAAGCTTTGTCGCCCCTCTGGGTAGGACGCGAAGGAAACACAACTAATAAGCCAAGATGGCGGACGACTACGAGCTCAAGTCGACTAAGCGCGACGACAATGAGGCGGCGTCTACCGAACTCAACATGGAGCCGACGGGAGGAGGGAAGAAGTCGATTATTGATCGCGACAACCAGACTCTTACTCGACTTGGCAAAGTCCCGGTGCTTAAGGTAATGCGTGATGTTTATTTCCGTTGACACTAAACAAGTACTTAATTATTGATATTTCGTCTTATAGCGCAACTTTGCTCTTATGTCCATCCTCGGATTCAGCTGCACGGTTATGAACACTTGGGAAGGAGAGCTGGTGTATGTCTCTCCCTCCGCCACGCGCATCATTCTTCCTAAGACCTAACCATGTCCACAGGCTTTTCCTTCAAGCGTACGAGAATGGCGGTTCAGCAGGATCTATATACGGATTCATAATCGTCTGGATTGGCACGCTCTGTGTCTTCGCAACTATGGGTGAACTGGCATCGATGTAAGCGCATCGCCTTTCACAACCAAGGCTCGAGATAACTGACACTCCGCGCAGGGCGCCGACGTCGGGAGGCCAATATCACTGGGTATACATGTTGGCGCCGAACAATTGGCGCAAGTTTACGAGTTACTTCATCGGTATGTTTGAATATGCACTTATTCACCAAAAAGCTTGGGCTAAGTTGTATGAGGCTGGTTGACGGTCATCGGCTGGCAAGCCGCTGTCGCGAGTCTGGGTTATCTTGCTGCCGGTCTCATCCAGGGTGTCGCTGTGATGGGGAATCCGGACTACGTACCGCTGCCTTGGCAGAAACTCCTGCTACTGTACGCTTCTGTCGCGTTCGCGGTGTTCGTCAACACGGTTGTGAGCAGTGCCTTGCCAAAGGTAGAAGGCCTCGTTTTGATCCTTCATATCCTCGGGTTCTTCGCTATTCTCGTGCCGCTGGTCTACTTGAGCCCTCATAAGAGTGCCGAAGAAGTCTTTACGTCCTTCTCGAATGGAGGGGGGTGGCCGACGCAAGGTCTTTCTTTTATGCTTGGCATGATAGCTGCTGTGTTCAACTTCCTCGGTATGTCATTACTCCTTCTCATGTGCAAGGATATTGCTTGGCTAACAGAAAATAGGCGCGGATGGTGCTGTGCACGTAAGTACATTTGAATAGCTCCCTCTTTCCCCTATTTCAGATCCACTAACAATTTTCTATAGATGTCTGAAGAGATTCAGAACGCATCCGTCATTGTCCCACGAGCAATGATTTTCACCGTCCTTTTGAATGGTACTCTAGGATTTGGCAGTCTCCTTGCTTTGTTATTCTGCATCGGCGACATAGACTCTGCTCTAAAGTCACCCACTAAATACCCCTTCATGGCGATATTCCAAGAGGGCGTAGGGTCGCTACAGGGCGCTCAGACCATGGCTTCGATTCTTGTAGTCTTGAATCTTTTCGCTATGGTATCCCTAATGGCTACTGCCTCTCGAATGACGTGGTCCTTCGCACGAGATAGGGGTTTGCCGGGTTGGTTCTACATTAGCAAAGTGAGTATCTTCACTAGCATTATAAGGTTGATTACCAGACTAACATCGAATCCAAGGTTGAACCTAAGACGTCGATTCCAGTAATTGCAATCGTTCTCACGACGATCATATCCTACCTTCTAGCCCTTATCACGCTAGGCTCCTCGGTAGCGTTCAACGACATCGTTTCATTGACTGTAAACGGCTTAGACGGCGCATACCTCATCGGAAACAGTCTTCTCCTCTGGCGCCGATTGACTGGCGGTATCCGACCGTATAACCGGGAGAACACAGCGTTGACCAACACCAATCACGAAAACCTATCGTGGGGCCCTATGAAAATCCCAGAACCATTCGGAACTATCGTCAACGCATTTGGCTGTGCATTCCTCGTCGTCATGTTATTCTTTAGCTTCTGGCCGACTCATGTCAACCCTACTGCCGAAAGTATGAACATGAGCGCTCTGATGGTTGGAGCGACGCTGATCTGGTCCGTGATATACTATGCCGTCTGGGCGCGGAAAGTGTATTCTGGGCCGGTCATTGAGATTAATAATAGTTAGATTGTTCTTAGGGAGTAAATAATATTAAACGTAAAGATTCCTAGGTACCTACTTACCTATCATTTCCTATGTCTCCTGAAGTCCTAGGGATCTTGTAGGATTGCCAATGTACCTCTTAGTGCTATACGGGTAGGATTTGTGGAAATGCAAACCGCCAAGTGACGCAGTGCACGATCTCTTATATGACCAAGCTTGCCAAGAATACTGAGGCATGCCGAGTCGTAGCCAAGTATAGGTACATAATAGTAAGCCTTAAAGAACGGGGAGAGCTTATTTTAACGACGATTCTCGGGGGTTTTCTATATGTACTATAGAAATATTTGTTTATGTAGAAACTTTCTTAAGCTTGGGTTAGTTATAGGATATAGGTACTCTAGATTCTTACAGCACAACAACAACAACAACAACTTTCAAACCATCTACTCGCTAAATGCATGGTAAGAATCTTACGCTAACCAATGTAATGTGTAGCACCACATGCGTAGCCCCCAAAGTGGCACAGATGTTTCTTAAAAGATGCCTCGAGGCATATTTCCCGGCTTCGTCTAGATTCTTATTTTATTCCCATTCACCATTTACAACTACAACATAGACTTCTCTATTACCTACAAAAGTGTCCTGAAGCCAGATCATCAATGGCGATTCTCTGTCCACCCTACAATTATGGCACGGGAATATGGAACGAGCCTCAACAGCAGATTTCACGCTCACAATGTAGCATAGACGATGTGAAAAAGGCGCTGAAGCAAGGTCTAGATCCTAACGTTCAATGGAACGCATTCGAGGTTGTCACCCCGCCTGCTATTGGGAGATTCGTGCCTAGTAGTTTTGATCCTGATTGTACTTGGGCAAATTATAACACGCCGCTTCATAAATCTTTGTGGCATCAACATTACGATGCGGCAGCTCTCTTGCTAGAGAGCGGTGCTCGGATCGATCTATGCAACGCACTCGGGAGAACAGTGCTACACGAAGCTCTTAACCCACCTAGCAAGCTTCGACTCAAGTATACTTCTTCCCATTATGAAAAAGTTAAATTTCTCATCGAGAATGGTGCAAATATCAATGCCGAAACCGAGGACTCGTCCTCCCACAACAAGTATACATCTCGCTCTGGGATCGTCCCCTTGCATGAGGCTATCAGGGCCTGGGATCTCAAAATGGTGAAAATACTAGTGGAAGCAGGGGCGAGTCTTACGCAGTTGGCCCCAGGTGGGTGGACAATCCTTGACCTTGCTCTACTGGAGAGAAATGAGCCGATCATAGATTTTCTCTATAAGTCTGGTGCTCGACTTTCGGAAATACCCAACTCGGAGGTCGAACCAACTAACCTACGAGAAATGGCACAGGCGTTACTAGCGGACAATAGTATATTTCCTTCACCTGACTATCGGGAAGCGTATCTCCACGTTATAAGCCACCCCGAGTTTCTCTGCGCCTGGAAAGGGTTCTCTACAGGCTCCGTATCAACATGCCGGGTGCTTCTCGAAACATTTCTCGATATTCTATCTCGAATAGCAGAGAAGCCAAATCCAGAGAATGTCCCGGGAGCTCCAACCTGCGTTCAATGTGCCGCATTTCTGAGGCAGCTATCACTGGAAATTTTAGATCCGTTTGAACTTTACCCGGACCGGGACTCCCTTAGGCGGTCTGCAATAGATGGATGCTGTCTATGTGCGTTGTTTGAGGACGCTTTGGTTCATAAAACTGGTAGATGGGCGGGTCAAAGTTCGGCGAAGTATACAAAGTTCGGAACAACACCCAAAATTATACTACTACCAGGCGAAATATCATGGCGTCCCACGATTATCATACACCACGAGAACCAGTCCGAGACTTTGATAATCGATAGTATGTCTGGTATGTTCTCTCCGTGTCGTCTTATAAGATTAATAGTCGATATCATGGCAGAGCGTTAAATACCACTAATCTCTAACTCTGTCCACAGATTCTTTTATGATAGACCACCAGCAATATCCGGACGACACCGAACTAGGAACAGGTTCAGCTCGAGCTTTTGAAACTGCTTGTTCTTGGCTCGAGAACTGCAGGTTGCATCATTCGAAGTGTAATGAATCAAAGGATGAAAACCCTATGTTACCTACCCGAGTCATTGACGTAGGAAACGAAACGTCTGAGCCCTTACTCTATCAGGGAAACGGGAGGCATGCCCCGTACGTTTGTCTTTCCTATTGCTGCGGTAGCTGTGACAACCTCAAAACAACAAAGGAGTCGCTTCTAGACCACATGAACATGATCCCGCTCAGATTATTTCCACCGACACTACGTGACGCAGTTCTAGCCACAAGGCAGTTGGGGTTCCGTTTTCTTTGGATTGATGCTCTATGCATTATACAAGATGACGAAAATGACAAGGAAAGAGAAGTAGCGCAGATGCAAACTATATTCGCCAATGCAACTGTGACCTTGTCAGCTCACGACTCTCGAGACTCTATGGGGGGGTTGTTCCGTCCACGTCGTTGGAACTACCCCCCTAGTCCCGTCCAGATCTCTTTGCGTATTCCCAAACAGCATAAACCAGTAAGAGAAACACATAAATATGGCTATTTTATTTTTCCGGTCCATGGAGAAAAGGAGCTTTATAAGCCTGGTCCGCTCAGCTTTCAGGCGTGGGCACTTCAGGGGCAGTTTCTAAGCACTAGGATAATTCACTGGGGTCCCGGAATCTTATATTGGGAGTGCTTAAGTTGCCATGGATCTGAATCAGACCCCGAAGGTATCACGCATCCGTATACAGATCCTGAAAGTTTCACGAATCCGTATCATATCACCTACACAAATTGTACACAGGTGCGCCGGCAAAAGCGTATTGCGCAAGGACGTTTCCATGAGAATGATCTTGGCTACAGCAGCACTCCCACATTTGGCACACTCAAGACAGATATTGATATAAGAAGATCAACATACCTAACATGGCAAGGCTTAGTCTCCGAATACAGCTCACGAGTACTGGCTAAACAGGAAGACAAGATTCCAGCATTCCTAGGTTTGAGTAGGATAATGGAAAGAGCTCTTCAAGATAAGTTCGTCGTAGGGATATGGAAGAATTCGCATTTCTTCCCTAGCCTCCTTTGGGCCGCCGATAACTCAGAAGGAAACTCGAGGAACGGAAACTATCCATTCTGGACTTGGGCTTCTATCAACGGCAAGATAAAATATCCTATAGTTGACCCAGATATTACCTGGGAGCCATCAGACGTGGCTTTAGATATCAAAACGTCCGGCCCATCCCAGAGTCATGCAACTGGCAGTATTACCATGAGGAGCACTATAAGGAAGTTCTCTTGGGTCAATCAACTTTGGCACTACAAGAACAAGCCGCGAGGTTCCTTGTTTGGTTCATTGCCACCCCGAATAGATAGGGAGATAGAGTCTAGGTGGCCAGCGGCTTCATTGATAGTTCAAGCATTTCAGGATATTGGATCCGCCTTGCCAGAATTACGGGCTCCAAGTAGTTGGGAGGATACCGGAGACGATATTTATTGTTTAGTTGTTGCTCGTATCGGCCTGAAACCGCCGCCGAAGGCTGGGAGTCTTACTTTCCCTGATCTACGGCCTGAATCTCTTGTCTGTATATGTATCACCCCTGTACGTCGTGGCGAAGAAACCGAGACCAAGGCACCGCATAACACGTATCGTCGTGTAGGATTGTGTGAGTTTCGGGATCAACCGGAGTTCTGGAAGGACGCCGTGAAGGGTGAATGGGTGACCATCATATGAATTCCAGGTCCCATTAAGGTATACGCAATTCTGATTTTGTTTTAAGCATATATATTGTAGAATGTATTTAAATTACAATGCGGCATCTTCGGCTGTTATAAACAACCACAATAAAAAATGATGAGATGCCCTACGCATCAATATCCGGTAGCGGTCAAGCAGCATAAATAATGAGTCATGTAGTGTTTAATGGTAATAAGGGGAGCGTAATTCTCTAAAAAGTGTATTAGAATTAAATGTATCTTCTTGAAAACTCAAGAGTCCCATGTTCGCCCCTCTGCGTACCTGTTAAAAGAAGCTTTAGGAGAGATGAGGTAGCTTAAACCCTCCGGGCACCAGTCTTTGAAATACTGCCCCTGGATCATATTTCTGTTGCACTTCCCTCAGCTTTCTTACGTTATCCTCCCCATAGTGTTCAATAACTTGCTGATCAATGCTTGCGTCGTTCATAAAAATGTAGCGAAGATATTTACCCTGAGCCTTTGCCAGTGCTTCAACCTCGTCAGTCAAACTCCGTATGCCGTTGTGCGCGATCTCGTCGTCTTCTGGGAACCACCAGCCAATGTCTGTATGGAACCAGGTTTGCGCTACTGGTTCCAATCCTAAGGCGTTTCCGCCGTGAAGCTTTCCGGCCTCTACAGCGCTAGCGGAAATGCCCTGTAAAGTGAAGATCCCAGTCCCAGCAGTTAAGCCTCTCAGTTCGTCTACTGCGGGGGATGTGGCGAATATCTCTCTTATGGACTTGTACAATGACTGAGTCGGCTGGAAACTTGTAGTAGTCCATTCAACCCTGCAATTATCATTAGCCATAGATTAAGGATATTTCCAAGTTTAAGCATACCGCGGGATTGATGGGATAGGGTATTCGCTTATTAGGTTATGAATTGTCCTAAGACCAGTCGTATCAAGGATTGTATTCCAATTTTCGTCAAGTCGAAAAAAGGGGGCGAACGCAGCAGGAGCTTCTTCAGGCTTCAGGTACGTGAGACCAATGACAATCCCGAATGTCGTGTTAGTCACATATGCATTAATGTTAAATTGTGCGTAAGGGTCCTTATTAGGATCTGTTTGAAACTCTGCTAATGCATCCAGCACGTCGGACAATGCCTCAAAAGGGTAGACTTTTGTCCCTCCCCAAATATGGAATATGGGATACGCCTGGAGCGTAAATGCGGTCACGATTCCTAGGATATAGGTTAGCTTGACTAAATGAGAATGCTGCTGTCATTGTCCATTTACCAAAATTATTACTACCGCCTTTTAGGGCCCAGTATAAATCCGCATTTGATTCTTTGTTAGCATTTACAAGTGAACCGTCAGCAAGGACAACCTAGGAGTTATTAACATCCTAACATATGTGACTTGTAGCATTGAAATGCTCACCTCGTAATTGAGTACATTGTCACAGACGAGCCCATAAAGGTCTGAAAGATAAGAAATACCGCCTTCGATGATTAGCATCTAGTAACTAGAAGTAGTGTAGCTGAGACTTACATCCGAGGATTAGACCACCTACACCAGGAGATAGAACCCGCCCCCCAGCAACGGTGACTTCATACTGGTCAAGTTCGGGGTAAACGTCACCCCATTTCTGCCCTGCACCTATAACCACCACGTTCTTTTCAACATCATATTGGGTGCCGCCAATACTTGACATGTCAATTAGCACACCTGCATCGATGGATGCAGCATGCGGAACAGGCATATGGCCTCCAGATCGGATGGCAAAACTTGCGTTGGAGTCAACTAGTATAGGGACTGCGGTCTGCAGTTCCTGAACGGTATTGGGCTGGAAGATACAAGTTGGTGACTCCCAAGCAGTTTGTGACCTAGGCAAGCATGAGAGATCACCATCGTACCATGATATGGCATTAAACCTACCAGTTCTCAGTAGTAGAAGCATTGTATCGGACATCGGTTGGGTGGATGGTTGCACCGTGGATTTTGCTTGCAAGTAGATCACATGCCACTATATCGGGGCTCGTTTGCGCATCTAATGAGAAGCGACCAAACAGTTCCAAGATATGATTGAATTGGGCCATGTCTATTGAGGTACTGTTGAGTTGTCTTGATGCTGTGTCTATGTTGGAGGCCTTAAAAGCTTCAGTCACGCAACTCTACATACGTCTGAGAACAGGGAGGGACTGAGTGATAGATGTCTCCGGGGATATTGGGAGGTGAGCTGCTGTCAATAGAATCATGTTAGACGAATGCAGCGTAATAAATGAATTGAATGCACTGTGTTGCCAACAGAAATCAATATCGCCAGCCTTGTTGCCTTAACTCCGAGAAAGGATTTTGTGATACTACCTAAGGAAAGTGATGACTGTTAGGCCAAGATTATAGAGGCTTGGGAATCACCCAATCAGAAAACTACCTCTTAGAATTATGGGCCTTGTCTCAATGATGTATCATTATGTACCTATGCAGGCTGGGAGGTAATACAATGTAAATAATATGGAGTGTATAATCGACGTGCTCTAAGGCTACAAGTAGAAGCTCGTATCTCGCATTCCCGGTCTGTCTTGGGTAATTCAGACTATCCTTTTTGTTCTCTCTATGAGTAATATTCTAAAAACATATATCATCACCAGCGATGAGCGACACGCAAGGAAATAGGAGAAGATGGTATGACTGTCTTCCATCTTCTTGGGTCCCTTACATGGAACTCTGTCACATTAGTACACCGGCACCTATTTTCCTGATATATTTTCCTCATTTATACGGTGTTATATACGCAGCCATTGTGCGAAATTCCCCGGTAGCTGAGGTGTTGCATATGTGTAGTGTGCTTCTTACCGGCACCATTTTCTTTTCGAACGCTGCACATGCTTGGAACGACCTAATCGACGCCCCCATAGACAAGATGATCCGTCGTACGAAAAACCGCCCCATCCCCCGAGGTGCCATTTCCCCTTTGTCTGCGTTCATATTTGCCTTAATACATGCCTTTGGAGCGGCATGCCACTTGTTAGTCTTACCAAGAGACACCGCTATATGTACCCTCCCAACTGTCCTTGGAACTACGTACTACCCGTGGGCCAAACGACACACCTACTTCCCCCAGGTAGTACTAGGATTCTGCCTAGCATGGGGGGCAATGGTCGGCGCTTCTGCCATGGGCATCCAACAACCTTGGACTAAGGGTACAGCTATATGCTTGTTCCTTGCTTGTCTCTTCTGGACTGTTATGTATGACACTATTTATAGCCATATGGATTTGGAGGAAGACATCAAAATAGGGGTCAAAAGCATGGCAGTCTACTTTCAGGGTAAAGCAAAGCTACTACTATGGTTCGTCCTGGTTTGCATGATATCCTCACTTATTCTTTGCGGTAATATGGTTGGATTAGGACGTCAGTACATGGTTACCACAGTGGGAGGCTGTCTAGCATCCCAGGCAATGATTGTTCAGATGGTAGATCTAAAAGATCCACAAAATTGCTGGTGGTGGTTTGCAAATGGCTTCTGGGTTACTGGAGGACTTATAGCAGGCGGGCTAGTTTCAGAATATGTAATTCGTTCCGTATGAGTTTGCAAGCGACATCCCAGGGACTTAGGCTGCTTTGGTGTATATCTTTTATATGGATGGAACTTATGAATTCTACTACCTCGCATGGCTCGTAGCAAGCTAGTTTGCTCAAACTACAATGATATTGTCCGATTCGCGAATCGTCTTTGGAAGATTGATGCCTCCATTCTCTCACAAGCCAGGCCCCAGTCAGTTGACCATTTATGATAGAATGGCTGATACCCTAGCAATCCACCTATCCATCTCCCAACCACGATTGCAACTATAACTGACAGATTTCGACCAAATGGTATCCAATTCGGGAACGAAAGGTAAGAACCGCCAGCATCGAACGTCTATGGTGCATTGTGGTTAGCCTCGAGCCTATCACGATGGCGAGTTTGTGAAACTTACACTCAAGACCTGAATAATATCAGGCTTTTTGCCGTTGAGAATAAGCTGTTCCTGGTATAAATACCAATTTTCGAAGAACAGAAGATCCAGGCTGAAAACCTCAGAAGTCTTGCTTCCCGAGATCAGGAACTTCAAGGTTTTATCCCCAGATTGGGTGTTTTCTGCGGCGACCGGATATGAACGATGATTTATACCGGGACGTACGGCAAATTCACCGTCATGTGGGAACATCAACCATTCCCGCCCGTTATATTCGAACCCTAAGCGTCCTTCAACTACTTGTATATACTCTTCCTGGTGCTGATGGAAGTGCATTGGGGGTTTTCTAGATATAAGCGTAGAGAACATTGGGTGGTCCAAATGAAATGTCGCCTCCAAGGCAAAGGCGCGTGTAGGATGGCTGATTACGCGCGTACTAAGCGCACCATCAAACCTAGGTAGGTAATAACTGGAGTTAGAGAGACGGACATGTTAGGGAACTAACTCAAACTTACACAGTAATTATTGCATCGGAATCTGTGTATATCATATTTGCCATTTTTTATATTGGCTACCAAACATATGCACCTATTTCCACCGTTACTTTCCTATGAATTCTGTATTTTTGAAAGTGGATGGGGAACCTTGGGCAACGCAACGTGTGGTGGGTATAACAGGTAGGTAATTCTGAACATCTGTTGGTATGCGAGCAAGCAACAAAACTACCACCATCCATATCACCTTACATGCATACAGAACCCAAGCAACCCAAGCAACACTACATGCTTACAGGGCCGAATTGATCCCCACGCATATCCGATTCCCTCTAGGTCTCCGTTTCATAGGGTAGTATTAAGTTAGAGAATGTTGGTTGCACGTAATATCGTATTATGCCCCTTGAGTGCGGGAGTGTTACGGTAAACCTCTTGGGATGTAAGTACCTAAATTTGATTGGTTCAGAAGCTCCTATAATAGCCCTTGATTGGACATACCCCTGAAAGCTGAAAGGGGTTTGCTGTGTAGTGCTCTCGCACTTGAGGATGGCTATAGTTCATGAGAAGATGAAATTTACTTTCTGTGTATTTTATACTGCTAATCTATGGAGTTCGATATCGGAATCGTTCATACTCTGATATCCACTTCCTAAAGTCCTTGCCCTTCCACCGAAAAGGTCCTTTCTTCCACTTGGCACGCCACTGCCTGATAGCTTGCTATTTTCCGGACTAGCTTTCATCGATGAAAGCTTCTGTGAAGTCTGCATCGATAACTGGTATAAAGCAGGTAAAGAAGCTCCGATTAAAGCAACTGTCGGCTCGACAACCGAGGGAACCCAGAAGGTCCTTCCGTATGTCTCGAATTGCGTAGGAACAAAGCGCGACATTAAGTAGTTATACCCTATAGTCTATTAGCAATATCATCATACCTAGGTATTCAACGATAGTAATCATTACATTGTAAGCTCCTTGGCTTATGGTCCCAAGTCTCTGTAATTTGGACCGCAAGCTTGTATGCTGCTGCGACGCTAGAACTAAACAAAGCCATCAAGTTACTAGAGGCCCTTAATGATGTTTGATAAGACTTACCCTGCTCCAAATCCAAGGATGATGACAAGGCCGACACGCTTCCTCATGGGCAATTGAAGTTTAAATGCCCAAGATATGGGTAGGACGAGCAAAATGATATCGTATCCGACACTAACGCTGTATAGACCGGTTTGTACATGCGCATAGAATACGTCGTCACAATATGTCGTGTGTTCAAGCGGGTACTTGACATTGTCGATCGGCCGGCAGACAAAACCAGGGAGGATTGAGAAGACAACCACATAGATTCCTTGCAGGGCTAACGAAGCATACAATACCAGAGCTCGGCGTCGATTGCCTTGAGCGAACACGCGTAGATAGAGAAGGAGAATAGATATTCGTACCGAGGCCGACATAGCAGGGTAAAGAAACAATGCGGCTACGATTCCCTAGTAGCCGGTTAGAAGGTCTCTAGCACTATTATATTCAGGACGAGCTTATCGCGAAGGAATTCAAGCATACTTGGTACCATCTTCCGTACTCGCCAACAGTTATTTCCCACAGCGGCTTGCCAATTCCTGCGTTCAAATTCATGTATCCGGCTAAAGCAATCCATCCGATATAAAGGACCTGTTCATTAATGAGATTTTATTTCGGTAGCTGCGAGAACCCTTACAGTTGCTGGGATGATGGCATAGTCATCTGGCCCCAAGGTCTTGGACGTCAATCTAGTACCTAGGCGGATAAAGACGACAAGAGTGGTGATAACACCTAACACTATAGATGATACAGCAATAGAATACACCTTGTGAGTATCATTGACTGTTGTAGGGGGGGGGATCAAATCCTCAAGCGGGGTGCTAAAGTTTAGTCCATAGAAGGCAGACATACTGTCAGATGGGAGCGAGCAAATAAACCTGTAAGTCTAAAGGATAGCGTGGGCTGCCTTAGGTACCTAAGGTGGGCATCTAGCTTAGTCCGATTCAATAAAATGAGAATACAGAAGCGGAATAGGCAGTCTGGATATAAACAAGTAGCATATCGTGGAGGCTATGCATAAATACGAACATGAGCTTGTAGGAACCGGTTGGTGAATTGGATTCCAAGAGCATAGGCGGTCAACGTGGTTGTATGCGCTGATCAGATTATCCTAACAAATATAACATAGGTACCTATCACGACACCATGCTAGGTAATCTTGACCGAACCTTAGATTACTAGGTGGTCCTCAAAATGCATCTATTGGACTGCTTGTCTGACGTTGGACACTGCCCAGCACTGCCAAGTGGTGCAACGCTATCATAATATGGTAGTATATTGATGTTGTATTGTTGTATATTGTTTAAGTTATATGGGGGAGGATCTCGTCTTAATATACACCTGATGTAGGGTACACACGTGACAAACGCCCACATGGCGTAGTGGTTTAAAGCCTCGATGTGTGTTGGTTGTATGGTCAAATCAAAACGGTTCGACTCAGGTTTTTCCTTAGACCTATGTAGGTAGACTCTAGTCGGTTGCATTCTGGGTCGCAACATATTTCCGTTATAAGCAGGTGTGCTCGACGGTTTTTTTCTCTTGATTAAGATTGGTTACTTGGCCTTGGCGTGAACCAGGTAAAGTAATGCTATGGGTAGGTAGGGGCTGGGAATGCTGTAGCTTATAGGCAGAAAGTGGAGGATTTCTTGGTATATTATTGGCGAAACTCTAATAGCTTTGTTTCCCCTTCGAAGAATGTGCTCTAAACGGTTTAATAGCGCCATTGATGCGCTTGTTGTAACTACCGTAACTAGGTACCTAGCTATGGCCCCAATAGACGTAAACGTTATCATCATCATCATCATCATCATCATCATCACCAAGTGGTGTAATGCCCGTTGCCCGTAAAATGAAACTCATATCTGCATTAGATAAATACTACATAATTAACCTACCTATTAGACGCCGATAGCATACATTGTGTTATTTGCTTTGCAAAAAAGGGGGGGTTGGAAAGTGGGAAAACAAAATCACGAAGAGAGTGTAAATTCATGCTAGACCATCTAGGAGGTCTACCCACTACTGATCTCTTTGAGAATGTCTTCAACCCCGGCAAATGAAAATTCTTGAAGTGTTTCCTTCCACAGGATATTCCGTAGGTGCTCACCCTGAGGTGTGTAGACAATCGGCGCCATCCTAAGCGTTCATATATACGTTAGAGATGTGCGTCACCCGAGGGGACCTTCTGTAGTGTTACTTACGGCTTCAACTTCTGAAGTCCTAGATACTGTCCGTGTGTTTCTTCACCATGCTTCACAGCTGCATCCACTATCATACGAGCACCGACTGCCGAAGTATAACCAATTCGTCGCCGGAAGACCTCTGCGATTTTCCCCTGGAGTGAGCGAGCCGTATCGCGACTGATTCCCGAGTCGTAAACCATCATCGGCGTTGCCGTGTTGATCACAGCAACAGAGGGAGGCACATGCTTAGCTAGTTCGACCAAGAATAGTTGTCCCAATAGTTTTGATACAAAAGTGCGGTTCAACATGTCCACTTTACCGGGTTTATCAAAAGATGGCAGTAAGGGTTCTTTGTTGCTCACATCTAATTTGGCCCAAGCGGCTGTATCGGACGACGTAATCGTGATACGGCCTGGTTGTTGTGCCGTTAGCCTCTTTGACTTGATCACCGGAAGGAGTAAAACGGTCAATAGAGCTGTCGATAGATAGTTGGTTTGTATGGTCTCCTCATGGCCTGTGTTCGGATTAATCTTCGCTTCTGTTGCCATGATACCTGCATTGAGAATCACGATATGTAGGCGCTCGAGGCCTTTGGCTCGCTCTACAAAGGAGCAAATGGAGTCATACGAGCCGTAGTCTAACTCCCAAACCTCGATGGTCCCTTGATCTAGGTTCCTGCCCTCCGATAGCTCAGCAGCTGTAGCTTGGCCTTTGGAGACATTTCGGACGGCGAGGATAAGTTTTGTTAGTCCCAAGTCCAAAAGTTGACGGCCACACTCGCGACCGATCCCGATATTCGATCCTGTCACGATGGCTGTTTTCCCGCTAAGATCGACTCCGCGAACCTGGGCTGGTGTTTGGGTAAGTTGACGATAGAAGTAATTCAGTACGCTTCCCTCCTTCTCGGGAGAAACGTCGAAAGTCGCAGACATGCTTAGACGCTAAGAATGATGAGATGATTGATTATAATAGGGAATAAGATGGGGCGTCCTTGAGAGTGTGTAGGGTTCTAAATCAGCTAATGCACTCAAGCCAGAAACCGACGCGCAAGGGATAGGAGCTTGACGCCTTTCTGGTTGTGCCAAGACCTCTCATAAATTAAATGGCATCTAACCTACATACAACCCTACCTATGTACCGACTAATAATATTGGACGGTATACGTGATAGGTAACGTTCCTAATGTACATACATAAGGCACTTATTGTACCGCCCTGTACTGCCCGGTACCGTCAAGTACCTAGGTCAAAGGCGGGGGGCCGCCAGGTTAGGACTACCAATGGTGACTTCGCCCCTAAATAGAAAGAAAAGCCACCGTGATTACTACACTACCATAATAGCACAAAACGGTAACACGATGCTTCAAGCCATCTATTGAAGAGCAATGGGACCAAGTATTATTTCCAAGTATTACTTTTGGTATAAAGGTAGCTTCGGGGCATATACGAAAGGGGATGAATCTAAGTTCTCTGATACGCGGAATTTTTCTCTTTAGCCTTATGTACCATAAGCATGAATAACTACGGCAGCATCTTAGCGGCAGCGATTTTTGTTTTGATAAAACTCTGTCTTGCTGATTCTAATACTACTGCAGAGTTCAAATCATTCTGCCATGAGTTAAGATTGCCTGATCCAGACACCCAGTTACTTATTGAAAAGTTCTCCCGCATTTCAACTCCTGACGATGTTCTCGACGTTGCCTGCGCAACAGCCAGATTTGCCCTTGGACAAGATCAAGTAGATACCGCCCCTCTAAATCAGACCGTAGTCAATGAAAACTGGTACGTCGAGTTCTGAAATTTCTGCCTCCCCTATCCCCCTATCTAACAAGTATTTAGGTCTCAGACTTGTATTGCCCAGCCACACTGCATAATTCAGCCCATGGAGGCACAGCATGTGTCGGCTTCACTCAAAATCATTGCCTTCTTCCAGGTGAAATTTGCAACCCGAAGTGGCGGGCATTCACCCAACCCAGGATGGGCCAGTATCGGAAATGAAGGTATTCTCCTTGATATGTCTAGAATGAATCAAATTATACTATCAGACGATGGTAAGGTGGTTAATGTTGGCCCGGGGGCTCGTTGGGGCGATGTAGTGGCAGCCTTGGACCCCTATAATGTCACTGTTGTGGCAGGAAGGGATCCAACCGTCGGTGTGGCTGGTCTTGTCCTTGGTGGTAAGTAACTCGTCATTCATGTACAGGGCTTCCGGCTTCCAGCAGTTTTACTAAGCTTTGAATAGGGGGCTATTCCCATTTATCGCCTAAATATGGTCTCGTAGCAGACAACGTCAAGAATTTCGAGGTAATCATTACGAACTTGGATTTCTAAGAGCCTGGTTAACATAAGGTTTAATAACAGGTTGTTATTGCAGATGGAACTGTCATGGATGCTAATGCAGACAGAAACAAAGACCTGTTCTGGGCGCTCAAGGGCGGCGGACCAAATTTTGGAATTGTTACTAGATTCGATCTTGAGACAGTACCCATTACCAGAATCTGGTTACAAATCGCCGTGTATTCTCCAGACCAAGCCTCAGAGATTTTAGAGGCCTATTCCGAATGGCAAAATGACGAAAATTCCGATCACGAATCAACGGTTGGCATCGTTATTGGACTTGACACCATCACTTTAGGCCTAGTCTATTTCGGACCGTTGTCTTCTCCCAACTCGTTCACTCCTTTCTTCGACCTAGATCCATTAGAAATTGCAATTCCTCCTATGAATACAACATTTGCTTTCCTTAACTCCATATTTTCTACGGCTTTTCCAAGCATTCCCGCACGGTACGTGATTTCGTGATACAATTATATGATATACCTAGGTAGTCAATAGTACTAACCTGCTAATTATTTTAGCCACGATTTCAGAGCTGTCAGTTCTTACATCGATGCCCAGCTCTATAAAGACGTGTACAGATTTTGGCTACAAAGCTCTCAAGCTATACGAGAGACCACAGGAGCCAACCAAACGTTCGTCTTCCAGCATGTTCCTGCCAGCATGGTACAACAAGGAAGAAACAAAGGCGGAAACCCCTTGGCTCTAGAATTAAAACACCAGCAGTGCAAGTGTATAAAACCCGCTTGTAGTAGTCACGACTAACGTTTCATAGGGTGGACAACTACAATCGATTGGGAACGTAGTGAAGACGACGAATTAGTACGGACTGCTTCAATTGACACGGTAGAGCAGTGGGAGAAACTCTCGCGTCAACGAGGCTTAGACCTTCCATTCATATTTATGAATGACGCATCGCGAGACCAAAATCCACTTGCATCGTACGGGTCAGAGAGCGTCGACAGGCTAAAACAAATATCACAGAAGTATGATCCGAACCAGTTGTTCCAAAAATTACAGGGCAATGGTTTCCTACTTTCTAATCTATGAAAAGTTATTAGGTAGCTTTCTCTTTTTTCATGTATTATAGGTAGAGTACGATCTGGAATGCAATGGTATCTTTTAGATCTAAGTGTGAGTAGTAATATGTTGGCTCATGTCGTGAGTTAGATCATAGTGCCTTAGTTACCTAAGGTATATAATACCTACATATATCATGAGCTCTATATCATTAGCTCTATATCATTAGCGCGGTCTATAGACTTATTGCGCATTGACCGAGGAATCGGCTAACCTAGGTAGTAATTAAGCATTAAGTAATCTGAAATATTTCGGACTAGTATGTCTTTCCGAGTTAAAACTTTCGCCCTTTTTGGTAGTTTTAAAGCTTTTTGTGATGTTTTCATTGGTTCGAATATAGGATATATTCTTCACTCGGTTGATGGCGCTAATACCTAAACCGTGTAGAAACTACGGTATTAGCTCGCTCTAGTGAACATATCGATATTCCTAACATACCTACCTACCTAGGTACCTTACCTGTAGGTAGGTAATTTATGAAGGGGTTGAAGAGAACATGTAATTGCCATGCGGGGTGGGATATTGTCCTGCAGAGTATATTAATCAGGGCATGACAAACTACAGCCAATACTTCTGGTCCTTAACTTGAGAAGTGAGTAACAGGTATGTATTAAGTATCAACAAGTTTTTATGCAATTCCTATTGGTTGGATTGATATATTAATCTGACGTACTGCATTTGTGCAGAAGATAACTGCAATAAATGCAATAACAAGTCCTACAGTGTTGCATCGAGACATCCACTATCCACAGCGTAGCAGCCTCGTCACTTCCTTTCTACACATCGCGTATATGTCTATTATTTAAACTGCTAAAGGATTGTTGTAGATATTCGTATGATTATGGAGCGGTCCTGGCTATTGGAGTCTATTTTCTTGATACTTAAAAGGCATTTTGGTTGATTTTGGTTGAAGTGTGGAAGTATATCCCCAGATGATTCCATTAGTAAAATCTGTAGAGATTCTTTCCCTTGTGTGCCGATTGGATGAAACAAAATAATCCACCTCCAGTGATGGTCGCAATATTAGACCTCTATACCACTCAATGTTACATTCGCTCTTCAGCTGCCAGTTGGTAGTAGGCGAATTAGGGGCCGTTTTCTCCTTCCAGATAGGTAGGTAGTTAAGAATATGCTCAAGTAGGCAACTTTAGGAGACAAATTTTGATGAGTAATATAATGCGTGGAGATTAATGCTCGTCACATACGTGAGGCTCTTGTACAAACCCGAGGATAAATTCATCGATCGTCGCATTTCACTAAACGTCGAATTCAACCCCTTACTAAACACCCCAACTACCAAGCTCCGTTAGTGTCTACAATAAGCCTTCCTACCTAGTAATCAATGGATTCCTCTTCGAATCTGTTACCACCGGAAACCGACCTTTGCAAAATACCGACTGTTCCCCCCCCTCCTGGACGATCTTCTGACCTAGACAACGCAGACATGAAGTCTTTGACAATCTCTCTCGGTGTTATCTTAACGACTATCGCGGTGTTCTTCAGCCTTGGTAGACTCTACGCCAACTTCCGAAAGTTGACAGCTAGTGATGGTGAGTTACCTGTCGCTTACACGAAACAGTGCTAATGAAAATCGGCCAGTCTTCGTATTTGTTGCCATTATATCTAATACCGCCACAGTAGTTTTGATGATTATATGTATGATATATTGTGTTATATATTCTTATTCAGTTGATAACCTTCCCACCACTAGATGCCAAATACTTCCGACATATATGGAACATACCTTTGTGTTGGATCAATGATAACTTCGGAAAGGTGAGCAACTGAGTTATTCACTTACCTTCCGTTTTAACCTAGAGATTACTAACATTAAGATATACCACTTCTAGATAGCATTTGCCTGGGAAATGACCGCGACCTTCAGTACATTTCCTGGCAGAGCCGCTACTTTGCTACTGTTCTACCAGCTCTTTACCATATCTCGCTCGATAGGTATAGCTATATGGATCGGCATGGCTACTAGTCTTATAATCACAGTTTGGACCATATGTATATTGTCTTACGGTTATGCCAACGATAATACTCGGGATCATCCTGGCGACTCCGACGGCATTATAACCATGTGGCTCCTACGATGGTCACTTCTCTTGGGTATACTAGATATCTTGATCGACATCTATATCTTTATCTTGCCACTACCTATTATCTTTAAGTTGAACCTATCCAAGAAGAAAAAGCTGCAGGTCTCGGCCATATTTTTCATAGCATTACTGTAAGAAATAAAGCTATAGATGTTGCTTTTTGGGGTGTTTTGTTTATAACTGATATCCTCCAGGGGTATTGTTGTCAGTATCTTAACGCTTGCATGTAGAATAAAGGCATTGCAGAGCCACAACTTTGATAGCACATACAACACTGGAGTTTTGATGATGTGCAGGTAAGCCTTTCACGCCCCCTTTACTTATCGCGGCGAAGAAAATACGCTAAGGTGACATGGAAATCTCCCTAGTCTCGTTCAGATGAATGTAACTCTCATAATCTGCTCTACCCCGGCATTCGTGGGCTTCATACGTCTCCATGTCTTGGAGTCACAGGCCTTCAAGGATCTTCAATCGATACTAAGAGCCGGTAGTAACGTACCCAGCCGGTCCAGCCTGTTCAAGTCCTGGCAGAGCCCCAATCGGCCTCGTACCGGGCGTGATGAACCACCAAAGCAAAAGCGGAAAAGTTTAAGTAGCACGACTGATTGCGCCGAAGTAAGCGACACATGCTTGCTCGACAGCGGAGCTACGATAAATGTCGATGGGCAGAGAAATACACTTGTGGTCGGTGGCGAAGATCAAGAGGATGATATCCACTTAAAGGTGCTTAATATGGATATTGAACATAACTCGGCCTCACTTCCGCCTTGAAGCGACGTATGGAATAGGTAGTTATCACGCGGCACCCTTATCTATACCCGAATTTTAGCGGTCTCTTTGGTGGTTGGTAATCTCATTAAACGGGGTTTAGCAATATGGTAGCTATGTATAAAATTCGACTAATCAGAATTATCGAGTAAAAGAGGCAAACCCCCTTGGAGGGCTAATAGAACAACTAGAGTATAAAGAGGATTATATTTTGTAATTATCAAAAATAATACCTAGGACTAGGTACCTACCTAGGTAGGTACCTAACCCATATTGTGTTATTTTGTGCTGCTTCATGGTTTGAAGGTCTCGACTCGGCTATGCATGCAAGATCCGCCCAACATTTTTCCACTTCCTTCATCTTGACCTGCGGCTGAAGGAGCGTGCATCTGCCCCATAGTAGAGACGGGTTCCTCTCTCCAATCAAGAGTTAGCCGCCGTTCACTTAAGATGACCAACCCCATCATTTCACAAAGGTTACTAGGGAATATATATATGTACACCAAAATTTATTGTCTTTTCGGTGTCGTAGTTCGAGTAAATATGTCTTACGACTGGAAATCTGACAGTGATAATATCTTCCATTCGTTCTTAAGCCCAACCAACCCTCGCTTTTGTATTAAATGTGCTTAATTCGAAGTTCTTGACTGCCACACAGACAACGCTGCCAAGAGAGTGTTGGCCTCAACACAAGATGGCCAAGCGCTAGCTAGACGGCTAGGATAACTGTTTTAAGAATCATTGGATGAGACCTATTACGAGGATATGTAGACATAATCAAAGCAACCAACATCTGATTTAGTATGGCGGTTAGATCTCAAGATACGTACTGCAGACTGTCTACAAATAGGCCTTGAGCCCTCCTCTCTGAAGAAGGGAGGAACCAAGAACCATAAGACCTTAGAGAATTATTAGTAAATTGAACATACACCCCAAGCCAATACAACCTTTCTTACGTTGACCAACTTCCTCGTGTAAGTAAGTCGAGAACGTCCGATACGAAACCCACTTAAGCATACTAATAATATATGCCTAGTCTACCATGCCCGGTCGAAATATTTCGCAGTCAAATCCGGCCAGCCCAGCCAACGGTAGTAGCTCGTCAAGTACAGGAGCCAGAGCAGACCGTGAGTTCTCGGTCAGCAATCTGATTAGTAACGAGGGCAAGGCGAAACTGCAGAAAAGGGATAAGACTGCAGAAACGCACAAGATGCACGAATCGGATATTTGGTCGCCGGCACGGCTGGAACACTCTACCAAAAAGTGATCCTGTACGCAATTGCCTACCTCCTATCGAATCTTCCCGACGACCTCAACGAATTGGCTAGACTGTACCCTCCTCTCAAGGGTTTCTTAACCAAAATAGTCCGACTCAGGTTTTTCCTTAGGCACTGCTAGGCGCTAATAGTAGTTCCATCTCCGTTATAAGAAAGTGTGTTCGACGGTTTTTTCCCTGATCAAAGTCGGCTACCTGGCGCCGACGCTAACCAGGTAGAGTAATGCTGTAGGCAGGTAGGGGCTGGGGATGCTATAGGCAGGAAGTGGAGGATCTCTCATGTCAGGCGAAACTCTAGCTCTGTCTCTCCTTAAAGGAGGATGTACTCTAGACGTGTAAATAGCGTCATTGCTGCGCTCGTTGCAGCTACCTAGCTATAGCCACGAATAGATGTAAACGTTCTCATCATCATCATCTTAAGGGTCTCTCAGCCTATTCTCAGCCCTCCGTAGCAAAGTAGGCATGGTTGGATGGAAGTGATGCTTTTTCACGCCACATATAAGTCCACATAAGTCTGGCCTCTGATTGGCTAGCCACACCTCAGCGCATGTCCGATGAATCTTTTGTAAAATCAATTGATCTACTATACTATTGTATAAAAGATCTAACAACTGCTATTTTTTGATATAGCTCGTTTCGCATGAAATTTCTATACTATTTATATTATTTACAGACGCTATGCGATAGAATGGCAAAGGAAAGAGATGCCAGCTGCAGGGGGATTCTAAGGATCTGATTGGTTGGAAAAACTGTGGCAGTACTAATAACATATAGGAGAGTTGATATAAGAGAGTTGATATATGTCCTTTTCGCTTTTGATCTTTACAATTTGTCATGCATATGGTGGTAAGGTTATGACGATATTATCTTTTTAAACGGTTTCGTCAATATGGCTCATAGGTGTTGATCTTTTCGGTAACACTTCTTGTTGTTGTGAAGCTGAACCTAACAATTGCTGGATTTCGTGTAGTTTGGCCTGGATATTTGCTGCGAACTTATTGGCAAACGACGAGTTGAGAGACGAAAATAATTCTAGCGATTTGGAATAGTACTCTTTTGCCATCACGAAATTATGAGTATCGTGTCGATTTCCGATCCCATATATCAAATATCCATCGGCAAGGTCCTCATTTGCGGATGCAGCTTGTAATGGATCATTACTCTGGAGTTTGTAACCCTCGATCGCCCTTTGAAGTTTTCTTCTCCCATCATGGAATCTGCCGAGCTTTATGAGCAATCTGCCGTAAATTCGTATGCTATTAAGGGTCATTATATCATTCCTAGGAAGTAGCTCTTCTAGACGCTGGATATGTTCTTCATAGTCGTCACAAGCCTGTTGAATAGCCGCTTCGTCACCTCTTTTAAACATATAGCACTGTGCCATGCGAAGAATGAGTTGATGCCATTGTAGATCAAGAGCTACTCTGCAATCTGCTTCACAATGCTCTTCGATGCATTTCTCGGCTTCTTTAAAGCATTTCTCAGCCTCCCGTAGACTTTCTACTGTATCTTGAAGGAGAAAAACAGAGCCAAGTTCCTTCGTCGCCAGTGCAAACTCTAGGCAGTTCCCAAGTATAGCTTGAAGTCCAGACGACGCGGTACTTAAACGTTCTAATGCGTTGATGAGATCATGTCGTAATTTTGAAATGGTACCAAGATGTTGTTGAATTTTGAGCAACTGCACCTTGAAATCGTCGCCTAGAAATGCTTCGTAAATATCCTTTGCCTTGTTCAAAAGTATTTCGGCATCATCTAGTTGTCCTCGTTGTATAAGGCAAAGTGCAAAATTAGTACCAAACTTCGAATCCAACAAATCCCAAAAGTATGGTTTCATTATGGTAATACCAATAGAATCGCGTACTACTTCGAAGCATTTTTCGGCGTACTCAATCTCATTTCGGTCCTTATATACCAAGCCAAAATTATTAAGGACGGCGTAGTACCCAGCAGCCTCGGGATGCAAGCGATCTATCTTTTGTGTTTCGCTATTAACGGATCTGGATTCGTCGACTGATTTGTCATTGGCATGAGCTATGGGCGAGAGCCTAGTGTACCAGTTTAGAGTCCAAGCATAGATCCTCGCCGCATCATCCAACTGATTTCTTCGTTGGAGTAAATGTCCAAGATGACCAAGGCTAGGTAAGAGTCCGCGATGAATATTCATGCCATAGTCATTGAGAATTTCGAAATTCTCTTTGCATTGTAATACGTGGGGTAAAAGCCGACGCTGTTCATCCGTAGCTCCTTTGGCATGTTCGATTGGTACTGCTCTTGCAACAATATGCATAGCAGAATTGATGCACATTTCGACGTCGCTCCTCTGAAGTGCGAGTAAACGAGCTACTCTGTGGACCACGGGATAAATGGCAATGCCAGCCTTTCCAAACCTTCTATTCGGTACTGGTCTAATCAAGCATATCGAACCTAGTTGTCTTACTATATGGTAAAACCGACTATGAGATAAGTCTGGAAATAGCTCGGCCCATATGCATTCAGGGTCTAAAAAGGCGCAGACCAGGAGAAAACCCCGAGCATCTGAGTCAAGCCTCTCAATGGCTAAGTTGATAGTTTTAGTCAATGACCGATCCAAGTCAAGTTTGGAGTCGTCTGCAATGCTCCAATCTTGAGATCGCCAAAGACCAATACAGTCTTCTGCGTTTATTCTGTGATTTTTCATATACTGGGCTGCGCTCTGAACTGACAATGCATGATTGTCTAGGAGTTTCGCTAGTTTCGGATAGCCTAGAATCTCGTAAATATGTCAAACGCTTATTGAGGAATTATGTGGCATACTGGCGTCTCCCGATCCTTCCTGGATTCCAATGACTTTTTCTATTAGACGTATGCATTCGAAGTCTTCCAGACCATCCACATGGATATTTGGATAGTTTTGGGCGAAATCCGAATTCTGAGAGGTTATTATAATAGTTCCCTGTTGGATCTTTTCAACGAAATGTTGTACCCAGTGTTTGCTTTCGTCAGCTACTAATTCGCTAGGTTGTTGGAAAGGAACATCGTCTATGAGGATAAACCACTTATTGTTACCCTTGGCATTAAGCCAGTTGATGATAGCATCTATGTTTTCCCTTTCCCGGTTCTGAAGCTTATGAGATTTTCCGATCACCGAGATGTCTCGTGTTAAATTGACTGAATGTGATGGCGGGATGAGACTAGGGATGTCCTCTGCATATCTAGCTAGAGTTATGCTGAAGTCAATTTCCGATGTTCCGGGAAGCTCGAAGCGAGCAGTAAAGTCCTTCGATCTCGCAAAGTGACGAGCCATTAGCGACTTCCCACATCCTGCTAATCCGTATAGACACAAGATAGACCGGAAACGCGGGTTTGTGCCAATTTCTTCGGTCATTCTATGCAGGAGGTCAGGTCTGTCTACAAAGTAGGCAGGCATCTGTTCAAATCTATTGGAATGTGTCGTTTGGACATCGAAGTTTTCAGGGGGTGATAATAAGTGCTTTACTATACGGATTTAATAGGGGTTAGCAAGACAGACATAACCTTCTACTTATACAACTTACAGTTTCCTTTTCCGCTACCATGTCCATTAAACTTCCGTCGTTCTAGGAGACTCTCTTGATTAGCGTACATGCTACGAATTGCGTTCGAAACCGCTAGAAAAGACCGATCGTTAGGATCCGAAAACTTGTTAAGCTTCAAGTGATCCGAATGTAGGAAGACTCGGTCCCAGCCGGGGACATGGGCAGACTTCTCGTTCACCGTCTATGTGATAATCAGTTTAACAAACTCATTGACGGCTTATCACAAGAACATACTCTCCCTCGTGTCAGGCCGGAAATACTGAATCTCTTCCCGTGGTCGATAGCGTGTAGTTCAATAAAACAACATATAGGCAAGTCTAGCTTATCCCGGAGTTGACCAAAGGCATGTGTCTTGTCCCGTAAATGCTTCTTGTGTTGATGCTGCGCTATAGTGACACTGGTACGGAAACTAATAGGACCCATGAACTGCGGCGAGGCTTTAGCGAGGCCTCGCATTCTCGTTCCCGTGAAAGGGGTACCGAGTGCCGCGAACCCGACCGTTCGTTCGGGTAAATATTTGAATTTTCTGGTGCGGTCGGCGTATAGTAAGGCCTGTTAAGTCAGAACTGGCCCCCTAGGCACGAAACGCATACAGAAACCATCAACTTACATGCAGCACAACTAGTCCCCCGAGGCTGTGTGCAATAAAAATTAAGGGACGCTCCAAAACATCAGTGCGGTTGTTATGCAAGCCGTTGATCAGCTCCTCACCGCAGAGCTCAAGGTGGATTTTTTGGGGGGCCTTAGAGTGCCACCTCGCCTCAAAACTATACGCCATGATCCGAGAATTTGGTATTATAGCAGGAAGCATGTCGGGATCTTTCAGCCAGTGGACATGTGGTAGTAGTCCTCCCTCGTCTTTCCAGGTCCATGACCAGTCTGCATCAGAACCCAGACCGGGAACAGCAACTATACTAGCCAAGGAATTAGTCTAGAGAGTGTTATAGGTTCTAATAAACGCTTACTCGACTTCGGCTTTACCGGTTGGGTCATCATATAAAACTTCAAAGGGTGACCAGCTAGTAGAAGTCTACAACTGAATTAGTCACACGTACGAGGTGTCTTGACAAACTACCTGAAAATCGCTAACTTGTTTCCTGTCCTTTTGGGAGTGCTGAGTGGCATCGTCTTCTTGTTGCTCTCTGTGTGTCGCCCTTGTAAACGGAGATCGCATGCGCTGGAAAGTGCGGGACATCCTTGCTGTGGTTGACAAGGCTAGGGACTTAAGCTGCAGGGCTCTCCTTACAGAAAAATGGTAGAACTAGGAGTCTAGGATGTTTCAATATTATACCGATATAGGAAACAATAAAGTATTATATAGACACCTATATGAAAGTTGAGTTAAACAGGAAATACGATCAATTACAATGTAGGACCATGTCGGCGGCGTCCGTAGTCTGACTGTCGGTCTGCGTATGGGGCCAGCGCTAATACTTCTAATAAGATTGGTCAAATATTCAATAGAGATTGGACACCTGGACATATCAACAACGATATTCAAGCGCTGTTTCGAGATAATATTATTTTTATGATACTCATGCCATCATTTGTAAAAATATGATATAAATCTACCTAGCTACTTTTAACTATTTTTCAATTTTAAGACCTCCTTGAATAGTTCCGCTTACCTAATTCATTCTCCTATTACCTATTTCTATGGGGATATATATCTAGGTAATTTATCTAACCAAAGTCCTGCTTCTGGGACCCCTTTTATTCCCATCGTGTGAAGACAAATTGGCATTATAATGAGATTATTCACAACGTAACACGAGGCCGTATGTTTACAACACTAACTTCGTACTAATGACATACTTAGAGCTATTGCTAGAACATCTGTCATCATCCTCGAGCTATAACATGTGAATTTATGTACGGCCCCCGAGCCTGAGGTTTGACTCTCCCCTTCGATCAGATACAAGACACGCCGATGCGAACCATGTAGAAATATCTCCCCCTCAGTAAGTTAATATTCAAAATTGATTACCCAGCCTTTACTAAAAGTGGCTTTTTGATTTCAGATGATCAAGGTTAAACCCTCACCTTGGACTAAACAATCCCGCAGATCCAAGGCACTTTTCAGGATGTCGAGGAACACCCAGAAAAATAAGTACCGGTATAAATCCGTACATAAAAATCCCGGCTAAGACGTCCTTTCTGGTAAGATTTGAGGGTTCTCTAAGTCTTGACGAGCTTTCTTTGCCATGATATAGGAATGTGTGAGGTATGCTGATTTACAGGTTAGGGCAAAAGCTGCACAAGACTCAGGTGGGAGAAAACGATGTAGCTCAAATAAGATGTCGAGTGGTTGATTCAGTAGTAGGGATGTATGTTGTTGATTTATATCGCCCGTAAGCGACTCGAGATTGGAAATTTTGTCAGCCATTAGGGAAATGTAGTTAAGGGTAGAAAACCCCTAGGAGACTATATTTCTAGTATGAGTATATTATTATAGTTACTAGAAAGGAGTTTGAATACTGACCCTTGAAGAATGGGAAAAAAGGTGTCTCAAATTTGTCGTCGTGGACTTAGGAGATTGACTGCTTGCAGGCATGATACGTGATGTGTTTGCAATCATATTTCAATTACGGCGGGCTATCCTGCTATTTATATAGTCATTCAAACATCAAAGCAAATGGAGACATGTCATAGAGTTTAGGAGTCAATAAGGAGCAGTCTGTGTCCTCAGCCCAGGTCTTAACTCTATGGTATGCAACTATCCATAACTATAACGCAGTCTATTAAGATATTATCCCAACGCTACGCAAATGTTGGGAAATATTTATTTAGACAGAAGATATAGATTTTCCCAGGTTTATGCAAAAGTCGAGGAACATCGAAACTTAAGGAATACGTCATGACAACGGAAGCTCGAGCAAAGCTTTCAGCATCATCATCAACAACAACGCTGGCATTCCAACATTCAAGCTCATAGGAACGTGGGGTAAATTTGCCTGCGTCGGGCTTCTCTTCTCCAATGCTCAATTATTATCTTCCATTCTAATTCTCAATACTTTCTATTAGTAGCATCGAGACCATAAAGTCGATAATCGTTCTACTTCTAGCATCGTCGAAAATGGCTGCCCAAGGCTACGTCCAGACCTCCCTTATCTGGGTGACCTACGCCGTTGCAATTCTATTGGCCTTAATTGCTGCTAGCATCACTACTTTTATATGGCAGACCCCACGCGACCGATCTGCGATCGTTACCATCGTTGCTATTGTCAGCTTAACCTCCCTCTTCGCGACTGTCTTCCTCCTCCCTGTCGACATCGCCCTCGTCTCCTCGACTACGTCCACGGCCCTCGGCGCTAAGAAGGATTGGGCTACCCCCGAACGCGTCAACAGCATCCTCCTCACGCTCAAGATCGTTTATTATTCCCTCTACAGCTTCGATGCACTGCTCTGCCTGCTTATCATTCCTTTCTCTTACTTCTGGTACGAGGAATACGACGAAGTCGAGGAGCAGGAGGGAAACCAGACATTCGGCTCGCGCCTCTGGGGAGCTTTCAAATACACCATTGCTTTCATACTCTTGATCGTTATCATATTCCTCGTCGGTTTCTTCGTGCCTGCTGCCGGTGCTCGCGGTGATGGCAAACACCTCGATCTCGACTTCTTCAAGAAGCTCCTCGACGAGAACCATGGAGAGAAAGCGCTGACGTTTGGTGTCGGTCTGCTGGTTACACTAGGAACCCTACTATATGTCCTCTACACCGGTGCTGGTCTCGCCCTTTTCCCCGTCTCCTTCATCAAGTCCGCTCCCTCCGTGTCCGCGCCGCAGCTCTCCGAAAACACCGCGTCCCAGCTGGAGCAAAATCGGGAGCGCCAGAGACAGCTAGAATTGCGCAGTGCTGGCCGATCAGATGGAATGCCAGCCAAGGATAGACGCGAACTAGAGGCCCTTGTTCGCGAAGAACGGACTCTAGTGCGTCGCGAAAGACTTGCTGCCGAGGCGCAGGGCGAAGGCAAGGGTTTCATCGTCAGGGCGTGGTCCAAGATCTGTGCAATTTTCAGACCGCTGAAGCTCATCGGAGGAGTCCTACTTGTCGTGCTCGCACTTCTGATCTGGGTCTCCATGCTAATCACAGGCATCGACAAGGCCGCTAATTCGGTCTGCAAGGAACACTGCGGATACATCCTGGCGCATATCAACGTATTCCAACCCGTCAACTGGCTCTTCGTACAGACCGCCCGTGCATTCCCCGTGGACTACGTGCTCATGGCGCTCTTAATCCTGCTATTCTTCAGTAGCTCCGTGTCGGGCTTGGCCGCTATCGGTATCCGATTCTTATGGCTACGCATCTTCCGAATTAGCAAGGGCCGCACGGCGCCGCAGGCTCTACTCATCGCGACAGTTATGTTGGCACTTATCATGCTAGGTATCAACTACGCTATAGCTATGATGGTAGCGCCGCAGTATGCGAGCTACGGCACCCAGACATTCTGTGATCTACCGCCGAAATACCCACTCGGACGACCCGACTGCACCGACGCCCCCGAAGCTGTCAAGCCATGTTCGGAGTGGGCGGGCAGCACGTCACGTGGGCGGTTGTCGATGGAGCCGCAATCCGTATGTACGGCGACCGTTATGTCAACGTTCCTTAACCGCATCACGCTTAACTGGCCCGTGTTCGGTGCTATCGCCTTCTGGGCGCAGTTTGCCTTCCTCGGTGTTTTCCTGCTCGTGTTCCTAACAAGCCTATTCCGCACCCCAAGGCTTAACTTCAGCGAGATCGACGAGGAAGCCGAGGCTGATGAGGAAGAAGGTCTGCTGGCGGGTACCGGGCGCCGTTTTGGTGCTACCTGGCAAGATATTACAGGTCGGCCGAAGCGCGGGAACGGAGCAGGTGGAAATGGTTCTGATTACGGCTCTGGAGCGTAGCTTACCCTAGGTAGGTAGTTGCTACCAAGTCGCTTTTGCTACGAATGGCTTACGGTATGATATGCGTTGTCTATCTATGTCATGCCGAGTAGGAAGACTTGTTCAAACAGTTCGATTCTAAAATAGCACCTGATTTTCCCTTCACTATGTTCTAGTCATACAATGAGATGAATGGGTTCATGCATGGAGGGCAATACATCTATCTAGCTTGATTGTGAAGTTGTTAAACTACAAGGGATACATGTGCATGGAGTAAGGATATTAGGTTGGGGGCCAACGAGCAAAATGGACTGGACTGGATTGGACGGCGTCGTAATACTGATATTCTGCTGCTGCTACTACTACTACTACTACTACAAATTGGGGCGTGGTGCGGATAGGTTAGGTAGGGAATGTTAGAACTAGGGCATAAACTAGGGAATGCGATATTTCTTCCTATTGATATGTGTATTATACGGTATTCGTACACGTGTCATTGTGAATATTCGTTTTGTTGAATAAGTAGATGATGGCTCCAAGGGGGCTCTTCGCAAGGAGGTAGGTATTGCGCTTATCTAAGTTTTGAGAAGGGGCTTACTCTAGGACTTCTTGTGAATTTAAAACTGGATGACTAGGTACCTAGCGAGCATTGTTCGCGAATAAGTATTGCGCTTTGAACTCTGAGAGTACGTTGGGCTATGCTATATTATTGAGTGAATTGTCTTATGACTGGGTTTATAGTTCCAGTGTACCTAATATTATCATATTATGAAACTTTGAATCCCTTTATCGATCATCCTTTTTTATCCATACGCAACTCAGCTCCGATGTATAATCTATTAGATCGTGAGCTAAGATAGCTTACTATACCCGACGTGTAAGGCAGAAATCACCGTGGTCAAGGCATAGTGTACTCAACCTCGCTACCCAGCTTGCTGATGCCAAGAGCTACATTATCTACCCTCGCTTATCCGTATAAGGAAACAATTGCGAGATACTATTACCTAGGTATCTAGGTACCTTGGGAGGAAACTCATACATATATGTTGGGTCATTAATTTTACTTCAGTCTGCCGAGGCCTCCGCGGCTAAGCACTCGACCAACAGATCTTTCAGATAATATCTCGTTTTCGGGAATGGCATCAAGAGAAAGATAGTATGGATCACAGCGCTGGGTATCTAGATATAGTTGCAACTCAAAAACTATAACGCTAATCCAACCTAACCGTAAAAGGACCAATCATGTATCGTCAGCGTCTAACATACTTCTCCCAGCGGTGCCCGCGCTCATCATACCCTGCGCTAGGACCAACGTGCATCTCCTTCCAACACCTCGCGCAGTAGATGTCGCTGTCGCAGTCTAAGCAACGGATGGCGCCGTCCTCTAAACATACAACGCACCACGTCTTCTGGTCCTCGTCTGTAAACCCATACCGCTTGATTAGCCCCGGAGCAGGCCGATCAGCTGGTGCGAAGGTAGGCGCCGAAGGAAGGCCTAGAGAATCGATATCTGCTGGTACCGAAGGCAGATCCGGACCAGCAGGTGCATCAACGTTGAGCGCAGCCATGCGAGACGTGATAGATGCTGCGAAGTCGGCGTCGTCCTGAGACGCTTCGGGATGATCCGGTTGGTGTTGGTCCTGAAAATCTGACGGAACCGCAGGTAGGTTAAAGGGGTCGATTTCATTGGACCCTTGTGCTTTTGTACTTTCATTTGCTGCCTTACCGCCTTCGGTATCTGGCTTCATAGTGTGGCTTGGTGAAGTGGGTGAAGAACCAGGCTGAGACGGAGGCTTATTGGTCTGATCATGTTCTACCTCGTCAGCCGTTTGGGCGAGAATATCGTTGGCTTCACGAGTCATCCGTTCGCCCTCAGAGTCATCGTCGCTACTGTCTTCACCTTCGTTCTCGTTATGAGATGTTTTAGTTTCCGGGTCCTTTTCTGGCTCTTCGCTGGTTTTGGCAGCATCTCCCAACTCCTCGAGAAGTGCGATTACCCTGCGATGCTCGTCTTCAGCTAGTACCTCCTCGAGCCATTGCTGGTCGGACTCGAGGTCTGCAAGAAGCTCTTCGAGAGTCTGGTCGTCAGTGTAGAAGAGTGGATTCTCATCTTCGTTTGCATCTTCTGTAGATGAAGTTTGTGCTGCACCTACGCCCGTGCTCGTCCCCGTGCCCGAACTTTCGGGATTAGGAAGTGGCTGTGGTGGTGGATTTGAAGATGGCGAAGTGATATGGATATTGCTATCATTTTGGTTTCGAAGACTCTTTAGCCTTTCTGTGAGAGCATCTTCTTTAGATAAAGGCTTGGCTGACTCTATAGTAGATGCTGCAACTGGCCTGGACACGCTTAGCGAACTTAGGGTCTCATTTAACAGGCTATGTAAGCACCTAGCAAGGTATGAAGTAAAATAGAAGTTATACAAGGTTGCCTTACTTTGATGACGGGCTCAGATTGACAGTGCTAGGCTTAAGGGCATTTAGCCTCTCAAGAAGGGTTCGATCAGATCCTGGGAGGTCCGTCATGGTCAAGGTGAACTTTGTGGAGTAGGTGATACACTGATGTTGTTGTGTTCAATGATGAGTGGCGGTACGAGGCGTCAACTTTAGTTTCCTATTGGTTTCCCAAATGTTGTCAAGGTTCATGCTGACAACTGTAAGGCTGAGCAGGTGGTCCGGAGAATATTGTGCATCTAATCTTAGGTACCTAAATAATTAGTGTATAGGTCTTGCTAATTGGGGAATATGATGTCACTATCAGATCGGGCTCAGTCTAAGCTGCACTCCTGACAGAGTTATTACATAAGTGGCATAGTCCTTAAATGAATAAAGTATTCCAAATCAGGTTGCTGTCATTGTACCACTTACATGCTTATTACCTTAGGTAACCTACTTACACATGATAGGTTATAAATTAAATATCCTTGATAATTTGATCATATTATTGAAGTGTTATTACTTTTTACTGCAGGAGTCAGTCAGATCAAGCAATTCTAGAAGTGAATTTATTAAAGTCATGAACATGCGGCTTAGACAAAAGGCTTAACTCGTTTCTGTTGAAAAGTAGGCGTCACGAGAGAACAAAGAGGCAATGATGAACCAACTCGCCTAAGAGCTAAAGAACCTTAAAAAGTTGGCCACACCCGCCACCTTAGGTACCTACCTACCTCATAGGTAACTGGAATGTAGCGCATCCGAGTTACTAAACTGCGCACTATCGTGTGTCGTAGTTTGCCAAGCAAATCTTGGCACCGCGGTTTTGGACCCTTCCTGCCCAAAAGAGGACCGTCGAGAGTCATACCTACATCAATGCATCGACCGTCCATCAATCTACATATATTTCAGGTTTTCGCCTTTTTCTTGCTTATTTCCGATTTCATCTGGTTCATCCATCATCTGCATCCAGCTTAAACCCAAGCATTGCTGTGCCTCAATATCCCAAATCCTATCGGAAAAGCTTTGACCTTATTGCTTAATTGTCGACCATCCATACCCATAACAAACACGACTCTCATGAAGACTTCGCATTTCATCTTCGGCCTAGTCGCCCTTGGCCAAGGCATCAACGCCGCGGCTATTCATAGCGTTGAAGATGTCGCGTTAGACATAAGGACACCGGTTGTTCCGATAGAACAACGGGATCCGGAGACGTTTTCACAGAGTGAAGACCTGTGGAAGCGCAAAGGCGGTGGAGGTGCTGGTGGTAGAGGTGGTAGCAGCGGTTCTAGCGGTGGCTCTTCAGGTTCGTCCGGCGGTCGCGGTGGTTCAGGTTCTTTTGGTATTTCATTTTTGGAAGTACATCCGTTAAGGACGCATATAAGCTAACAATTCCATCACAGGCAGCTCCGGAGGCTCTTCTTCCAGCGGCGGTCGCGGATCATCAACATCCAATTCCGGCGGTTCAACAACAACCGGAAGCGGTGTCCGACCTAGTTACGGAGGCGGGTCTTACTATGGCGGTGGCGCGAGACAGCCGTACTCATCTGGCAAAGCAAGCCCCTCAGGTATCCTTCCCTTAGTCGTCGGCGGCGCCGCACTCGGGACCCTTGGCTTCGTAGGCCTAAGCTTGGCCTCCAACGCATACGCGTATCCCTACACAAACCGTTACTATTACCACAACAGCACCACCAACCAGAACGAGACCAAACCTGTTACGTGCATATGCGACTACTACGGAGTATGCGGCTGCGACGACAATGGCAACCAGACGTATTTCAACTCGGTGATCGGAGACGGCAGCTATCAAAACCTAAACAAGTCGCTCGTTACCGTGGCCGAGAACGAAACTACGCACGAGAAAACTATCTACATCCTCGGCACTTTGCCCAATGGCACAACGTCGTCCGGTGGCACCGAAGATCCCAACGCGGGCGCTGGCTTGCAAACACTAGCTCGCGCCGTAGGCTGGTGGCCAGTTGTGACGACGGCAATTGCCATCGTATGTCTTTCGTAATGACGAGGGTATTGCTTTGATTTATAGCCTACGCTTTTTGTATATATGACTTCGTACATTCTTTCACGCATGACCCCTGTGAGATGAGATTTGCGGCAACGCCTCAAAATCAATGGTTGATATCCCTGTAGGCGTTCCGGTTTTGTCTAGAAGGAGAGGGGGTAAAGGTTATGACCACATGGGCTACTACATGTTGTATAGCAGCAGGAAGTAGCCTCGTGGATCTACGAGCTATGTTAACCACAGACGTCGAGTTGGAGGGTTTCTCCTAGACAAATAGCAATATCATTTTTACTTATATTACCAGGTTCCATTAAGTGATATATCATAAATACCTAGGCATATAGGTACAGCTAGTAGCAGTAGATCAAGTTTCTCGATATACGTTCGGGGGTATCTGTCTCATGAAACAATTCGCCATGTATCGCTATACATGTAGTCCCCATCAGCAGTAAAAAGAGCAAATAGCAAGACATTCTCCCTTTTATACTGGATCTGATATTTCAGGATCCTTGCTATCCTCGGTAGTAGCATCCTCTCTTTCCTTCCGCCTCTTCACGCACCAATCTCCCAAAATCTTCCATATCTTCTCTTTTTCCTCCGGCTTCAGCGTAGCTGCAAGTCCACTCGTACTAGTCGCTACAAACACCCTCGTCCCCTCCCAAGGCTCCTCCTCCCCATCGCCCTCAAAAACACCCATCCTCTCCTCCTGCCACCCATACTTAAACTCGCCCTTCTTCATAGCCCGTCCATGGCGCACACGAAACACACTTTCCCAAATACTTTTTCCTGTGATACACGCGACCTCAGGCCGCCACCGGCGACACTTGTCCTCGAGAATGGCAACGCCCTCGTCCATCTCGGCCTTGCTCAACTCGGCGCCGTTGCGCGACGGGCGGGCCACGATGTTGGTGTGGCCGAGCGCGTACCGCGCCGGCATGGTCTGGTCCTCGTGCGCGTGGCATCGGACCGGCGTGATCCCGGACGAGTAGAGTAGCTTCCAGAAGAGGTTTGATGGGTGCGCGTATGCGTGCCCGACGCGCGCTGTCTGGATGCCGGGATTCAACCCGATGAAGAAGATTAATAGGTTTGGCGCGATGGCGTCTGGGAGTAGGGGTAAGTGTGCGTATGTTGAGGGCGGGGCGTATGAAGACGGTCCTCTAGATCGCTTTTTTGACGAGGGTGAGGCCGAGGCTGGGGGTGTACCTTTGCTACTATTCTCATCTGCATCTGATATCGCCGAGCCCGTTTTGCGCTTCTTTGATTTGGGTAGCGCTTCTAATGATGATAAAGGTGAGCTCTGAGATGAGATGGCAGACTGAGGTGTCGGTAGCCTCTGGCTTCGGCGTGGTGATGTAGATGATGAGCTTTGGCTTGACCCCTTAAATATGAAATTCTTCAATTGAAGACGGCCTTCAAAACTTGTCTCCCCAAGTGAATTGTGTATCTCTTGGTTATCTTCATCAGCCGCCATCATGACGGTTTATGAAGAATATGAGCCTACTGACTGCTCCCGTATGTAGCCAAATTGGCTGACCTTATGGAGTATCCAGTTACGTTTTTGTGGAAGTATGGAAGTGAGAAGTTTGGTCTATATTAAACTGTACATTGTCACTCAGTCCAACTCTATCAGTTAGATTTCTGGGGTAATCGCCACCGCGAAGTCGTCTTGACTTGCCATATGAGCATATTAGATCTGCTAGGGTCTTATGTAATTACCGGGTTAATAATCGATAAAAGGTACTATTACCTTATACGGATCCGTACTGGCATCTCACAAGTTCATATAAGTCTGTAAACGTCAATTAAACAGATGGCATCACCGAAGCCTTCGTGTCGATGTTATTCAGGTCCTCGTATCGAATGCCAGATCGGAAGGACTTGTCAGGGATTGTTGCAGGAGCCGGCAGCAGTGCGAACCAGAACTTCCAGCACTGCGGACATGCCTGCAGATCGGATACTACGAGTCAGGTACTGTTAGTCTCTTGCGAATTCAATTTATCAATTTATTGTAATATCAAGCATATTGCGCATTGTTAGCCAGCCAACATATGTGCAATATATGTACAAATATAGGTACACAGCAAACGGGACAACTACCTATGCAGCCTCTAGGCTATACGAAATGTGACATTGAACAACGTAGCGAATAGGAGGTGGCTGCGTCGCCTCATGGCTTGTCGAAGCGGTGAGATGCGAGATACAAGTGTCCAACCAGATAATCAACATGAGTAGGAGGGCGAGAGAAAAAAAAGGACCTCGATGCTGGGTGATGGTGTCACTAATGCACTAACACGCTATGCTACCTAGGTACCTAGGTACCTCTGTAAAATGGAGGGGCAATGCGAAAAGCTGAAGCATGCTGTTAAATTCCCCTCAACCCCACTAAGTCTGCATGTTATGCCGGGTTATTTAGCTTCTTTAGTGGATGGTTAAGTGTAATGTACCCTAATATCTACCAGGTAAGTACCTCAATACATAGGTACAGATATACTGGGATCCCTTGTTAGGTCCTGCCCCTCAGCCCCTCAGCTCCTCCAGCTTATTCGTATCCTAGGTACCTGCCTATGGGGGATCCCTTATTTACCTAAGGTACTTGTTCTTTTTTCCTTTTTTTTATTAACTTCTTGACCTCAAGCATCTGCTTCTTTCGTAAAATCAGCACTAGCTTTATAATTCTGGGCTGTTTCTTGGCAAGCGATTGATATATTTCCTACCTGCTTTCCTCTTTTTCTTACAACCTTCATTCATCCTTACGACTCCTAACACCACTCAAGATCACCATGCCAGAATTCACTCCTGCCGAGGTCCAGAACCTCAAGTCCGTATACGAAAAGGCCGGTCAAGGCCACGTATTCACCTACTTCGATTCCCTAAGCCAGCCCGAGCAAAAAGCTCTCTTCGAACAGCTCCAAAAGATCGATCCCGCCAGAGTTCACAAGCTACGAGACCTTGCTCTGAACCCACCAACGGAGGAGGGACAGACCGTTCTTGAGCCGCTTCCCGAATCGGCAACCGCTAGCATTTACGATTCGAAGCCGGAGGATATTCAAAGGTGGTACGATCTCGGCCTAGAGCTGATTGGGAAGGGTGAGGTTGCCGTGGTTTTACTAGCTGGCGGTCAGGGTACCCGTCTGGGAAGCAAGGCCCCAAAAGGCGCCTTCGATATCAAACTTCCCTCCCATAAATCTCTCTTCCAGATTCAGGCCGAACGAATTTTAAAAATCCAAGAGCTAGCTGCTGCGCGGGCCGCAGACCCTAGTAAGGCTGTGATTCCATGGTTTATCATGACCAGTGGCCCCACACGCGGACCAACTGAGAAGTTCTTCAAGAAGGAAAAGCTCGACGAGCTTAGCGCCGAGGAGAACGCAACCCGAGCCAAGGGCGAGCCTTATTTTGGCCTCGACCCCAAGAACGTGACCATCTTCGAGCAAGGTGTGCTTCCTTGCATCACGAACGACGGAAAGTTCATGCTCGCGAGCAAGGGGAAACTTGCAGTCGCCCCCGACGGCAACGGCGGCCTATATAAGGCTCTACAAGACGAAGGGGTTCTCGAGAAAATGCGACCCAATATCAAGCATGTCCATGCGTACTGTGTTGACAACTGCTTGGCCAGGGTTGCGGATCCGATCTTCATTGGATTTGCCGCCGAAAAGAAGGTTAAGATTGCTACTAAGGTTGTGAGGAAGCGAGATGCCAAGGAGTCGGTCGGTCTTATTCTCCAAAAGAATGGCAAGCCTGACGTAGTCGAATACTCGGAAGTTGACGATGCTACCTGCCAAGCAGTAGACCCCAAGCAGCCCAGCATCCTCAAGTTCCGCGCTGCCAACATCGTCAACCACTACTACTCATTCGAATATTTGGACAGCATGGGAGATGCTGTGAACAGCTTGCCACCGCACGTTGCCCGAAAGAAGATTCCCTTCTTTGACACCGAGAAGGGCGAGGCTGTAGACCCTAAAACACCCAATGGTATCAAGCTAGAGCAATTCGTCTTCGACAACTTCAAGTGGCTAAACTTGAACGAATTCGCTTGCTTCGAGGTTAAGCGTGAAGAGGAGTTTTCCCCGCTCAAGAATGCAGACCCAGCCCAGAAGGCTGACGGATCATTCGAGAAAGAGCCTGAGGACAGCCCTACAACCAGCCGCAGACACATCAAAGAGCAAGGTCGACGGTGGGTTGAAGCTGTTGGCGCAACTGTCAAGAACGGAGATGCTGATGGGGGTCTTGAGGTTTCTCCACTCACGAGCTACGTAAGTCTCCATACATATAAAGAATATAAAAGCTTTCTAACAAAATATATAGGGCGGCGAGGGCCTAGAGGAGTTCAAGGGACAGACGATCGAAAAAGCTACTATTTAGATAGGCCAAAAGATAGATGTTCTGATAAACGAATTAACGTAAAAGTTTGAATACCCAAAAAGGGGCAATGCTAGAACATACTAGTCACCCTACTAAAGTTGCGGTATTCCTATACCTAAAATTTTAAAATATAAATATGAGTAAAGCATCTCAACTGGATTACCATTTAAGTATCTATATATTCTTTGCTCAACAACAGAAACATCTTCGACAGCGCAAACGTTTATGTATTTTCAAATTTGTCGCCCCCTTGTTTCAAGCTCCCATTTTAAGTATTGCCTGTTACTGTTCGTATGGGAGATCATTAGGCTTGTAGCATAAGATAACCCCATTTATTATCACACAGTAGATCACCTTTTGATAATATGCTCAAGGTTTGATCTTGGGGCGAAATTTTCAAGAAAAGGGGGGAAGGGGGGGTTACGCATGTCTTATGTTTTTGATATATTTATTATCATATACACTTTAGACCTCTGTGCTACCCGCAAGGTGGCTTTTTGTTATACATTGTTCAAGATACTGCCCCCAAGGTGCTCTCCTTGGTACCTAGAACATCGTCAGATATTCTATTCAAAGTGCTTAGGCAGCGAACAGGAAAACGCCAAAAACTTTGGTTTGACAACATTGGCGCTTAGCGAAACCTATCTGCGCCGCCATTGCACAACGTGGGTTTTTTCAAAGATCGTACAAGATCCAAGGACGAGACTAGGCTTGAAATACCACGACATCAGTTATGTTCCCGATAGGAGGTTTTGAATTTCCCTCTGTCTCCTTCAAGGAAAGAGTTTCCTCTTACTTCTCTTCCTCAGAATATATCTTCCGAAATCAATAAGTCCCCATATAGCACTTTTACTGTATCCCAACGCTATTCCAATGTCATCCCCATCAGAGCAGATGCTACTCGGGTCAAATATAAACGATTCTGAACCCAGTGACCGATGCTCACAACAAATTCCTGTATCACTGCCGCTATTAGAGCGGCCTCTATCCACCCGCATCCACCGTCCGCACCATGAATGGATAAAAAACGATAGCTTGCAAGAATTCGACACCACCGATAAACCCTCGTGGATGTGGGCACTCGGAGTCTGGAAATTTCAACTTTTTGCCTCGCTTCTGTCTTCAGCAAGCGTCATTGGCCTAGCTGTAATAGCCGCAACTTTCTCCGGACGCCCTTTATCAGACTGGCCCTTAGATGTCATATCTATCAACGGTGTTGTAGCTATATTGACGACCCTGATGAAGGGACTCATGATGGTCCTTATTGCGGATTCGATCGGCCAGGCCAAATGGTCGTGGTTCTCGCGAGACAGACAAGAGGGGCGGTCGCTGATAGACCTGGAGTTGATCGATAATGCCTCCAGAGGTCCCTGGGGAAGTCTTATCTGGCTATCTAAGCATCCATTTCGCCTGCATTTTGTCAGTTTCGGTGCGCTTTTGACAATGCTTGTCGCTGGCGTGGATGTGTTTTCTCAGTTACTCGTCACTGTTGAGGATAGGGCCGTTATTGATACTCAGCAGACAGCCCACGTACCATGGGCGATAAACAACGATGCTGTGATCCAAGATTCGACTTGGGCAGCAGCAATTCTCAGTGGGATGTATAGTACTACAATCGACGACCTACCCGTTAGCTGCCCTAGTGGTAATTGTACCTGGGACGGTGTCGTGCCTTTAGTTGGCGTGTGCGGAAAATGCACGAATATCACGCAGATGTTGTCAAAAACGTGGATGTCCTGTTCCGAGCTCTCATACAATTATTCAATCACTGGATATGTGCCCAATGTGATAAATGGGCCCAGAACTAATTCTACGTGGAATTTCAGTCAGCTTTCTAGTTCGATCCTAGAACCGCCGAATGGCAAAGCAGATCATGGTATTCCCGTATCCGTGGCTTTCAATTATTTCGACTTGGCCGATTCTATCGGAAGCAAAATTGGATGGAATGAGAGTGACCATATAGTCCTCGGAGACTTTGCTATCTTTGATATTCCAGTAACAATAACAACTGGATCCAATATTACGGGCTTTATCGCCTCATTTGGAGAACCCGTCGTAACTCGGTGCTACTTTTGGTATTGTATGCAGGGTATTACTGTCAGTGTAGATTCAAGCCAACAAAAAGAGACAGTAGAACTTGCTGAAGAAGCCTCAATAGCAAGGTTTTGGAACTGGACATACGCACCATACGGAGGGGCATTCAGAGACGTTCCAGGTTTCAATATGTTGGGGCGTAACTTTTCTGTGAACTCTCTAGAATATACAGGAGCAAATTTGCAGCCGATATATCCTTTTCCGAACGTCACTATGGCTTCAGTGATATCCTCAACTCCAGCAAAAGTATTTACCCCTCCATTGTCATATGAGAATGGAGCAACGATTGCCGAGGCACCTTTTAGCATTAGTGAACCTGCCTTCTTCCAGGCCTGGAAGTACACAATGGATGATCGCTCCGCATGGTGCAACCGAATTGCCAAAAGCCTGACGAACATGGTACGCCTACAAAACCAGCCTAGCCGTGAAGAGGACGTCTACGCCGGAAATGTCTGGATACATCAGATTTATATCAGAGTATATTGGCCTTGGATCGCTTATCCTATCACAATACTTCTGGCTAGCTTGATCCTCTTTGCCGGTAATATATACAGGTCATTAAAACCTGGTCAGAGAGCTTGGGGGAATAGGACGTTAGCCTTATTATTGTCTGATATTGACAGCTCAGTTAAAGACTTGGCAAAGGATTCCTACCGTTCAAATGATGAGTTAGTAAAGGCCACCGGGAAGGCGATGGTTCGTCTAGAGGAAGATGGGTCAGGTTGGGCATTTCGACATAAAAAGGATTAGTTGTTCGGCGTCAAAGATATCATGAGAATTTCCGGCCCAGAAGTATATTCACTCTTAGAAACTAATTCGTTCTATGGCACACGTGAGTGTAAGAAAGAAGAATAAAATGCTGCTAAAATAAGAATCATGTAATTGCCTACGTTGGTAATTTTAGGGGGGAGATGGCAATGCAATGGCTTACATGGCAATCCAATTAAGAGCAGCTTTTGAAATACAGTATGCCGGCGCAACGTGTGCGTTATAAGATTCCATGGCGCCAATGGAGCCAGCAGCACTGCTGATAGATACGAACTTAGCATTGAGAGACTTTTCGAGTAACGGATGGCAAGTCTGGTACAGAGCGATAGTACCGACAGCGTTGATGTTGAACGCGCCGACTACATCCTCAAGATTAACTGTCTCAAGCGATACGATCGGCGGGCTAATTCCAGCATTTGCTACCACGATATCGATATGGCCAATGCCTGATGCCTTGATTTCATCTGCTGCACGTTTTGCGTCTCCAGGCACGGAACTCTTGATCTTGACCAGGAGTAGTTTGGATCCGCTTCCTTTTGGGGATGTCTTCAACTCAGTAACGCACGATGCTTTCTCATCGCGAATGCTCCCCACTACCGTACAATTTGGACGTGGGAGATAAGCCTGAGCTAAAGAATTTCCAATACCTCATTTATTTGTTAATTTATGTCACTATTATAAGCATACGTTGACATACCTCTACCAGCGCCAGTAATAACAACTACAAGCTGATTTTCCATCCTCGGCGGGCTGCTGCTGAATCTTATTGCAACAACTAATGATGACTAGATTAAATTAATTAGAACATATGGACTACCTATAAAATCGACGTATAGCATAGCTGGTTAGTGGATTATATAGCTAACTCGGAGTAAGAAGATGAATGAGAAGGAGTTAAAAGGGGCGGAGTGGAATCTTACCTAATCTTACCCGTAGCTTATACACAGACGTAAAGGGGAGAGACTATGCTTTGGCGGAAACATATCCTCATTGCGAATTTCTAGTTAAAATATCTTGTTTTGATTACCACATGAATATCAACAAATTACCTAGTTATAGTTTAGAGCTTGAAGTCTCTGAAAATCTGTCTGAAGAACTCTACCCTAGAATTTCGAAATGATCTAACTATATGAAATATTTCCTAAACCATATTGTTATACCTTGGTAAACCCTCTGATCGGGCCATTGTACTTATGAACGAGAGCAAGAATCTTTCTTAAGATACTTTTGCTAATAGTTTTGCTTAAGATAGCCTATAATACTAAAAGGCACCAACCCGCCACCCGATGCACTTTTGTAAATAATAGGGTATACATAACCCGGTGCTGTCCATGTCATCCACAAACTTAACCAAATAAAGCTTAAGAAACGTTGCACGATGTGCGGCAGTAGGTCAATACCAGGCGCGACGCTGATTATATCTTCAATAAAAATACCCAATGGCTGGATTAGGAAGAAACGTAGTGCCCCAGATTTCAAAACCGGTATTCCTATATTTATCCTATTTAGTCAAGATTTTCAGGTAGCGTAGTGTTTATCTTAATGTAACATACCTGAAGAGAAGTCAACAGCAACATGGATGGCTCCAGATATGGCGAACATCAAGCATATACGCATATATCGAACTAGCCTGCCACTTCTTCGTAGCCGGAAGATGTCATACACGACGTAATTCGCCAATGCATGCAGCCAGTGGCTGTTAGTCTGAGGCCAGAATATGCTAGATACTGGTTAACCCCTTGATAATGAGCCTAAGGCTTGCGCACATACCTCCAAGTGTATCTTAAACTAAACGACGTTAAGATAGGTCCGTTAAAAGGGGGCCAATCCCATGGAGAACTTAGGCCCATAGCCACACAGACAAAGGACGCAACCGCGTACACCCCACGCTGGAATGATATGAGGCTTACACCTAGTCCAATGGTAGCGAAGTATCTCTCCCTAAACGAGACTTCCCCAGCTCTAGAAAACGGGTTGATTTTATCTAGAAGCCAGAATTTCGTAGTAATATTCTTGTCTCGCAAAGAGTTCATTTCATCTAGCACTAGATAGCAAGCAAGTATCGTCCAGCCAGTGTAGAAAAGAAAGCGAGTAGACGAATACAAAGTTTTGTCTAGCTGTGGCACGGCCCTGACCTGGTACGGTGTATTCACAAAACGCCATGAGAAGAAAATTGAGAAGCCGAACTTCAGGCGAGATGTTATGTTCAATCGGTGTGATCCACTCGAGTATGGGTATTTCTTTGAATTGCTAACCCTTCCATTTCGATTTATCAAGCCGTTAGTAGGACCCCGAGCGTCGAAGCTCCAACCACTAAGCACAGCGACGTCTAGGTAATGCAAGAATGAGAAAAGTGTATATCCTCCTAAAGCTGCAGCCCAAATGCTCCTTTTGATATAATCTGGGCAGCTTGAAAGACAATGAAATGTTAAATAGGCCAAGACGAATAAGGAGATTCGTCGCAGCGGTGATGAAGGGGATGTAAACCCGATAACGATTGGGGCGAGAAAAGCAACCGCGATGGTATCAAATATAGGATGATAACTCATGTTGAGAAGTTTTCAATGTGAGTTTCGAAGAATCAAAATAAAGAAGGTTGAGGATGGTGAAGTAGTGAGAGCACGACTTAAAGGCCGGGTCGTTTTCAAAGGGGGTTAGGTATCGCTTTTGGACATTACGACTAGTTGAAAGAACAATGACTTAATTAGGTAATAATCGTATTGATAGGATTCCAGACGAGGCATCCGAAACAAAGAGTACTTTCCGTATCTAATGTAGCTTCCATACATTATGCACATGATGTAGGTACATGTACCCAGAGTTAGGGGTTCTATAGGTAGGTACCTATGTATGTAATATTCTACCTGTTTTGGAAGTTGTCACAGTCGCGACTGTGTTGGAATTGAGTATCATAGATTGAAGGTACCTTACGAGGAAAGTGCAACAGAACAAGTTTTTTCTTCATAGGTACATACTAAGTGAAATTAAGAAACCTAAAGCCTAACTCATATATACGTTCTCATTAAGATGCCTCACACTATACCTAGCAGCAACTTCTCGACCACCTGTGTCTCAGGTACTCGTATCATCGTCTTGATCATTTTCCTCGTAAAAGTCAAACAGATTTTCCATCATCATGGACTCGGCCACCCAACCTTTAGGGATTCTTGATCTCTCTTCTGAGCTGCTCCTCATGGTATTCGAGGAGCTTAAAGCCTCTTGTTGGGGTCGTATCTATAAGATTCGGGCTATCAAGAATGTGCGTCTCACTTGCCAAAGATTCTGCAGCACCAGCTCCCATCTGCTCCTGGATTCCGTCACCGTCGAAATGAACTTATGTTCTGTTCAACGATTCCAGTATATATCGCAACATCCACTCATAGCCTACGGGGTGCGGTCAATACGTGTCCTACTACACTACTATAGTAGCTCCCTAGTTAAGGACCTAAGTGCTTATGGAGATCATAATGCGACCAAGATACGGGATATCGCCCAAAATGTGCAACGTGCAGTGAATAACACTTATCTACAATCCACGGATGTCGTTTTGAACCGAACGCGCGAAGAATGCCGCCAAGTGATAAAGATAGCTGAGGCATGGGAAAATCTAGAGCAAAGTGACGACGAGGGACTGTTCAAGCGCATGGCTCAGTCAGGCCACCATATCTACCGATCTCTTTAGGAGGAACAGGAGCTTCTGCGGGAGCGACGACGTTTCACCAGGTATGTAGCAGAGGGAATGGCCAGGATGTCCGGTGCCCGAGAACTAGAATTCTGCGACCCTGGGTTCTCCTACAGATCAGCTTCCATCTATGATGTGCTAGAATATGGTAAAATGATGAAGATTTTGGTCTCACCATTATCATGGGATCAGGGAGAGGCATACCACTACTCAGTATCGCCACCTTGCGAGATCGTTTTGGACCTACCACTAACCTCCGTGAAATTGGGGTCCAGCTGACCAGCCTTCGGATTGATGTTGCATTATATAGGCCAGAAATAGATGTACCAAGTCTAGGGCACTCGGCCGATTTAACAACAGCGATGTGGAGCTTGAGAAGGTTCGAATACGTGTACGGCGAAGGCTACCATGGTCAATTAACGACGCCAATACACCATTATACCTTTGCTGTGCTGGATAATCCAAGTATCGAAGAGATCCATCTAAATTTCTTCCCAAATCCATTGGGATGCGTTTTCGAACACATGATTCCACAAAGAGATTGGCCGAACCTGAAGAAAGTGTACCTGATATCTGGTCTCTTCCACCTGGGATGTCTAAGCCGATTTTTAAATAGATGTAATCCGGCAGTCTTCAAGCACCTGGATCTACGTCATATAGAACTGTTAGACGGTACCTGGACTGAGACTGTGGGTATTCTAACGGGCTCTTGTTTGGACCGTTTCTCTATTGACTGGCTAAATGGAGAGCGCTTGATTCTTAGTGATGAGTTATGGCTAGTTGGAAGGTACGAGGAGGATGGCGGAATCCGATTCCAGAGGCAGCGCAAGATAAATCATGTAGCGAGAGCAATCTCCTCGCACAACTAGGCTGTCCAGGGAGTGCCTTAAAGAAACTCGGACAATGTATCATGAGTTAGACCCCGAAAAGGAGCCATATTTGAGGGTTATAATATGGTAGCCTAACATCAAGGTCAGTTGGAGTCTTTACTATTACACTTAGAACTTTCCACAATAATAATTTGTTTCGTTGCCCTCTTTACCACTTAAGAGTACTTATTACTTTAAGTATAAACCTTTGAATACATTGCAGATACAATTTTTTTTTAGTGTTGAGAACTAGTACAGAAGACAGCAGTCATCTTATAAAAGCCAAAGAAGGCTTTGCAACCCTCCATATGTAATTAGGAGGGTAGGAAATAGGTAAAAGTGGAAGATACCGTGAGCTAGTCTTAGAATTTCCGACTCTCACGCATATATGCATATAGCAATGGGTAGATAATATTCAGGTACCATATTTCGTACACTACGAAAAAACGTCTCAATGAAGCCCGCCGTGACTATTGAAGTATTCATTATGACGATATTAGTCAATGCCTAGGTACTCTACCCGTATTATAAAATAGTATATTAATATATCAATACGAAGACTGATGCTGTCTTTTCATTCACCACCAATTACATCTACTCCACACAGAGATCTCAGTCACATGTATAGAGAGACACAATACGCTGCGTCAATAGACTGTCGGTATTACTATAATTTATGCAATGAACAATACCTACCGGCTGTGATTATTCGTCTACCTAAGGTATTATGGTAGCACAAGAACCCTTATCATCCTAGATAGCGACATTTACATCTCACCACATTGGGCAATGACCACGTCCATGTCTGGTATATCTCGTCCACGTCTGCCAGTCTTCGTTTTTTCCATCTTCTCCACGACGTCGAGGCCGTCGACGACTTTTCCAAAGACGACGTGTTTCCCGTCGAGGTGAGGAGTAGGTACGGTGGTAATGAAGAACTGAGACCCATTGGTGTGCGGACCCGAGTTCTGATCTACAGTCAGTACGTATATGGGAAGATAAGGTAGGAGGACTTACAGCCATGGAAAGAAGTCCCTTCTGGGTATGTTTCAAGTCGAAGTTTTCATCTTGAAACTGTTTGGTGCCGTAGATACACTTAAAAGGAAAATCAGTATTTGATATATAAGCGCCTCCCCAGCAAACTTACGGTGCTGCCGGTTCCGTCGCCGTTGAGAAAGTCTCCGCCTTGAATCATAAAATTGCTGATCTGTGACTCGTTAGTTTGACATTCATTATCCTGGTAGCAGCTGTAGAAGACGCACGATTCTGTGGAACTTGCTTCCCTTGTAGCCCTGACTCTGGCCGCGACTGTTCTTGGACTCGCCGGTGCAGAACTGGCGAAAGTTCTCCGCGGTGCGAGGCACAGTATCTTTGAAGAGCTCAAAGGTGATCCGTCCGAGAGGTTCGCCTACTGCTGATCAGAACCGGCGATAATGCACATTACGACAAAGCAATAATAATATGAAAAAAGCCTCGTAGCCCTATGCGAATACCTCATAAGGTAGACGATATGATCACGTGATATCTTTCAAGACTGAAGCGATACTATATCCGGTCTTGGCCTGCTGCTGGAAAGAAAGCGTGGGCGAGAATAGATTCGGAAACGCCTACCTCCGAGCGTAACGTCAAAGAAAACCCTAGTGATTCCACCTGATCAGTAAGGTAGCTCCGGAAGGCCGGGTACGGCTGACGAGGCCTGCTCAGCCACGGCGGGCGAAAGAAAAGATGCCTTAGACTTACAGAGGATTTCCGGAAGCCGGAAGTTGTGTTGGCGCCATTGGACAACGCAGGGAAAGGTGTGAATGAGGCGATAGGTGATGGTGAGAATACAAAAAGTGGGTAACTTATTTAGGTAGTATCTCAGTAAGCTTGAATAGCGTAGATGTAGGTGGGCGTAATCCGTAGATGGGTGTAGATGAGCAAATGTTCGGGTTCGGGTGCACGGTAGCCGGTGGTGAAACTCGGGGGGTCATGGAAGGATAACATTTGCTCCGTACTAATCTACCGGATTTAGGAAAGTACAGTACAACCAACCAGTCAACTGTCGCGATCGACTATACATGCATATGTATATCCATAACAGAAGGTTTTACGGTCGCGGGGCTAGTGGACCCTAAGAAGAATCGACTTAGTGGGGTTTGGTATCAAACATACCTCTGATAACTTCCATAATCTGGGGGAAGGTACCTATTCCCTTGTTGTCACTTTGTTACTCCCTGACGTACAATTAGGTACCTGATTTCTTCCCCCTAAATACAACCAATACTTCCCAGACATATGGTTATATGATGTCTTAAGCTTGAGACTTCTCTCTACTCAAATTAAAACAATTATATAATGGATAATGGGCTTTATTCGATGAGAGTCGTACTACATATGTGATACTTAAGCGGCTATCCTGCATTAGCTCCTCAAAAGATCGACATTAATCGCCTGTTGTTGGGAATGACCTCATGAATGGCCTACATATACGACCTTAATAGACCAATGCCATTGTTCTCCCCGCTAGTCCACCTTTAATGATACCTATTGGCTATAATAGAAGATAGCCGTTTATAATTAATGTCGATGAATAAAGCTTGACGGAAACGGAATGGTAGGAAAACGGTTCTACACTAATTGCTTCAAACACATCACTAATATAAATGTCAAAGTGGTCTTGCGACTTCTAAATTCTCGTTTCCGTCGACGATATTCTTGGCACTCTTCATCAGCCTCATTGCTTTTCGGTTGTTACCCTACGTGCTATTGGTTTAGCCGTTGACAAATAAATACACCATACACTTGGCACGAATCGGCCAGCCATGACAAGTTCTGGGTACCAGTAAAGAGGCACTGCCAAACCGAGCTATCCGAATGGCCTCGCATAGTTTCTATGTAAGAATGAGGTAGAGATATAGAGAAGCACTAGCCGGTGAGGTCCTGTACAAGTTTTCGATAAGCTTTACGCCCTACTCCGCCCACTAATTGATCCACACAGCTAGGAGAAGTACGAAGTATCGCGAATATAATTACTAGGTAGATTTAAGATCTGATAACGACTAAAACCTTCAAAGCCCCTCGTCTAAAAAGTATACCTATCCTGCTAGCTTAACGTTTCTAGTGGAGCTGGTTTAACTCATGTACATAGAAAGGGGGTATGCGTTTGAGGCTGTCCGGGTACCATATCTATGATTCGTGGAGCGGCGATGCCAGCCGCACCCGATCGGTGCAATAAAGATGGCCGAAAATTACTGGAACGACATTATCGCGTGTTCGTTAACAGCCACGACGCACATGCTACCGGTATATATCCAAATAGCGAATCATGTCGAAGTAAGCCTTTGACGTCCACTATTTAAGTCACCATTTAAGTTAAGCAGCAACGCAAAGCCCGCGCTGAGCCTAGAACTTTGGATGAAGTCAGCAGTAACATGAAGACGTAATTCGTGCCTCTTCTTGACGCAGTGCATTGATCATTCCGAATGTCTGTGAGGAGTGACGAGTTATCGGTGGATTTATTAACTGGGAGCCATGCCAATAAACTAGCTTTCTTATCATCGTTCGATGCGATGCTATTCGATGCTGGCCATCTAGCCTGCCGATGTTGCCTTTAAGAAGGATGTCTCTTACTGTATTGTTGTGGTATCATTATCGAATGCATGACTTGAGCTCTGCCACACTTACGTAGTATTGAGAGGTCTTAGATCTGTACTTCCTTAATTAGATTCCGATATCCACTAGGAAAGCAGCAGTCTTGGGATCCCGAAGACATGCAGCTTTAGATCAACTAATGAACTCGGTAACACGCAAATACACTTAAGATCGGTTTCTTCTATCTACATAGGTTCCGTTTCCGCGTTAGGGTGTCCATGAGTGCGACGGCGGCGCAAGAGATTGGGTAGTAGAATAGACCTCGAGACACCTTGCGCTATACTAGTTTGAAATACCAGTTGGACAAGAGGGTGTATTATACATCAGGCTGTATTTTAAGCGCCCATCTAACATCTCCCTGGTGATCTAGAATGCCTGCGCAACTGACAATAATATGTTTTGGAATGTAAAATCCATAATGTGAAATCCATACTCCCCATACATAAGGAGATTGAAAACCGCCACTATCACCGAAACCGTGGGGATTGAAGAGGTTTGAATGACCTGTTTTTAATTTCGAGGTTCTGAAACCACAATGGGGTCTAGCCTTTTTCTTATCAGATAAACGATCTTGTTTTGTAAACGATACTAATCGTTTTGCGTTTTGATGCCGCTCGGTTTAAAACTCAATCTTAGTAGATTGTACTAACCCAGGTAGTAAATTTTACCAAGAAACAATCTCACTATTAACCCTGGGTTTCTGCAAGTCACATTGTGGATCATTTGTCCTATGCTCCCACCATGATTACTGTGAATGGCTCATGATGTAATATATAAGAAACTTGGGTACTTTGCATAAAATAAATCATTGTTTGCTTAGGTGTCATCGTCAGATCTGCAGCGTTGACTGACTTAGGTACTTAGCATATGTAGATTTGACAAATATTTGAATGACAATTGTAGACAACGATTCTCATTCAAGGTCTAAAATCAGGAGCCGAAACGGGTCAACTTAGAGCTGCGTCTCTATTTCCTTGTCTGGATTAGACATGAACGCTCCTGCTCCTAGACTGCTAGAGTACTGGGACCAACCTTTTGATTGGGTAATTGCGGTTCCACCACCACCTATCAATGAAGCCAAAGCGTTCAAAACCGCCCCAAGCAGGCCCAGCCCGTCCAGCCCCGACAAGGACCGTCTGCAGCGCCTGCCACTTCCCACTTCCGTCTCAATAGAAGTTGGCTGCTTGCGCAGCTGCGAGTTTATTACATATCACAGGACCTGACGAACTAAAACAGTCAGACTTGTCTACCCCCAAATCCTTCCTTCTTATGCGCTTCTCCGTCCGCCAAGTTCCCTTGTCCTCTTTTATGGTCGCACCTCTTTCTCCACCCTTTTCCCTTGGCTGAAGGCCTAAACTAATAACGTACCTACACTACAACTTTGACCACCATTCCACTATTCTAACCCTTTGCCAACTTCCAACTTCACCCGTACCTTGGCACTCTCGCCCGCGGATATTGCGACGATCTGCATCATTTGCTATTTTGCTTTTTTCCTTTTTTCCTTCTCGAAGGCATAATCCCAACAGCAAAAAACTAGAGAACGTAGATCGTGTTTCAAATCAATTCCCCACCCAACGATTTGACAGTAAATGGCATCTTTGCTTAGGATACGACCGTGTTGATACGATTCTTCGTCGAGGCCTTTCGCCGATGACCCCCTCGATTGACGATTAATCGGCTGTTCCGATATCTGTTTCAATTGTAGTCATCTCATTTGCGAAGATGGCTGATTTCAATCAGGTCTTGGCGGGTGGCGCTCATTTTGTCGCAAGAGCGATTGAACATCAAGTTCGACAGGCCGTTTCGTCGGCGGACCCGACGTCCTCGGTCTTTAGTTCTGTATCTGGCACTCCTACGCCATCAGCAGCTTCGCCGCCTGCGACTCCGGAGCCTTCTACGGGTAACACCAACAATGGCGATCAGAATAATGGTGGCCAGTCGACTAATTCCCCTCTACTATTCTTTGTGGCCTTGGGGTTTGGTGTTGTTTTTACCAACCTTTGGTAAGCCATATCTAGCGGCATAGCCGTCGGCTGCTGCCTCACAATCTAACATTTGTAATAGGATCATCGTTGGCGTCAAGTACTGCTTTCGCTACAATGCACGCAACCGACAGCTGCGAGGATTAGATGAAAATGGAGAACCTATCAACCTCGAGAACATGCCCGCTAGACCACATCGTCGACGTCGAGAAAAGAAGTTGATGACGATGGATGAAGTCAATGATAAATTTCCTATGATGAAATATAAGGCTTGGGTCTCAGTACGTGCAAGCGAAGGACTGCCCACTGCTGGTGGTGTCTCTGCCCCGCCCAGCCGCGCCAACAGCGTAAGGAGTGTTGAAGGTATCGTGCCGGAAATAACGTCCAAAGAACAAGAATCAAGCGAGGATCACACTAATCCTAGCTCTGTCCCAAAATCTACGGATCGAGAAAGGTCTCACGCCAGCCATGAGAGTCAGGACACCACAGCCGACAGTAACCCAGCTGGCGACAACACACTTACCCACGCGCAAACTGCGGAAAGTATAATAATGAAGGACCATGATCATCGTGCGAGTATCGATGAAGATGATGACGACGAACAGATAGACGCTGCTCTGCCTCCTGAACTGGTAGGTACCCAGGGCGATACGTGCGCGATCTGTATCGACACGCTCGAAGACAACGACGATATTCGTGGATTGACTTGCGGCCATGCTTTCCACGCTGTTTGCATCGACCCCTGGTTGACCAACCGGAGAGCGTCATGTCCCCTCTGTAAGGCAGATTACTATACACCTAAGCCACGCCCGCCTCCTGCAGATGGTGATCCGGCAAGCCCTACATCTCATAATGCCGACCCATCCCGAAGCAATGGCCGAATGAATATGCCAAGGTCTCCGCAGCGTACATTCACATCATGGAGCAACTTCCGGGGGGCTCCGCGTGGCATGATTGCGGGTCGCTTCGGAGGTGTCGGTTCGGATTCGGCAAATTATAACCGGCAACCACGGGTATGGGAGAGAAATCGCTCAGAACACACACGAGATCATCATCGTCGTCATAATCCTCAACCTGAGCCTCAGCCGGCTGCAGCGGAGAACGCCGGAGTTTTTTCAAGAGTTCGCGGTCGTTTCCCAACATTCCGACTGAATGAGCTGATGCGAAGGGACCGTAACGGGGAAGCCCCCGATGCAAGCGGGGTGACAGTTTCTGGTGCCAACGGCGGGGCGAACACCACACCATCACAATTGGAAGCAGGTATACGACCGTCCACGACTGCAGCTAACTGAGGAATTTTAATATCCATAGACATCGGCTTAATCCAAGGAATATATATAAATATTGCATTGTTTCATGGTCTTTTCAACCATATCCTGTATACGACATCGCGAAATGAATCCGCATACCCCCGTATCTGATTTCTATAAGTTTCCTTTTCCAGCAACGACAACACCTAGCCACCAGAAGATCAGCACATCGCCTAGCTTACCTCCCGACCCAGAGAGAGTCGCCCAGGCTATGTGGTAGGGGGCCGGAGGGCACGAAACTATTGAGGAGTTTGTGTTGCGGACGGAGGGGAAATCAGTGACGTTTATCATATCATTACTTTTAGGTTTTTGTTCAAGGTTGATCCCGGCCGGTACCCCGAACTCTCGAGGGCGAAGGATTAAAAAACATGGTCGGGCGTCGCAATGCATTTATTTGCGGGAGTAGGCGGTGTTCTGAGGTATTCTCCCAGTATAAACGTCAGGGTTTCCCCCTTTCCTTTTGAGGAGTTTTAGTTAGGGGCAGACATGTATCGTATTGTTGTAGGGAAGTAAGGGTTTGCCATTATCTTTTTTTAGTGTTCCCCAGAGTCAAAGGAGTAAAGGAGAGGAGAGTGTCGTTGAATTAGGAGGATTCCCTGCGTGAGCCTTGTATGTATCTATCTATCTCTGTTAGCTAGCAAACACGCAAGCTAGGAAGTGAGCAATGCTAGAAAGCAGATTGCAACGAATGGATTATATTCAAATCCGTATTTTGATTCTTGGCACATTAGGCCTTGAGTGTATTGTTGTATCATACTTTCTATAGTACAAGCTAGCTAAGATGCAATTCCATATATGAAAGACCTCGCTCTGCTCAGCCTTTTAGTTCGTGAATATGGGTATCTTCATAACTTTGCTTTAAATATATTCCTATTTTCCATTTCTATCCTCTCCGCTTCTTACTTCAGGTACTTCCCTTTTTTATAACCTATAACCTATACTATATACCCAATCATGTGCAGACAACCACCATAAACCCCTAGGTTAGAGGTATTTCCCCTTGGCAAACCTGCCGCCGAAATCCGCAGCGCGATTCAGCAGCTCCCGGCGCTGGGCGGTGCCGATGCGCCCGCCGAGCTTCATGTCCTTCTCGCGGTCGAAGGCGCGCTTGCTCGGATCGTCTTCCTCCTCGTCGGCCTGCAGCTTGCGCGCTTGGCGCGACGACTGGTGCTCCTCGTACAGGCTGCGGCCGCGCGTGGCCTCGGTGTAGCTGCGCACGCGGTCCTGGCGCTCCTGGGCTTCTTTCGAGGGCGGAGGGTCTGCGCCGGCGGCACGGCCGTTGCTGCTCGTGGTGCGCATCTGCGCGGCAGCAGCAGCGTCGTTGGTGCGCCCGAGGACGGCGTCCTCGAGGCGCTTGCGCTTCTGCTCGGGCGTCTCCGTCCATATGCTGCTGATCTCGCCGCCGGGCGCGGCGCTGGAGGACGACGACGCCGCCGCTCGTGGACCGCTGGCGAAGCGCCGGTTTTTGAGCTTGGTTGGGTCTGGCGCGCGGTAGCCGCTTGCGGTTGGGGGCGCGAGCATCCAGTCGTCGCGCTGGGGGCCGGCGGCTGCTTGGGCTGCGCGAGCGGCTTCTTCGGCGGCGCGGGCTTGGGTTTGGCGTTGGATGTGGGAGGTTGATGTTGGGAGGGCGGGACCGTAGTCGTCGTCGTTGTCGTCCGAGTCTGAGTCCGAGTTGGCGGATGTGGTTGGTCGCTCGGAGAGAGGGGCGGGTGGAGGCGCGGGGCCGTGGACGCGTTTTGAGGATGGGGATGGGGGGGCTGGAGGTGGTGCTGGCCCGGCCTCATCGTCGGAAGAATTGTTTTTGTCTTCTAATCGGATTTCATTTTGGTTTGGGGGCGGGAGAGTAGGTCCTATAGATGGCCGAGTATTCGTAGGTGGCGGTGGAGCAGATGGACCGATGTCATCGTCGTCGCTGTCGTCTAATTTGATCTCATCCGTGTTTGAAGGCGGTAAGGTAGGTCCTATAGATGCTTTCGCTGCTGGCTGAGGAGCAGGCGGGCCATAACCATCATCACCATCATCGCTATCGAGATCTATTTCGTCCTGGTTGGTTTGCGCTCCTTCTGTAGCTCGTAGCTTTGCGGCAGGAGAATCTGCCGATTCGTCTTCTGGAGTACGCTTGCGCTTAGAAAGGTGCGGTGGTAATTGAGGCCCTACGGACGACATTGCGAAAATAGGTATCCGAAAGAACTTAATGTTAGAATGTGGAGGTGCCAGGTAGTTAGTGAATTACGACTTGGGATCTTAGAAGTCTGTACCTATTAGTGATAAGATTGATAGAATAAGAACCTTATGTACTAAACAAAAATGAGGTACCTTTTGCAAGGCTAAATGTTGATGTCAAATGAGCTAAGATATCGATTACAGCGATTACACCTGTGATCCCCGTTCTCGTTGGCTCATGCAGTGCTTATCATTTAGCGGTTTTAAGTGGATCATTGTTTATGATTGGTGATGTTCTTCACCTAGGTAGCTTAGGTCGCAGCCCCCTGTTCCTACATTCACTATGCCTGCTAATAGTAAGGCTGAGCTAGGTACCTCGACGTTACCTAAAGTAAACGAATGGATTCGAGAGGAGCTGCAATACCAAGTAGCGTCTAATAAAACACCTGTACTACTTCACCTCTTCCTCTACCCTTACAAACAGCTTAAAGAGAACCCCGTCTGCCATACCGTCCTCCACCCCGCCATTTTGTACCGATAATCACCGTCTAATTTTCCGTGTCCGATAGAGCCGTAGAGCTAATACTTACCTAAAGCTTCGAGCTTCAAGCTTTGGACTTTGGGCTTACTACGCATAGTACGCATAGTACGCAGCAGCAAGGGTGATTTCGATAGCTACGAGATCGTGAAGCCAATTTATCTAAAAGCTACGGCGCAAAGCAATACAAAAAGTAGCGACCATATTTGAAGTCATGCGCCCGATGTGGACGTCTCGATGAGCTTGCCTTCCCCGGAGAAAGACGATGGGGTTGCCAGCATGGACGATGATCATCTAGATCTGTCTCCTGATGGAGAGGGGGTATCGAGCGACGATGAGACAATTAAGCCGGAACGTGGGATAGAACAAGAGCAATTAGAAGAGGATGTTGAAGGGGAACCAGGGAGCATCGTATCCGACCAGCCTACTGGAAATGGGGTTGTCGCAAATCGGTATCGTCAACTCCTACGAAATCATGATGATGTCTCGGAAGCAGGATCCAGCGAAGATCTACCTCGAAGAGCCGGGAGCCCCATTGATTCGTTGCTTTCCATACCCGACGATTCGCCTTCGGTTCAAGTAAGCTTTTATACTTGCTACGATTCTACTAAGAAGGGAGAGAGAGGATGGATGTGTTAGCTAACAGCTTCAGGGCTCCATGATATCTTCCCTTGGGAGTAGTAGAGTGCCCTCTCTCGCTTCTCGCCCTGGGCTTAACAGTCCTACGCCCTCTTTTAGACCCTTCGACCGACGATTCCAATCTCGTATAGCCTCCCCTTCGGCTCTATCTCCGCGGCCGTCGTCGCCTGCTTTTCTTGCGGGACATAGCAGACAGGCATCCATGAGCAGCCAATTCTTACTTGAATCCGGCGAAACCGAAACTCCCACGCCCCCATGGGAAGTAGTACGATGGACCAAGTTAAAGAAACTAAACGGCCAGGTATTCTCCGAGGCCGGGAAGCGTAACTTTGGTTCACCTACGTGTATAGCTATTTCTGCGTCCATCGTATTAGGCACCTCCAAAGGCATAATCCTAATGTTTGATTATAATCAGAATCTTAAGATGATTATAGGCCCAGGCACAAAAGGTCCGTACTGCTTTTAACCCATTTTGCAACCATTTGTTAACTGGTCGCAGCTGTTGAATCTGGGTCCATCACCGCCATCGCTATATCTGCAGATCACACCACGATAGGTAGTGGTCATGCTAGCGGCAGCATCTTCACATGGGACACTAGCCGGGTGTCTCGACCCTTCCTTCATATTCCGCCCCTTGACCCAGCCCAGTTTCAAAACCGGACGACGGACGGTCATATGCCTAATGTAGCAATAACCCATATAGGGTTCTTAGGCACTAGACACACTGCCCTAGTATCCGCCGACGACCGCGGAATGGCATTTTCACACCTTGCAACTCGGGGTACTGGCGCTCTTGGGCGAATGGTCAAGACGGTGAGGATACTGGGCCGCTACCCTGATGCTCCGCCTCCCACATCAGGGAAGCCCCTGAAGCCTAGTACCGTATTGGCCTTTTCTCCATTGCCGCTCGGGAATGTGGAACGGGCAACAGACACGATGGGCCTCACGGCGATGCTTACCCCTTACCTGCTTGTTATAGTCTCGACGACACCGATTGCGCAGACCCAGCATAAATCGGCCAGACCAAAAGACGTAGCACCCCATAGTGCTATGACCGGCTGTTTAGCGTGGTTTCCTGCCGTCAAGTTGAAGGTACCCGATCCTGTCACTGGTAGCACTATGTCCAAAGTTAAACTGGTCTACTGTTGGGCAAATGTGCTCACCGTTCTTGAAGTGGATGAGGTACCTACAGACGGCAAAGACAAGCCTCCCGCCCTCAAGTTCAAGGCGCGTAGTAGATGGACGTGCGAGGAGGCAATTGTGGCAGTCCAGTGGCTCAGTCGCTCCGTTTTGACCGTCCTAACAATCACGCAGAGACTTATTGTTCTTGAAGACCGCTCGATGAGGATGACGGAAGCTTTCGATCTCATCCATAAGTACATATATCATGCTGATCTCTTTTCCGCCCAGTTGCACAATTTAGTTGAGCAGCTCGACGAAAACGACACGTCAATGCATGGTGTTGTCGCAGATGCTTTCTACATGAGTTTCAAGGCATACAAGGGCCGCATCTTCCTGCTAGGCTTCAACGACGTATCCATCGGTGCGTTATCGAACTGGGCTGATCGATTAATAGCATTGATGGAGAACGGCGACTACATTGGTGCAATACAGCTAGCGACCACTTACTACACAGGGGATGCAAATAAGCTAACAGTCGGTCTTCCTGAAGATGCTGCTTTGAGGCATCGAATGGTACGTGATAAGATAATGGAGATCATGAGTGCATCTCTGAAATATGCATTTGGCCAACGGCAAAAGAATAAGGCCTTAGTAGATGATCAGCATCTACGACAACTTGCAGAAACTTGTTTTATCGCCTGCCAAAGCGTAGGGGACCTCGACTTCCTCTTTGATGGTATGTACGAATGGTACGAAGACGCCGACGTCGAAGGTGTCTTTTTGGAAGTATTAGAGCCATATATTCTCGAAAAGACAATATCAGTCGTGCCACCCACCGCCGTCAAGGCCATGGTTACTCACTATGTCAGCAAAGGCTGGGAAAGCCGCCTAGAAGAGATTATTTGTCATATGGAAACTACCACCCTCGACATCGATCAGATAACTTCGCTTTGCAAGCAGCATGGCCTTTATGATGCCCTTATATACGTCTGGAATCAGGCGTTATCCGATTACATCACGCCTCTTATCGACCTACTTACTTTGTTGATACCTCTAGTGCAGAACACCGAATATACCAACTCTGGAGATCTAATGGAAGATGAGATATTTGGAGTTAATGCACTCAAGATGTTCCCATATCTCTCGTACACTCTAACTGGAAGGATTTACCCTACGGGTGGTAGGATGGAGGACGGAGTAGCCTCTCAGGCCAAGGCGGAGCTTTACTGGTTTCTCTTTTCCGGGAAGAGCATAAGTTGGCCTAAAGGCAGCAAAGTATTTCTCACTCGTCCAAAGCAAGCGGAAGAACCATCTTTCCCGTATCTCAGAATGATACTACAGTATGATGCGCCGAGCTTTTTAAGTGCGCTGAACGAAGCCTTTGAAGACTCCTTTTTAAACGAGTCTCAGGAGAAACAACTCAACGGTGGCACTGGAAAAAACTTACCAGAAGAGCAGATATTCGGATTGACTGTCGATCGCCAGTATGTCGTGTCCATCCTATTAGAAATCATGAATCCAAGCGACTTTGCGCCAGAGGATACCATATATCTAGATATGTTTATCGCGCGAAACCTTCCTAAGTTCCCACAATATCTTCTCATACCAGGTTCTACCCTTGACAAAGTCTTGGCTGGGCTATGCAACTACCCTGGCATAGATCTCGCCGAAGATGCCCAGTTGAGTGCGGAATATCTGCTCTCTATATACCAGCCGCCAGACATATCAGCAATAATACCCCTATTCAAGAAGGCATGTTTCTACCGTATCCTAAAGCGGATATACAGAAATGACAAACAGTATGGGAAGCTATTACAAACTTATTTCGAGGACCCGGAAGACCAAATGGATATTTTCGAATGCGTCGCGGAGTGTCTACGCCCCCAAGCTAACCTCACTAAGAAACAGATTCAAGATGTGCACGATGTTATTAAAAATAATTCACGGGATTTAGTCGAGCTTGACCCAATCCAAGCTGCCCAGACCCTAGCTACGTACGCACCTAACTTGCATAGATTCGCCTTGGACTCGCTTGAGGAGGGATCAGAACTGCAGTTCGCGTACCTCCGAGCTCTACTTGAACCCGACCCCGAAACCTCAAGACAGCCAGCTACGACCCTAGACCGGGATTTCATTGAACAATATGTGCAACTCATGTGTCTATATGATCCTTCCCATGTCTCAGATTACGTCGGCATCGTACAGGCTACAAATTTAAGGCTAGACAAATTACTACCAGCTATGGAAGACACAGGAGTAATCGACGCAGTAGTTATTCTTATGGCCCGAGAGGGGCAAGTTCAAGACGCCATGAACCGCTTAACTAAACATTTGGAAACTTTGGAGTCGGCTCTTCAGGGGTTAGTGGCAAATGCAGATGAGCATTCCGAGGATATAGACGTCAAAGAAGCTGCCGAAGATCTGCTCAGAGGACTGCAGAAATATACGCATGTTGGTATCTGGTTATGTCAGGGACAGATGAAAACCACTAAGAAACTCAACGCTGTCGGCCGACGAAACTCACCATCGCCTAGCGAACTTTCCCCCGACGAAGCGTTGTGGCTTGGGTTAATAGAAACCACAGTCCAGATCACGCGGCGTTTATCATCGGTTGTTGCGCCATCTAAACCGATTAGAGTCTCTAGCACTGCTTCTCCATCACCGGTCCTTGATAGTGACAAGCTAGTAGGACTCCTGCGCTCACTTGTACAGCACACATTCACAGCGCTTATGACAGCAACATCCACTCAGAATGGTGTCCTTCCTACCAACCGCCTAGCAAGCTCGGGAGGCAGTCTCACGTTCCTTCGGATCCTCCGAGCCTTCTTGACCCGTGCAGCCGCCACTTCCCCTAACCTTGCCGACCTGCGAGCTGTTCTAACTTCGATATTCTCAGCCTATGCATATGAGGAATCCATACTGCAACTTTCAAATAGGCTCCTCGAGCAGCAATTGTTTGTTAATGTTAAAGAGGCAGTAGAGCTACGCCAACGGGGATGGCGACCTAGAGGGTCCACGTGCGAGGCTTGCGGGAAGAGAGTTTGGGGCCCTGGGGTTTCCGGGAATGTCTTCGAGGCATGGGAGGAGAAGCAGGCTATCGAAAACAAGAAGCGGGAGGAAAAGAAAGCCGCCTTGGTTAGTCGGTCTATCGCGCGCGGAAAGGGTAAGGCCGATTTCCCGCAAGAGATGGAGTCCTATAACGGAAAGGGTAAAGGTAAAAGTACGGAGCGAAGCGATGGTCCCAGCTCAGCAGATGAGCATGCAGCGAATGGTGAACAGGACATCCATGGTTCTGCTGTCGAGTCGAATGGAGACGCTTATGAACGGCGAAAGGACCAGCCCTTAGGTCCACTCGTCGTCTTGGCTTGCAGACATATATACCACAAGGCTTGCCTAGACACGCTACAGGCGAAGAGGGCAGCGAACGGAGACCATAGAGAGGTGGATGGGTTCGGTCGCGAGACAGATTACAGATGTCCTATTGACGGCTAGGATGGGAAAGGATAAGATGGGCACGGTCTGGCCGTTGTATTCACGATGTACACTACGATAGTTACAAAGCCGTCGACACTTGATCGAGCGCTATAAATATAATGTTGGAGATGTTTTAAAGACGTCTATGGACTTTCGTATACGTCTATCTACATTGTCTACCTAACATTACAATCCTACGGGCACATTAACGGAGCAAAACATGATACAAGAATGCCAAAAATGCCAAAATGCAAAACGTACAACACCGGGGATTCGCTGGTCGTCACCGACCCAACTACTGGTCCGGCGGTATCCGGTTTATCGCGGGGAGAGCGGACGGGATCCCGAGTTCTCCAGATCCTATGGTCGTACGTGATGGTTTGTGGTGTTTTTGAGGGTTATATTCCTTTGCCAAAGATGAGGGAAGGCCAAGTCACCAAGATCGAGACCCACCAATTCTCCCGCCCCCTGAGCAACTCACATCGGCACTGTTCAAATTCACAAAACACTGCAATGATAAATCAATGTTTGTCCTCGAAGAATCTATGTCCTTTTGAATAAAATTACAAATGCGCAAAGGTATATATATATACAAGAAGATAACGCTGTGCGTTTCGCGACGGCCTCAAAGCAAGCTGCTGGGTTTGTTCGCCTGTGGTATCTCGCTCTATCTAACTATGCCGTCTATCCCTCGTGGGAAAAAGAGAGAAACAAAATACCCTCCCTTCCCTTCCCTTCCATCCATCATCATATCTTATACATACATACACTACGACACCTAAGTAGGTAGGTCGTGACAACTTTTTACAGAGAAATATTAATCCCCTTTTTTCTTTTTACCGTTTGCATCTGTCTAGGCTAGTCTAGTCTGTCAGGGCAATCCGCGTGTTTCAGCAGGATGTGTCATGGACTAACCCAGACTACCTAGTTTAGAGCCAGAGTAGACCAGAGACTAACTAACTAACTAACTAGTGAATAGCCCGACGCCGCCGCAGCGATGGTGATGCGCGCTTCGTGTGCGCGTCGGGGCACCGGGTCGTGGTTATGATCTCGGTCTTGGTCTTGTAGATGACAGACGGCTGAGCGGCGTTGTTCGCGTCCGCGGGAGGAGCCGGGGCCGGGTCAGAATCGTCCGAGGCTGCGGGTTCCGTTGCTGCGGGCTTGGCTGGCCCGGCGGGTGCAGGGGCTGGAGCAGGGGCCGGGGTTGGCTCTGGCTCCGGCTCCGGCTCGGGGGTCTTCTTGGCGCGAGGCGTGGCCTGGACGCTGGTCGCGGTGGGCACAACGACTAGAGGGTCGATGGACAGGGTGTTGACGACTGGTGCCGTTAGGCTGTTCAGCGGGATGGGGTTGCCACGCGGGAGAGGCATGGTGGCGTTGGCGTAGGGAGCGCCGGTTGCGGAGACAGGGCAGTGCGTTGTGGTTAGGGTGGCGGTGTCGTCGACGACGACGATCTGGGTCAGGCTGGCCGGGCAGTTCATGACTTGGGCGGCACACTCGGTGATAGTGTACCTGCCTGTCGTAGTGTGCTTCTCGGTGACGAGGGGTACAGGGCAGGCCAAGACGGAGGCTGGGTGAGTCATCTCGGGGGGTGCGAGAGAAGTCGAGCCAGTGCCAGTAACAAGCGGTTTTCTCGTGATGGTGGGCTTGGCCGGCGCCTTCGTCTTAGACACTTTACTAGTGCGGATACCCGTGCCAACGGGCTTCTTACCCGTTCCTAGCGCAGTAGTAGGCTCGGGGGTACCGGTAGCAGTCAAGAAGCAAGTGCTGGTAGACGCGGTGAAGACGGTGGTGCTGAGCGTGGGATTGAAGTCGACTACGGGGTTGTTGGCCACATCCGCGCCGATGTCCACGAACACGCCCGCGTTAATGTTAATGTCCGCGGACGCGGGAAGTATACACTCGCCTGCCTCGGTGATGCTGCCGTTGCGGTCGAATTGTTGCGAAAACTGTTCCGATAGTGTCACCTCAGGGATGTACAAGAACGCACCGACGAGAGCCTGCGCATCGAAGAGCTTGTTACCGGGTAGGTCTACACCAGCCTGTACACGCAGACGTAGCGCCACGGTGATCTCAGCGGGACCGTCAACGGTCAAGGGGAGAAGAGTCGTCTGAGCGCCGTCGCTGTGGTGATGGTTAGAAGTTTTATTCTTATGCGATTTGATTTGGCTTTCCAGTCTGGCCTGATAGCTCAGGGGTAAGGAAAGAAGGTAGGAAAAACTTACAAATGGGCAGTGTTGGGGATACTAGGGTCGAGAGGTATCTTATAAGACGATCCATCAGGGATAGTAACCTCGAACCCAGTCTCGGTTGAGATCTCGGCCGTCACACTAACGATGAGGTCCACGTTGAAAGTAACACCGACTTGGAATCCAGGGCCCTAGATTTGTTCTCTTGTCAGTCTACGGGGCCTCTTCACACTACAGGCTTTACTCCGCTTCCAGACTTCCAGACTTACAGAAATGCCGAGGGGCGTCTCGGACTTGAATAGCGGAATGGTGAACTGGCCATCACCGTCGACAGCCATCCTTATGCCGATAGTAGCACCCACTCCTTCGAAGCCAATCGTCAAGCTGGCGTCGTTAAGCGGGTTGAAATCTTTGATATCGTGGAGGAAGTCGCCGAGATCATCCGGGAATTCAGCAGACGCCCTGATGGTACCGAAAGTATTGCATTCGCTGCAGGATAGATCCAGCGAGATATCAACTCCTTTTGTGGCGGCCCAAGCACTACTGATCGTCAGTATATGTTTGCATATATAATTATCATATAAGTAAGACATATGAGAGAGGCAGTTAAAAGAGTTACATACCCCGAAAACAAAGTCACATCTGAAAAGTCGTGGTCGAAACCGAAGGTGGTATCGGCATCGCGCTTGATCATGGACCTTGTCCTTATCGGCCGCGGCGCAGGCTGAATATCACGTCGTTCCCTAGGCGTGAGCAAATCTGAAAAAGGTGAAGCGGTCACCGAGGCCAGCAGCGACCAGCAGGTCAAGGCGAGAGGTAGTAAGCTATGCATGGTTGCCTACGTCCTGCTACGAAAATAAATAAAAAGAATGTATATAGTTGGTTGCCGGCTGGAGCATCCACCGAACGATCGAATAGCAGATAGAGCGAAGAGAAAAAAAGAGAGACAATAAACGAGAAAGGGTTGGAGGAAAGAAGGCTTCACCACAAACTCATTATGTATAACGCAATGTTAAAGAAAGACGTAGGTAGTATACCTATATGAGAGGTAGAGGGTAGAGAGTAGAGGGTAGAGGTAGAAGAAGAAGAAGAAGAAGAAGTAGAAAAGGAAAATATCAGATTCCTTCTTCCCTAACCCATCGCACATATAACACCAACAACAGCAACAGAATAATAGAATAGGAACCTCACCCGATCCTCTCGTAGGGTCAGTTACTAGTTACTTACTTACTCCCCTGGGCCAGACCGTCGTTCTCCCCCGTACGTAGTCTCGCTAAAGCCGAAAGTGGCTTGTGGTATTTGGTCTCTTGCATCGTGCGTGGGTGCATCGACGGCCCACGGATCGGGCAGAAGGATTCGGGCTCACCCCGTCATGAAACCGAAACGAGCATCTGCCAAGACGAACGGCTCCGTTGAACCACCTTTACTTATATTAAAAGGTGCAATGTGCAATCTACATAGCACACGCGGATAGCTAAATGGAGATAGATGGGCTGGTTAGCTGATCTAAGCTGGCCTCGCGAGTAAACTCACCTGAGATGAATCTGACTTGCAGTGTCCACCGAGAGATTCCATCTTCATCTTCATCTTCATCTTCATCTTCATCTTCATCTTCATCTTCGTCTTCGTCTTCATCTCCATCCTCTCCGTATCGCATACTAGTTTCGTAGCCAAGCCTCCTGTTCCCCTGCACAATTATAAGATCGTCTACTAAAAGTCTTGAGCCTCACAGCAAACCGTAAACCCCCAACCCCCCTCCCCCCTCCCCCGTCCATATCTCCGAATCTTGCTTGGCCCCTTACGACATCGGTATAATACGATAGGCTACTTACTATACCCAACTCGCCTCCTGCATCTCGCCCTTCCTGTTTTAAAAGGCGATAGATAGGATGGAACAAGCTGCAAGGCTGCGACAATTATGCCATGCCTGTTTCCGCAAAAGGCAGTCGGGAAATATATATGTTGTATCTTAGGTAAATTTAAGTATTCAAGCTTATAAAGAATACAGGGAATACAGGGAATACAGGGAATAATATAGTCCCCACCCACGAGTTTTAAGGTTTTTGAAGTCTTCTCTTCTTTGGGAATGATAGATCGTCTGCTGCACCTTCTTAACGACTTACCTGATCGGGGCTGCGCCACTTCCCTCTTCAAGCCTTCAGCTGCTAGGGCCAGCCCGTGTTTCATGTCCGTCTATACATGGCACATCATCTATAATGCATACCTAGGTAAGTAGGTAGGTACCTACGTATAGAAGGTTATTTATTGTCCTACGTAGCATCCCCCCGTCCTTCTCCCTTCGTCGTAGCGTCATCAGGGCTCTCCTGTTACCATCCCCCTTCCCCCCCGGCACATACATTAGTACCTACTTACCTTTTACAGGCCATGCAAGATATAAATAAACCTCTAACTAAACTAAATAGATCGCACCATAAAGTATTTGGTATAGTACTTTAGTATACCTAGTACACATATGAGGCTCAGCTAATATCGTTGATCATAAGCTGCCATATGTAAATCAATTAGCCCGAGACACATGCTGATGCAACATGCCTACCTACCTACCTAGGTACTACGTATGTACATACCTATGGTAGGTAGTCAGCCAGACAGCCCAGTCCAGTCAGCTCAGTCCGCAAATAAAAAGCGTGCACATCATCAAACTGCATGGCGCCAACAACACCAATTCTAAAGTCGAGGATGCTCATGTGTACCCATCCTCTCACCCCCAAATTAATTAATCATCACCGAACGAATATACTATAAAAGCCTATCATCAGCTTCACCGAGAACAAATGAGAAAACTCCAAAACTCCATTTCCAAAATCGTTCAAAAAAAAAATCAAAGTATTCTATTTTCGCCGTCTCAATTCCATGATGACAAGATGTCTCTTCTATGATAGAACCTAAACCCCCCCCTCTCCCTTTCTCCCTAGTATCGTAGGTTGGGCACCTAGGTGCCTTAGGTATGTAAAGCCGCTACTCCTAGTCTCCCTTCTGAAGCTCCACCCCTTGGATTTGATCGCTTGTGATACACCGGCAAGCCTTGTCGCCATAATACACTTTGTAAGTTAAAACAAAAGAAAAGCGATGCCAAAGATTTGTTCCGTTCGTCCATGCACTGGTTATTCGATAATCGCCGCTGCGGCCTATATGATGCATCCCATCTCTCTATTTCTCCACCTTCTCGTCTATAACCTTCTGCTGCCCTTGCTGCGCGTCCTTGGCCTGAACCAGGTCGGCCTCGGCATCGACTGCTTCGCCCACCACCTCTTTGTTGAGGCCCTGCTCTGCCGCTGCTACCTGAGCGCGATCGTCTTTATCGTCAATGTCTTCTACGTCCTTGGGCGTAGCGAGACCCGTCTCCTGGTTCTCCTGGTTCTGCTCGTTCTCTTCCTCGATCAGGTCCTGTTGTTCCTTCAGAACCTCGAGTCGTTGCTTGTTGGTTGCCGCACCCTCGGCATTGTGTACCTCAAGTTCGATCTCGTGGTAGAGTTCCTCGGGGATAGATGATAGCACACCAGTTAGGGCCTCGATCTGGCCGTGGAAGCCAGCCTCTGTCTTCTCGCCGTACATGTAAGCATTGCTCAGCACGAGCAGCGTCGAAGGAACTCCGTGCTTTAACCGTAGGTCCAACCAAGATTGAAGCTCCTCTCGTAGTCGAGCGGGCGATACTGTATGCGTCTTGATGCCTCGGCTGGCACATGCAGTCTGCAGCTCTGCGACGTTAAGACTGTCAACGCCTTCGTAGCTGATCGCCTTGTCGTCCCTCTTGATTTGCCTCATTCTGTGACGAATTTGGTACCTGAGCATGATGTCCGTGCCGAACGTATTCAAATTTAAGTACCGGCACATAGATACGAGCTGCGGCCTTGACAAATTGTCAAGAGTCAGGTCGTCCCTAAAGGCCTTGCAAACCTTAATGACGTCGTCTGTGCTCGGCTTCTCCCCGGTGGCCCGTAATTTTCGGAAGAACGTGGCGAACTCCTCCTTCTGCGTCGTCGAAGGCGACAGAGGAAGCCCTGTCTCCTTCATGGTCTCCCGGAGGAAAACGCTGACCTCCTTACGAGTCGCACGTAACGTCGCCGCCTTTTTGTCCTTGGACTGCTGGGCTTCGTATGTACTAGGCAGCATATTGGGGAACAATTTTAGGGCGATAGGTAGGAGCGCTTCGGCAAAGGGAACGATGACGAAGACTGAAAATGGAACTAAGCGTCCAAGATCCTGAACTGTGCGTTGCAGTTGTCGGTTCTCTCGTCGGGTCAATTCGTAACCGGCAGCCATCTTCAATGCTAGTTTGCTGCTGATCCTGACTTCCGTCGCCAGAAGCTTTGTGCCGTCCCAGTAGTGTTGGATTTCATGCTTGATCTTCTGTCCGAGAGTCAACTTCTTCCCCTGCTTCCCCTCCTGCTTCTCAACTTCTGCTTCCTTCTTCGCGGCCAACCCGGTCAAGGACTTGGGATCAGCAGAGAGCTCGCCGGTGGAAGATTGTGTTGCCTTTGCAGCGGCTGTGTCCTCAGTTGCTTTTGCTTTAGCCTCAGACGCCTTCTTGCTCGAGGCAGGCGTGTCTGTCTTCGGGAGAGGCTTCTTGGCCTGCTCTGCGTTGAAACCAGGGGGTGGTACATCGGAGAGCCCAACCGAATGCCGCTCGGTCGATATGCTTCGAATAGGAATCAGAAGGGCTCGCACAGCGAAATCTGAAGGAAATTGCCAGCTCTGTCGCCCAAGGTAGGCTGATGGAAGGGCAAGGCCCGGTCGAGCAGCAGTCCTCCCTGCAAAGGGGTTTATTAAAACCGCCTTGCGGGCAGCGGTTCTAGAGGATGCGCTCATATCGATAAGGGGGGGCGAAGATATCGGTGGACTAATTGAGCATACAGGGGTAAGAAGGTAACTTTAAGAATGGCAGTGGGTGTGTAAGTGTGAGGGTGTAGAGACGCGAGCGTGTGTGTATGTATGTGGATGTATGTGGATGTATGTGTGTGCGGTTGTTGTAAGAAAGTTGTTGCAAGAAAGTTGTGTACAAGAGTAAACGTTGAGAAAGATAGGAATGAAGAAGTAACTTTTTCTCGTTCCTAATGCAATCGGGTTATTAAGGTAAGGTTATTACATTGCATGACCCGACCCCCGAACGACTTAAGTCCGGTCGACTTATGTAGTACATCGTTGGTAAAAGCCTAAATCACGTGGTGATACTGATTCGATAATGACCGATAATAACAATCTACGCTTGTCCGCCCTGTCTAGGCCCTTCTCTACTCCACAACTTGTTCCACATCAAGTCAGGTAAGTCGGATATTTCCGGCTCGGACCATCTTTAGGTATGTACCACCTATGAAGGCCATAGTGCCTAACTCAATTACGTCAGGAAATCGTCCAGCTGGAGCCATCTGGTCTCCTATCCTCTATACGTACCACGTATTTTACTCCACCACCCAGACTGCCAGAGCAAGTATTGATGTCACTAATAATAGTCGTAAAAGAAATTCAAGCACAAGCATGTCAGGATCATACTAACTAAGAAATAGGTATAATATGTAATCCGTAGTAATGAAATCTATTACGCCAGCCCGGGTATCTGGTACCTAGATATACAAGTAATTTAATAACTACATAAACGAATAATGACTTGCTAACTCCAAATGCTATATGCTCTCTCCTTTTTTCCCACCAGACCCGTAGTGTAATTAAAGGATATCGATATCTTCAAACCAGTACAAGTATCATGTTTCGAATTAGAATATAATCAATGAATAATCATTCCTGATGTTGAGGTTCTTGCCGTGGTCTCGTAATGTTCGGGCCCGTACCGATTCCCGTCAGCGTTCGCATCGCCCAGTGCAGCCAGCTTTCTGTTTCGAGTTGTTTCTTCAGCTCGTCTGCCCTCCGTTCTACGTCGTCCACTTGTATCTCGAACTGCGCAACGCCCTCCTCGACATCTTGGACGCGGGAAACAAGAGCGTTAATCTCGTACTCTAGCTTGGCCGCCTGTACTCCAACGTCTCCAAGTGCTTCCGTGATACGCGCCCTTTGAGCTGCGATTGTCTCCTGCGAATCCTCTTTGGTCCGTCTGTATGCATCAGTGAGCTGATCGTAGAGCGCCTGCAATTCCTCTTGTTGGCGTGCGTAGTAATCATCCAACTCCACGACTGATTTAACCTTGGAATCGGCCCACGGCTCAATGCTCTGCTTAACGTCGAAAACATTCACGTACAGACTCCTGGCAAGCTCCGTCAGATACGCATGCTTCTCCGGCACTTCTATACTATCCGAATTCGCGTTCTGATCGAGGCTGATTACCTCTTCCCACCGGAGGACGGCTTCTTCAGCGTCTCCGAAGGAAAGTCTCCGCGCCCATCTAGCCTCGTTCAAGGAGTATCGTTCCGGAAGCCGTGAACCCCCGATACTGTGACGCCTATATAGACTAGGTAGGATGGTACTAAACTGCTGCTCCGTCTCGACGAACGGTCCTTGAAGATCACTTTCGGCAACAACCGAGTTTGCCACTGAGGATTCGACCCCCGCTGCTACTTCATTTCGCACCTCTATGGCTTGTGAACCACGTTTGAAGTCCTCGTTCATCGATCTTTGCACGTGGCCATTTGCTTTAGGCGTTAGCCGTACTTCTTTAACAGGCGATTCCTCTGTCCCCAGTAGGGCTACCGAGGCCGGGGCGGATTCAATTTCCCTGTCTCTCCTCATGGCGCTCAGGTACTCTTCCGGCTTAGTCTTCCAAGTAAATGCTCTACCAATCTGTCCTGGGCCCGAACCAGAACTTGGACTTATCGTAATCCCCGTCGAAGAATCGGAGAGCATAGACGATCGCGGCCCGGTAATCGTGGTTTCCGAAAATTCGTCTTTCGACAGCCGACTATTGTGACCACGTAGACCACCTCCACTATAAACAGCATCCTTTATACGTCCAAGACCTGAACGAGCATCTCGAGCGACGCTCTTGAATCCACGCCGGATAGCATCCTTGTCCCCGGGGCTATCCGCTATGCTAACCGCGGACCCGGGAGCTGGAGTCGAATAAATAGGAGTGTCTTCTCTCCGGCGAGTTTCCGTCTCTTCTTCCAAAGGTGTCGAATGCGTCCTTCTTGCTTGACTAGAAGACTCCTCCTTTCCGAATAGGATATTACTCATATCGGGAATAGGCTTTTCGTGATTGTCAGCCGTAGAACGCTTAGGCTTGCCGAACCATAGCCACTTCGCTCGCTCTCCAGAGGCTAAGTGGATGAACCTATCAAGATCTAGAGTCTCAATATCTCCGATCCCACCTTTGTCGCGCCCACTGACCATCCCAAGGACAATCTCGCCTCGCTTTCCACCTATTTCGGTCATTGTTGATTTAACTGCTTTTTGTACGCCCCAACCTTCGCCTGCGGCTGCTTTTGCAGTTACGGTATGAAGCTTGTGCATAGTTTGCCGATCCAATCGGCGTGTTCTCTCCAGCTTCTGGTATTTTTGGAAGTGAGAAATGCCTTTCTCGGTGGCGTCGATGTCGAATACATCTTTTGGGACAGGTGCTCCAAAGTAGCTCAACCTATTTCGCGCGCCCATTAATAAACCAAGCAACGCAGCAACAGTCGTCGGGCCTAAAATCCCATCCGCCGGTTCTATGTTGTAGTATTCAGCTCCAAACTCCGTCCACCAATCCCCAATGGCAGTCTCGGTTACATCGCAGAGCAGTCCATCAATATAAACCTGTTCCAATTTTCCAAACAATAAGAGAGCCACTTGGCAAATCTTAACCAATTCAATGACGACGTCTGAAAACGGCATCTTCTCGGTTGTCTTATATAGCTGGTAGAACTTGGCTTTGGCGGCTCCAGTGGGCTCGGACAGGGTCATACCAGATCGACCAGAACATCCGAGCCTCTTGAGATCTTCAATGACGATAAACTCCCTTCGATGTTTTTTTATGTCGCCATCGGGAACTAGTATAACGGTTAAAGCAGAAGGAAAGCTACTCAGGTTTGTTACCATCAACTCGCCATAATCCGTTTCTTTCGGTCGTGCATGGTACTGTTGGATAGCTTTGAAATAGAGACGCAATTTTGGCGACCAGGCTTTCTCGTCGGCCGGAACGCTTAATACGCCCACAACAACGACGTGTTTGTTGTCCCCAGTATATGTAACGATAACGACAGTGGGCGACTGGCGGGAACAAGCCCATTGTTCAACTAGGTATAATTCGTACCCTCGGATTTCTCGACTTTGCTCAGCAACAGTAACACACGGGTCCCCTTCAAGATACCTGAAAGCTACGGGGTCTGGAATGATGACACGGCGGCGCGAAGGATGCGTAGGTGTAATTTGTCTCGAGTCGGGGGAAACTGTCGTCGCCCGGTCCAGCTGACTCGAAGCCATATTCCTTTGCGCCGAAGTCCTCATAGCTGCCGATTCGTCATCGCGTTGTCCCCTATGCTCAGTCGAGGATACAAGCGGTCGCAACGACATGGTTGCACTCCTAGCCCTCTGTCTCGTACTGGTCTAGAGTTCATCATGCGCTGGAATTCGATAACGAATACATAGCGACCGGGTAAGTTAACAAAGATGACGCAGTAACACAATGGAATTTGGTAGGCAGTATTCCGTATTGAAAGCTGGCATGTGACGAAGGTGGTAACGTAGGTGGTGTCGGATGTTACTTTGAAATCCAAAAGGTGAATTAGTTGAGTTAACGGGTTACATACATAGGTAGGTAGGTACATAGCTACCCCTACCTAATCAAGAGTTACCGCTTCGTTGGTCCGTACTTTGTATATGTACCACGGTAAAGTAAAAAAGGGAGCTCCCCTGAAGGCTGTTGAAGGCTGTCTGGGCCGTCGGTATTGGAGCCAACTAACAAACATAGCGCAGGGGAATGCAACTAAGTGGGGATATATGCGTCATTGCTACCTGTCTAAGTAAGTAACATCCCCACATCTGTAAAAGAGACAGTCCACAGACAGTCCGAGTACCGGCTAAATCATGCGATTCTGGGCAGGCCCGACTGTTCATATGAAGAAATTAATATCCGGGGCTACCGCGATGGCAGGTATTATATGTCCCTAGGTAACTAACCTAACCGCTTAATCGGTATCGAAACTGGCGCAAATCAATGCAGGTCGCCATCATCTGACTTTGAGTTTGACCGTACAACTCTTAGCCCGCAACTTCTACGTTATTCCGACAAACCCCCCCTGGGCCTTAACCTGGAAATTTTCTTTATATGTTATAAACTCGGCGCTTCAACCGTTTAAATCTCTCGCCAATTAGTCTAGCACATTTTACCAGAATGAGAACTATCTAGATCCAGTCCTTCTCCGAGGCGAAGTCACGTCGGATTGGAAGCCCTTCTTTGCGCAAAGTTGAAACCTTCATCACGAGGACACAAGTACAGGTTTACCAGTCATTCTCGAGAGTCTCGTACTCAATTTCAAAATGGCCTTTTTACAATTACAGAAGGACCTCGACAAGCTGACCGGCTCAGCTAAGTTATCCGATGCGGTACAAGATGTCGACAAGGTCATAGACCTTCTCACCGCTGCGCGGGAAAGGGTAGCATCAGGTAAATAGGATATCCTCGAATTAACACCATTTCCCCTCACGACACAATACTGACTCGAATGCCATAGCAAATAATCCTCATACTACTAATCTAACCCTCGCTAAGCTACAAAATCCCATAAAGGAGCAACTAGACGTCTTAAATAGCAATTTAAGACATGTCTACAAGGCCCAGAATGAATTCAACAAGTCCCTAAAGAATGCTTTCCCTAAAGCCCAGGGCACTCTACCTACCGAGCACGACCCCATGGAGTCGCACTCGACTCTTATAAACCGCGCTATCGTCATGCATCTACTACGAGAGGGCCAGTTTGGCGTGGCCTCGACATTTATCAACGAAGCGCATCAACAACCTAATTCTCGGCAGCAGCCCGAGCCTACGCAGATTCAGCAGCCCGAATCTCAACCATCTGACTCCGACTTTCATCCAGTCATGTCTCCTGAATACCTACCACCTACCGACGCCATCATATCCGAAACCGATATCCCCTCTGACCTAACGGCATTCCATTCTCAAGCCCTCCAATCCTCCTTTGCCGACATGTATTCCATTCTCTCCGCCCTCAAAGCACACAACCTATTACCTGCTATAAGCTGGGCGAGAGAGAACTGTGTAGAACTTGAGGCGCGGGGCTCCAACCTAGAGTTTGAGCTCTGCAAGCTACAGTTCATATGGCTGTTCAAAGGTCCTGAAATCAACGGGCTGCCCAATACGTCAGAGAATGGGGTTCAGGGCGCATTACAATATGCTAGGGAGAACTTTGGTCGTTTCCAGCACCGCCATCTGCGTGAGATTCGACAGCTCAGCGCCGCAATGGTGTATTCCCAGAACCTAGCAGACTCACCGTATAGTTCTATATTTGACATCTCAGTAGCCTTTGATGAGGTCTCGGCATCGTTTACTCGAGAATTCTGCTCGCTTCTGGGTTTATCAGCCGAATCACCCCTCTACGTCGCAGCTACGGCTGGAGCTCTAGCTTTGCCTCAACTAGTCAAGTACAACTCTAAAACAAAGGCGAAGGGCACCGAGTGGACAACGGCTAACGAGCTGGCCTTTGAGACGCCGCTTCCCCGGAGCATGATGTACCACTCCATTTTCGTGTGCCCTGTGAGCAAGGAACAAACTACAGAATCAAACCCGCCCGTTATCCTACCCTGTGGACACGTTTTAGCAAAGGAAAGCTTGCACAGGCTAGCTAAAGGTAGCCGGTACAAGTGCCCATACTGTCCTAGTGAGGGTGTTGTTAAAGACGCAAAGGAAATCATACTATAAGCATATTACAGGATAAATATTGATTTGTTGGGCGTTGCACGCATTGTTTTCTCACGTGTTGGCTGGAAATGGGACTGATTAATTCAATTCGGCGTATGGCGATAGGGTCGGCCAGGGGATGTGGCTCTCATAGGGGTCTTGCAGGACGGTGTGCCAAAACTCAACTCGGGCGTCAATACGCCAGAACGTACTTAACGTACCTATTTAGGGTCATTGCTTTACGTTATTATAATGAAGTCTCCGGGGGTATATTTATTCCATCCTACGTGCTAGGATTTGAGATATAATATAGTTAAAGATCAAAATTACATGTCTTGGAAACTAGGTGTCTCTAATGTTCCTTTATATGCGAGGGACGTTTTTAAGTAACTAGCATAAATTTTTCTTGGGCAATTTATACGAAATTCTTCCGCTTCATCTAGAAAAGCTCAATACTTTACTTTAGCATTTAGATCTGTATTTGTAATAGGATCATTACACCTTACTATGAAGAATGATTACGCACCTAATATATGATAAGGGCTAGGTTGTAACGATACGCCCAGGTGTAAACGGACGAAGCAAAAAGAGTATCTTGACAATAAGGGGAATACAAATGAAGAGCCATAGGATTAACTGGCCATGGAATGATGATTATAACCCCCTTTTTTCACAGTGGGGCAAGGTAGTAAGAATACAAGCAATAGTAGATGGAACTGATAAAAGCTTTTGATAAGACTAGAAGGGGTGGGCAATAAGAGGGAGTTTTGATGCTGTAACTATCATGTTCTTAGAAATATAAGAGAGTAACAGTTCGAGCCGTATTAAATAAGTGCCTAGACTAAGGTATTCATTATAGAAGTTAACTAGTTATTTTATAACTATTATCAACCAAGTATAGGTTGAAAAGTTACGCGGTAACTCCTAACCCTGACCACATTTTCGTTATTTTCTTCTATATTTAAATTTTGGCCGGCTTTCTAAGCTGAAGTGAAAGAACCATTTCTTTTACTCAACTAGTTACCTAGGTATGTATTACTTTGCGTAGCCAAAGTGCCTGCATCATATCCCGCAAGAGGTTGTTAGCTGGAACATATTGTGCCTTTTGCTAAACAGATGCTGGTAGTTTTCCAGTAGAACTTATGCCAGATATACCGTAAGAGTATATACAAAATCACCTTCTGGTGTAGTGAAGTGTTTAACGACCTGCCTGTTTTGCTGTCTCTTTTACTTTGCTTATTCCGTGCTAAGACGTCTTGTTTACCAAGAGCATAAAAACCATATTTTCTATGCTCTCTACTTGGATCGATTCCCTTATAATCTGACCTTGAAATAACCATACTCCTATTTACACTTAGAGATAAAAGATCTAGTTAATAGGCGAGGTTAAACGTTAGTACAACGTTTCATACATCACTTATCTACCACTGTCTACTAGGAAAGATTTGTCTATCACTTATATCAACCCTTCTCGCTATTTCCGAACGCTGATTAATATTAATAGATCAATCTTAGCGTACCTATTGTAGGCGTAGGATCTTAAATAGGGATTTAGTTGCGTCGTGTAGAAAGACGCGTGCCGGTTTCCCGTAACCGCATCCAGACTGTGTAGTTGGTTCACCTCCTTTTGTGTTCGTAGGGTAGCGGTATCAAGCAAGTCTTAAACATTTAGCTACCGGCCGGCATTCCGCCTCCTGGCATTGCAAGAGGAGTCTCATTCTATAAGTCAAAGCAGACTAGATACCTCGTTTAGCTCGTTGCCAACAACCCCGGAGAAAGGCATATCGTATTTTTTTTTATAGATATGGTTTAGTTCTTCATATGATTCATCCGGCTATACGGCATCTACCCCTAACTTCGGATGATGCTAGGTTAGGTAACTCTACTATTCTTACAGCCTTACCATAGGCCTTCAGCCCTGCATAAGTTTTCGGGACTTCACGTTCAATGTTATTAACCACCTGTAAGGGCAAAGTTACCATAGGTAGTCTTCGGTACCATCAAAAAAGTAGACATATAACGAATCAAACCGCAGAATATCTGCCTCTTTTCTGCTAGGTAACTACATAGACTATGTGCTTATAAGTCTGACTTTGATGTTTGTCATCATCCCTACCGGAAGACCCGCGAACCATGCAACCTGAACCCCCCAGCGAAAAAGATCGAACTGGGGATGGGGGTATTCCCTGATCACCCGAGTACCTGTCTACTAATAACGCATCGGTACAACAATGACCTCTTCCTTGTCGGGGTGAATGCTATCCAGATTTCCACCAAGTCTGACGCGACACACTTGAGAATGTTTGTCCCGTAACTCCGTCGGGGGTCGAGACCTAATTTCGACCCGATTAAACGCCAGAAAAGGACAAACGAAATTCGCAAAAATCATTCCTCGTTTTACGAGAAAACTATAATACTTGGGATATCTGAAAAATAAAGAAAATGCTCGAAACTAAAAGGTCGTTTAATCGTATCGCTTTGTACACCTATTTGCTATCTCGTGACTAGTCGATCGTCATTCTGGTCGGTAGCTGCGGCTGTTTGACATCGTGCATGGAATAACTAGCTTGGTCCTTGTCGATCTCTTCTCGAGGAGCATTGAGGTGCTGCTTTAGACCCGCACCGAAATTGAACATGCAGACCAGAGCGTTGATGATGGTCAGGATAATTAAGACGATAGTAAGTACTGCAAATGTCGTCAAAGATTTGCGAACGGGTAGGTAATACTTGGATTCGTAAGGATCGAAGATTCGCTCAAGCTTGTAGATGAAATACGTAAGACCGCCGAGATAGAGGACCATGATGACTATCATGCCTATCTTCCATTCCCGTCGCGTAAATAATGCCGCACAGAGGAGAATGGCGATGGTGATAGGGATGGCAGCAGCAGTTAGACCGAATTCGGTAGATGTCTTGCCTCCGACCACGACTAGGAATTGGATAGTGAAACCGACAAAGAAGAAGAAATCGAACTTTAGAAGGGCAATGTAGACCTGCCAAACATGATTAGTCGTGTATAGGAGCGGATATGATATGTCAAGTGACAAACCTGGTAGTGCAGGAATCGCTTCTTCATCCTGTAGTCGGCTCCTATATGCTTCAGGATATCCCAGGCGAATTCCTGGTAAAGCTTCCAAGCAAGGAAACTTAGAACAATGCTGGCGAGGGAAATAATGCACGGCATGGCAATGAGAACACCTTGGACTTCTTCCCATACGTCGAGGTCTTCGAAAGCATTATACTGCTTTAGTCTAGTAATGGCCACGCGGATCTGGTCAATTTGGAGGGCGCTGTAGATGAGAAGAGCAAGGTTGGCGACACAAAGACCGATGACTTGAATGGTGTTCTTCATGCGCAATGCATCCCAAGCTAACACTACATCGTACAGGAAGCCAAGGATTAGTAGGCCGAGGAAGGTTGGGATGGTTCTTATTTGAGCCATGCCATCTTCCAAATTTTCTTGCGAACCCCAGTCTTGTACAGTCCTCAGGTGTTTAAGGCCAGTTTGAAACTGGGCAAAGGCGTATCTGGAAAGAGGAAAGCAATTAGTTTGAGACTGGGACAAGTATTCGGCGATAGCAACTTACGCCTCAAAGACGATTACAATAACGGCTTGTATAGTAGCAACAAGGAAAAAAAGGCGCGGCCATTTCCTGGTAAATATCTCGCCGGTAGATTTCGCTAGGCTGCTAGCCCGATTACTCTTCGCGGACATCTTGGTATCGCGACCAATGTACTGCTGTGGATATTGCGCTTGCGAGTACTGGGCGTATTCTTGCTCTGGAGAGTGAAATGACTGATTAGAGGGGATTTGCCGGAAACCCGCTGAATCCCCAGCCAAAAAGGACGGAGATGTTTGTCCGAACGCCAGATTGCTGGTACTGGACTCCTCCGAAAGCGAGGAGTCGGACAAATAGCGAGCGCGAATAGATGATGGGGATGATCGAGATGCTTATTGGCGAAGCTATTGTTACGACCCGGCCGATGGTTTCAATTCGCTTAACCGTTAACTTGTTGGTCCTCTAATTCTAGTTCTTCTTCCACTGCTTCAAGCAATGAGAATAATAGCCCGGCGGGGCTGGGCAACTGAGTAGGTAATGAAAAGGGAACAAAGGAATTAGTTGACGACAAAACAATCTTGACGTTAGTAGAGGCTATCAACGCCGATCTACGAAAACGTCGCGATGTATTGTGGATGATAAAAGATCGATGGCGAGGTTTAATTTCTGTTTGCGAGGTCGATGGTCGATGGTCGACAGAAATTTGGACGTGGTGGACTGCCTGAAACAGATTGATGAGTTTGATCCGTGACGAGGGTGAATGAAGGCAAGGGGGTTGTATTCGGTTCTGCCCGTGGCCTAGACTGGCAGTCCAGTTTGCTTGGCGGGCTCTATGTGTCTTGAGTATGCGCGCCAAAAAGGAATCTCTTGGGGATTATTCGGTGCTTCTTGTCACAGTTGATTCTAAAGGATTGGCTCCTGTTTACTTGATAAGTCGAAGTCGAAGACAAGGTCTCAACGAGCGGTAAGAAGAAAAGAAAAAGAAGTCAGGTTAATTGCTTCGCATCGTGGCTTTACAAGTGCAGCTATGGAATAGTTCGGTCGCTTGCTGCTTTGAAGAGCGAGGCGCAGTTGGAGGCTAAGACGGAAAATAGAGAGGAACAGGAAATCCGTAAACTAAGTGAGTAAACTAAGTGAGAGAACAGTCTCTGTAGGAAATGCGACGATACCGTTTTGTTGTTTCTTTTGCCTGATACGTCTGATAGTGAAAGGGATGAGAAATTGAGTTTGAACGGTTATCCGGATTGAATGTCAGATGTTCTTTGCTGACGGGTGGATGGGGACGCGGATCAACAGCTGTAATTCAATCTGAATTTCAAATGGGCTGTGCTGACATTTGACTCGACATTTGGCGCTGGGGCTGCTTTTTTTTACGGGGGGTGAGTACCTAGGTATTGTACCTCCCTGGGGCGAGCCATGCGCTAGTAGTGGGGATGTGGACTTTTTTCGGTAACTTCTGTTAGTGACATTTGCTAGTAAGTTTGCGACGTGCCTAGTGCCATGCTAGCGAACTCTACTTTTAGCTTTTAGAGATTTCTATTCCTGATGTCGGGTGTCGGGAAAGGACATGCCATGCAATGGATCTCAACCATCTGTTCGCCCTATGTACCTTAATGCAGGTGCTCGACATGACATCTACATAGTGTATCTTCTGCTGTGCATCACTCATAATGAAGATGACGTGTATCTCATGCTTAACCTACGGTATCTCTATCAGTTGGTGCTTCGTTCATTGCATGGTATATGGTATACATACAAATAAATTTATTTGGTACCTAGTCCGTGTCCAATCCTGGTCACTCGAGAATACCTCGACTTCGTATTTACGAGTCTGTGTAACTACTAAGACTGCTTGGCTGAACTGTGGCATTTAAGTGCGCATATGTATCATACCTTGTATATTCTTTCCTGTTCACTTTAACCATTATACTGTAAAGCCATCATGTTGACCGGACGTTTCCTCTTTGAATAAGCCTTACACGCAATACGGAACTGTACTATACGTATTACAACGTGATACATTGCGTTCCCATCTACAAACTATACCCTGTGAGGACCCTTATGCAGCAAGCTATTTACAACCTGCTATTATCTGGGTAGTCTCAGATGCACAGGGACTTTCAGCCTAGCGGAGTCCCGTTCCCAGAACAATCCATGGAAATATGAGGTAGACAGGGTACAGCGCAATGCCAAGATGGCTCAGCCCCTTAGATGGCCAATGTTGATCATCCAGCTACCTAATGTCTCCATTATTTTGTGTAAGTTGTAAGTTGTAGGCTATTATGATTGTTGTGAAGGCTTGAAATAGGTATTTTATATAAATGTTATTTGATACCCTTATGTCCTTGCAGTGCAATTTGACTTAAATATCGAAGTGGGCAAGTTGCAAGGAGAAACTGTAGTATAAGTACCTGTTAATTGACTAATAAACTCTGAAACGAAACTCCACACTTCATAACTCGGCCTTTCGCATTCCCTCGTGTTGGTTACGTCTTATCCTGGTTATCCACAACTTAATCTGTATGTAATATGTAATTTGTACATAATAAATGCATACACCGATGTAAGTTAGAAGAATATCTGATTGGATTATTCAAGTCTGCCTTATGTAATTGTATAGGTGCATAGTGCATAGGATAGCCACAAGGGTACCTGCAACTCTCAAACTGCTAAGGAAGCTGAATCTTGGAAAAATCTCTAACGGCAGCAGATTGGAAGTTACCTACCTCCAGTATGGATGGAAAAGTTGAAAGTTGGAACTCAGCCTCGGATGATCTGCACCGCCACGGGCTACCTCCTACATACCTACTAAGGTAGGTAGCTACCTCTGCCTACATAGGTACAATACCTAACCTAGCGTAAATTACCTAATATTGAATTAGTTAATCGATTCGTGGAGGCCCCACGCAGCTTGCAAACGCGCATCCGCCCATCAACGCAACTACGTCAAAAAAAAATACCGAAGCTTTAGGAGCTAGACACGCGATTCGGCATCAACGCAAAAATCTACTTACTACGTACTGCTTACTTCTACCATACTTACCTTACAACCGTAGCGCTTTAATACTACTCCCGATATGATGGAAATTGACGAGGAGGATGTCTTACGCGCAATCGCGAACGGTGGTTCTGTTGACTTGTAAGCATACACCAGTGTCTTTCTATTCACTTTCGCGGCCAGAGTCTCTTACTATTGGGAACAGTTCAATATGGCCAGCTCTATTATCAGGAATAGTGGCGCGAATCGAAAAGGTCGGTATTATATATCAACTATAGGCGATCAAGTGTTAAACTCTGCAAGTAGATCACACATCATGAATTCCCAATACCTAACCTGCCATCCACCGCGGTTGCTACTACTGCTATTCCATCTTCGATACCGCATCCGCCCTTGGTTCGACGCTATTCAGAGCCGACAGAGAACTTCCTGTCACCACTACCGTCGTCGCCTTTAGAGCCGTCAAGCTCAGCGTCTTCTCAAGATAATAAAGAAAATACACCCATTGCGCCGCGGGTAAACCCGCCGTCTACATCAGTTCCTGCTTCTTCCACAACCCTTCCTCCGGGCATGCTACCACCACAGATCATCTCTATGCTTACCGAGATCACCTCTACTTTAAAATCCACATTCCCCAAGTACCCTCCACATACTTTACAACGCTTATCGGAGCTTGTCCTAGCACCTAGAAACCACTACCGTACATTACCAACATATCTTCATGCCCTCGATAGAGTTGTCCATGTGACTTCGGGTCTTAACATTTATCCACTCCCTCCAGCGATACCCGACATGAAAACAGCATCGCTGCTAACAAATGGAATATCCGATGCCATAGCCTCACCGTCGCCCTTCGCTGCGCCCGGCAGTGACGAAGCTTTAGGCGGTGCTCTCTTGACTCCCATCCCCTGGCTCCAGCCAAACCAGCATGGAATTGGTGGGCCCTCGCAGTCCTCGCTAGGAACACCAGGAACTAGAAGTCCTAACAGTCAGAATAGCGGAGTAATCGGCCCAATAGGCGGTGATCTCGAAGGCGAGGTACGTACGGAAAGCACCGAGACCATCGATGGCCCCAATGGTGTCGGTAGTATCGAGACGGTATCGGTGTCGGTGAACGGTATCCCCTCAATGGGTGCCCGTGGCATAGGGGTGACTCAAGGCGAGCTACTAAGGCAGGAACAACGTGCTGGCGTGGTCCCTGTTAGTCAACTTGTGCCTAGCCATCACGTACACGGCGGGAATCCGCACGCCCAGGTTCACCGGCGAGCGTCCGCCTCTCCGAGTACCGAGTCCCCTCAAAATGCAGCGACGCCGACTTCTTCATCTGGTAGTCCCGAGGCCGAGAGGAAGTCCCAGTCTCCTCCAAATATAGATACCCCTACTTCTACTACCGGTACTGCCACACCTACCGTAGACGCCGATGCCCCTCTGGGCTCGGTAACCGGCGTAGACGACGAGAAGCCGCACGCGCGCGGGCCCGAGGAAATTGGCCCAGAGGATATGGGCCTGCAGCACGGCAACACGAGTATCGGGAGCACTACGATCGGCAGTCCAGGCGGCGTCGAGATGCAAGGCATTGACGTCGAAGCAGCGGTTGGTCGAAAAGCGGCAGGGGGCCGTGGAAGTAGCAAGAGCCCACCGAAGACGGACGCGGCGGGCGATAAGATGGACGTCGAGGCATCGGAAAGCGAAGGCAGCGATCGAGAAACGAAACGCGAGGCGGAGGACGAGCCCGAGGGCATGGCGGGAACGAAAAAATTGAAAGAGGATAAGGAACCAGCGTCCGCGACGACTACCGAACAAGGACAGACCGAGGCCGAGGCTATGGATACTTCTTCCGACGGCAAGGGGGAAGCGAAAGGGGTTCAGGGGAGCGTCTAGGATAGGCTCCCTAATCTCCGTAGATGGCTGTAGTTGTTTATTACAGAAGCGAGGACAGAATAAGGAAAAACTCCGGTCGCGATCCACAGTCGTTGGTGGTTGATGGTTGGGCATAGGTAAGATAAGGACCGTATCCCTAGGTCGAATTTGGTTGGAATTGGCACGGGAGAAAGTAAGGGGGTATATTGTATTTTTTTTTCTTTTTTCCTCGTTTGGTCTTGGGATTTTTGGAACTTGTGACTTGATACCAGACGGAGGTGGAATATGGATCGTCGG